AAAAAAAAAAAAAAAAAAAAAAAAAAAAAAAAAAAAAAAAAAAAAAAAAAAAAAAAAAAAAAAAAAAAAAAAAAAAAATCTCCAGGATCAAAAAGGGGGTCAACATGGAATAAGTCAGGATTAGTAGTGAACAAAATAAATAACAAGAAAAAAAAAATCAAATCAAATCAAATCGGTCCATTGCCAGTAGGGTTGGTGTGGTATGTGACACCCATTTTGAGTGCAACGGTGGTAGTCGGTCTAATGAGAGTGGCCGAGACTGTTACACTGAACTGGAGACGGAACGGAAACTCCCCAAACACCTTCGCATATCTTCTGCAGCCAGTGTATTCTCATGGTTAGTCCAGATTCGTATAAATGTAATATATATATCTATATATATACTCGGTGCTAGTCGAGGTAGACTGATTCAATCATGACTAGTTATATCAATCTATGAGTGACGTGATCACCGCTCGCTGGGATCGTCGACTTTGGCGAGAGTTTGTTGGTTCCACCCTGATACTGCCTGTGTATAAAGTTACGCTGGTTTAGGTACGAGGATGTCTGTGTGTTCTCCATCGGTCTGGCAATAGATCGTAGTAGTATCTCCTACATAGTACTATGTATGCACACCCTGGACGAGGTACCCTCTGGACATACCTCCAGGCCGAACAAGTCAGTCATGAGGCATAAATATCATCGATACCTAAGTTTGTTCATCGCCTGCATTCCAGAAGCCCTGCCAAGAAGCTGGAGGCTGCAACACGCGTACACCTTTGGATCCCCCCTAGTCCGAATGCCGTTAGCCGGCACGAGACACTAGTATCAATGCTACGGTCAGTTCGGTCCTCCCGCGTACGCCTCGTCGTCGCCCAATACTAGTCGCTCAGTACCTCGCCCAGCGATCCTAATCTATATAGGGGAAGAATTATATCCCCCCCCCCTCCGTGGGATATTACACCGGTCAGCAAGGGGTTAACCAACAAGTCATGGATAGATGTTTCAAAATTTAAACTGGGAGAATGGCGGTGCTCTGCGTCCTATTAGGTAAATTGGAACCAACCTCTAGCACCTGTCTTTCCGTTCCCGGATCGTTCAATGTGAGATCTCAGACCCAGTCCAGGCAAAACTTCGGTTGAATGCGGCAAAACAATGTTTGGTTCCCACAGCTGTCAATCATTGTCACAACAATGCTCATTGTCCGGTTGGCTCGCATACCACCCAGCCATTGGTTATGTGAGCTCAGGGAACTAAGTAGGGAGGGACTGTACGAGCAGTCGGTGTCCCGAAGTCAACGACATTGATGATATACAATGTCCCAAAGGTTTCATTCTCTTTCTTCATTATTGTAATGGTTGACAGGACACCCCCACGTGTTTCAAAAAGTTTCCAAGGTGACACTGTTCTTTGTTCGCTCGGAGGTCCAGGCATCAAATTAGACACGACACAACAGCCATGTCGCACATGGTGGCCATGCCCCTACCGACCTTGTGCTGTTCAACTGTAACATGAACACCCAAGAAATGGGGCTGAGTAAGTCACACACATCCAATGGATGCATGACGCCGAGGTGACCCCATCGGAGAATTTAAACTAACTCTATGCATCGGCTACAGATTCTCCAGGCCAATCGCGTCATCTCGTCGTGGATGATGATTGTGCTTCAGACTAAAGCTGCCTTATCGACATGTCATCGATGGAGTGGGGATTGGCGGTCTGGGCTGGCGCCACTCTGCCTTCAGTGCAACTGTCCGTCGGTTCCTGAGAACCACTGATCGACGCTCTACTGATGTTGCAACATTGTCAGACACAACAGTATATCTACCCCCTATAAGTGCCTGGTTCGTCGTTCACCCGCCGATTATACTGTAGATCATTGATCAAATGTTGCCAGGCGGACGAACATTCCGTTTGTCTGTTCCATTTGCCGAAGGGATTGCATGATTCCCATGCAGTTGCTCTGACACGGTGTCAGGTCAACCTGCAATGCCACGACATCATGGATGCCATGGCATGGCTCAATACCACGGTCTGAGACCGTGGTATCGCTCCTGACGATGGGATTTCTGCGTCAAACTAACCGGATGGACCTGGAGACCTGCTTGCGTTGATTCTTATGTGCTTCTGCACAGTCGACTTGGCCATTCCCCAGGCACCCGCCTTTCGCCCTTTGTACTGTTAACACAGAATGTATGGGTGTCCTTCTCATTATGACATAATCTGCCCTGCGAATGTCATATTATGATTCGACCGTAGAGACTTTCCATTAAATCCAAACTTTCTTTCCGAGTCGGGATAATACCGAATAACCTCTGAAGCGCTCACTATATCCGTTGAAGGAGTGTGAGACGAGATAAGTGAGTCCCTTAACGAAGGCTAATCGTCTACACCCAAGACCATGGCGGTTCCCATCAAGGAGAGGCATCTCACCCCGGTTCCTACACTTGATTCCTTGTCTATACTACCCCCTGTGTGCCTTGTAGGCCCGAAGAATCGTAACGGACAAAAGCGACGTCCACGAAGTTGACAATCTCCTCCAAAGGCGAGTGCATAATGCAGCTAATCAAAAACCATCGTAAACCCCCGTCATTGCAGGTTATCCTCAACGATGACTATGGCCATCGCGTAGCACATTGCCCGAGCTGGAGAAGATCGAGTGACGCCGTACCACATAGAGACTGTCAGGCATTTGATATAAGTGATGTGGTTTTTTATCAGTTATCATGATGACTCTGATCTCGATTTCGTCGATTACCAACGTGTCTATCTACTGTGAAGACTCACTGGAAAGAGGACTATTAGCCTGAGATCGCCACATTGGAGTTACATATATGTGACTTTTATGGAGATTCATATGACTCCGTTGAGATTGAGAAATTCTAGCAAGATAGAACAACATCGGTAGTGATCCAATGAAAGTGGCTTGGATAGAGAAACACAAGGAAGAGAGGATGAACTAATTAGTTTACCAATAGAGATAGTTTGCTCAGTAAGCGTATACTTGGATTGATCTATAGTATATAAACTGGATTCGAGCAGGAAACTAAATAAAATATATTTACCCGCCACTTCTGCAAATCACAAACCACTCCATTGTTTCTTCTCAACATTTGCTATGGTTTTCTATCCATCTTCTTTCTGCTTCTGACCCACCCAACCCTGTCTTCTGTGTCTTTTCTATTCATACCTGTTCTGACCCCTTAGAGGGACTCGCTCACTGACTTGACTTTAATATGCTCACTCGATAAATCATAGCGATCATGGAACCTGCAGTTACATCAGCAATAGCGTTCATATGGTGGCAATCTTTGAAAGTGACCTATCAGCTCTATCAACAGTGATAGACATATAAACGAAACCTATTCAACCTGAGGGCCGAACATCCGAAAATGAGCTGTAGTCAATATGGATCCCTCAGCCTTATCTCATAACACAACATCTCAACACCATCGGATGCCCCAGATCAGTAAAGCTGAAGAATAGAATACAAGACTTTCCGCGCATCATAAAAAGTCATACCAATCGTCACCCATCCCAGACAAGACCACCCACACTAAACATTCCTCTTCTCCCGAATCGACACCCTCCCCAGTATTCTCGGAACAGATCTTCTCCTCGCTTTCACAACCCAGATTGCAAAGAGAAGAATCCCCAAGATCACTAAGGCTGTGACAAGATCGACTATCACCTCCCAAGCTCGGGAATACTCAGCCAACAACCTTGTTTTCCCGGTAGAAGAAGGACTATGCTGATCTTTCCTGTGGGTCATTGATACCGTGCAATTTAAAGCAGAATACTGGATGAGTTGACATACAGCATGAGCTGTGGCTCTGAGACATGCTTCATGGAGGAAGGAGATCCGATAACATGTTCATGACTCGAATCAGGGTCTGGACCGTACTGCGGTGGTTCGGTGAGCTGGAAACTGGGATTGCGGTCGCGTATCCAGCGCTCGTAATCGGTTTCGGGTCTTGGGAGCGCCGGCATCGTGATTGAGGTTACGTTTAGGACTATGAAATGAAATGGTATGGTCGTTGTAGATGGTGAAGATGGGTAGAGAGTTGTATGTCTATTGACATGGCTGTCGGTGTTGGTTGTTTGTGTAGATACTCGGAAGAGTCTTGATTTGAGCAGCGACATGTTTGTTCGTAGGCTGAGCGCGGATCGTTGGATGTCAGCTGGATCCATTAGCATCATGTCAAACACAACTAAGTTTCTTCAATTTATTGACCAGTAGACTACTGCTATGTAATGGAAAATATATCCATCTCATTCTGCGGGGAAATTACATATAAAAAAGGTAGAGAAGGACGGGTTCAATATATCATGGATATAGATAATCATTTCCACTTTTAACTGCTTTGCTTGGAGTTGTACAATGCTTCGTATGTATAAGTGCTTGATTTCTAGTGGGCAATTAATCAAGATACCGAGAAAAGAAGCACCAATCATTCTGCAATCTGCGGCTCTAATTTTTCTATTGCAGTATGATTGGCCTACCGCTCAGCCAAATCAGGCGTCGACAGGCTAACCCGTTTGATCCATTCGTTAGACTTTCTATAGGTTACGATCAACACCGAGCTGAAAGACACTCTCGTATACGCAGTAGGCAACAGAATTCCCATAGTTGATCATATACCCCCGTATCTATCACTGATGATCAACTTCAAACACATTACACAGCTGTATACGCAACACGGATTGTCGATATCAAATACCGCTGTGGCAAAATGACCAAAAAGAGCGCCGTCAGTAACAGCAATCTTACTAGCGCTTCCACTCCCTCGATTTCCCGTTCGACTATCAACCGCTGCTGCTTTAACGACCTCACCCCCGCTGACACTATCCATCGAAGTGAGCTCGACACAGTCAATGTGTTTCGCAAAACTCTCCCAGGAAGCAGCGGGGTAACACCTTTATCGCCCGCCAACACCACCATTCGGCGTAGTAAGATCAGTCATACGGTGATCGCGAACTCGTATGTCCGCCGCTGCAAGCTCACTAACTGCGAGCTTGTCAATGTGTGCTCCGCTAAGTCCCTGGATGCCAATGGCTCCAGGTTCGACACTGTGCGCTCGATCCGCGGTCACACCTCGGTGCAAAATAGTACCGTTACGGGCCAGAGTACCCTGAACCGGAGCAAAGTCCACGGGTCATCCGTCATGGACGAGAGCTGTATACGCCGCAGTCATCTTGAGGATGTTCGGGTTGCTCGAAGTCGCGTGAAGAGATCCAAGCTCCAAAACTGCGATGTGAGCGATTGCGTGATTATCCGGACCGATTTCACTGGCATGACCCTACGCCACGGGGTCTGGAAGAATGGAAAATTAGTTGGCAGAGTTGGAGATAATGAGGTCGTCATGGTGACCCAGGACGGCCGGGTGAGTTGCGCTATTACTATGTAGAGAATCGTTGGTCTTCTCGGAGACGTATACTAACCCGAGATAGAACATCGGCCATGTTTCTTCGGAGAAGCTTGTCACCCAAGATGCCAAGGCATGGGACCCCGACTCGGATGGTTCGGACAAGGAAAGCCTGAATTCGGATGATCTTCCGCCGCCTTATCAGCCTTGATGGTTGTCAGTATTTCAGCGATGTTTTATGTCTAACGAAGTGTCTTTGTCTTCTTCTTCTTCTTCTTCTTCTTTTTTTTTTTTTTTTTTTTTTTTTTTTTTTTTGATATCTAGCCTGGTTATAACTGCACCAGATTCATAGTGGGGCTCTAATCATGATACGAGCGGTCGACTGTTACAGGCACCACTTAAGTGCACTTACGTATAGGCCGATCTTACCGTCACTAGTCGCAGGCGTTTCTCAGAGTTTCCGAGACTAGGGCGCTAGGGCCCGATTTTATTAAGCTAGCTGCTCTCATATTCACATGAGCTGCTGTTGTTAATCTAGAGGATTGACTGGACAGGAAATTGCATCATTTGGCAGCGCAGTTGTGACAGTTCTAAAGGATATGGTATAGGGTAATAAGCTAGGTCATACCGGTAAAGCCCGTGGACCTGGATATTTATCACTCCCTGGCCTTCTTTCTGGAAGTATTCTAACTGGTAGTTATAGAGATAGGAGGCCTTAATGCTGAGTGAGATGGAGATCGGCCTTCCTCTGCTTCCTCGCGCAAGCCAATAAGATATGTGAGAAAACCAACACCGCTGACAGATGATCAACATCGGGGTTGTATCCCGCACATCATCTCAGCCCTGAACTAGAATATGTAGCTTGTCATCATCAACTATGCTGGAATTATGATCGTCGTGGTTTCTTATAACAATCCCACACCGCCAGCGCTGCCCTTATGGTCCATACTGAATCACGGCTATCCGATACAACAAGTATGGGGCGGCGAACACCTGTTCACTGGGCAGTCCAGATCTGCATTCTAGGTGTAACTCTACTGTCGCTTGCCTCTGCATCTCTATTCCTCCCAGAAGAATCTCCCACGGAGATCACTTCAAACGATGGATACAGTTTCCTTGATGAGACACCGCGGCTGACTCCTCGCGATGGAAAGCCGTTTACACTCCGCATTATGCCCCTGGGTGCGTCCATTACCTACGGATACCAGTCAACCGATGGCAATGGCTATCGACGGTGGCTTCGTCAGCAACTTCGTCACTCTGGATGGTGGGTGAATATGATCGGCAGTCACCCCAATGACACCAGCACGATGAATGACAATGTAAGACATGACTGGTAGTTTGGGACCCAGCTAGTCGATCAAGGATATTAATACTTATTATTTGACAGGAGGTGGAGGCCACGTCAGGCTTTAGAGTCGACCAGGTCACCGAAGCGGCCGAGAAAACCATCCCGCAACAGCCAAACCTCATTCTGATAAAGTATGGATATCTCTGTTGAGGGTATTGTGATGTCGACTGACATTACATGCACAGTGCTGGCACGAATGACGCAAATCAGTACAAAGACCCAGCAGTCGATGTCTACAAGACAGGCGAACGGATGGATGCTCTTCTGACACGTCTGTACGACGCAATTCCAGGCACTACCATCATACTATCTACTCTGCTCCCCAGGGTTACCACGGATAATGAGATCGTGAAATTTTCCAGATACATTAGTGATCAGTATCGACAGATTGTTGCCGCGCGCCGTCAACAAGGCCAACGCATTGTCCTCGCTGAGATGAGTGACTTCATCAAACCTGAGGACTTGATCGATGGGACACACCCAACGGACTTTGGTTATAAGAAAATGGCCTCGGTGTGGTGGGAAGCTATTCAAGAAGCCGAGCGGGAAGGGCTGCTCCAGCCACCAAACCACACAGGTGTAAGTGACACTAAGAGAACGACCTGCAAAAAGGAATACGGAAGTGGTAATAAGAGAGGTCGGGTTCAAACCCAGCGTGGGAGTGGGGCCGATGACGGAAATTATGTCCATAGCTCCAAGGATATGGGGCGCATCTTCAGTCCGGCTACTACGAAGGAAGAGAAGGACTTCGATCCTGGTATCAACTACGCTCAATTGGTGAATAAGTTTGGTGCCCACCGAGAAGGTGCCTTGGATGAGTTGGTTTGGACAAAGGATGGGGATGGTACGTATATGTTCATTAATAACAATGATGGGAAGTTTGGAAGTGCTGTCAAGATTGACGTCAAGGATGGATGTCTCGCTAGAGGTATGCATATCTATGACTACTTATTGATATTCTGGCCTGTGTGCTTATATCGTTTGCAGGCGCCCGATGGGGCGATGTGAATGGGGATGGCCTGGACGATTTCATCTGCATCAGCAGGGAGGGACACATGTATGTCTCAATTAATGAAAATCAAAACAACGACATTCCCACTTTCCGAAGCATTGGACTGGTCAAGGACAAACCTGGTAATGGCCTGGGTCAGATCAACGTTCGGCTCGGCGACATCGACGGGGACGGAAGGATAGACTAGTAAGCTCTCACGTTGCTTATTATTCAGTCAGGCTAACTTGCATGCAGCTGCCTGATTCATAACAACGGTGATATTCGGTGCTGGCGCAATGGTGGCCAGAAGGATGCACCCACCAAAGAGTACGGTGGATATTGGCAAGATCTCGGTATCGTGTTCAAAGGTAAAGGAATGGGAGATATCACCGGCGTGCGCCTCGTTGATATCAACGGAGACTTCCGCAGTGATTGGCTATGGCTGGACGACAAGGGTAAAGTAACAACCTATATCAACAATCGGGGCACTGGAAAGAATCTCATTCCGGACTGGCGCGAGGCCGGGGTCACTCACGCTGGGATGGGCGTCAATGGCGCCAAAAATCGAATCAAGTTTGGAAGAGTGTATGCTGGAGGTGGAGCTGACTACACCTGGATCGAGTCTGTGAAACAAACGAATGGCGACTGGAAGCATTACGCCCATGTCTATAAGAACACTGGACACGGCGGTACCAAGCTGAAGGGTATAGGAGTGAGAAAGTTGGCCTTTCGCGATTGCACTGGCTAATCAAGTTCTGTGGCAGGTGATGGTGTCTATTACTGTGATATGCGTGGCACCGGTGCTGACGACTATGTGGGTAAATCTCGGTGAAAGTATCCTTCGTGTGCTCATCAGCTTTGTATAGGTTTGGATATCATCTGAAGGACGAGGCTATCTTTACGGAAACGTTCACGATCCACCTGTTTGGAAGCCAGAAGGAACTGAGATATTCAACGTCAAAAAAGACCGGAAAAGTCTCCACTTGGCTGACTTCGATGGCGACGGAAAAGTAAGTGGTTTTCTTTACCTGGTATATCCAGTGGTGATATTTGTTCAACACATTACGACGAGCCCGTCTGACCCAGATTCTTACGCAGTGCGATCTGTGGGCTGTGAATCGAGATACAGGAGAAGCTGAGATTTGGTTAAATAAGTGGAGCGACAATGCTCAGGGTGACTATTTCCAGTACAAGGGAGTCCTTACTGGTAATGCGAGGTGCACTCAGGGATGGGGTGTAGGCCTCGATGACTTGGGTCTTCGATTTGCAGATCTAAAGTAAGTTCAGTACTAAGGGATTTGAGTAGGATGCTAACAATAGTAGTGGAGACGGTCGGGCAGACTACCTCTGTATGGAGTGAGTACTCTTCCATTATCAAGCCTCATACGTGACGCCGGTACGCTAAGGGCCTTGTCTATAGTCCGGATGGCCGTACGGATGGCTGGTTGAACAAGGGAGAGAATAGTTTCGAATCAATCGGTCAAGTCAAGCGAAGTGAAGGCTATGACCGTGCAAGTGAGTCTTCTTCAGCGCATATAATCATGATTCCAACAGTTCTGACCTGATACAGATCATCGTTGGGCGGACGTGAACGGTAAGTGGTCCTCATCAAGTGACAAGATAGGACTCATTTGCAATAGGGGATCGGATGGCTGATTTCCTCTGGATCGACAAATTCAACGGTGATACCAAGGTAACCAGTACAGATTGGCATATTGAATATACCATAGCTGATTTACTCGTAGGTGTGGATCAACCAAGGCCCTGTTCCTACCTTGGACTCGAAGTGGAGATGGGAGCCCCCAGATGGTCCGCAGTATATGGGAGCCGACCGAGGAGTGAGTAATGTAATCAACATATGATCATCTATCAAGCGCTAATCTTAGAAGGCTAACATGCATTTCCCTAATCTTGGTGGGCTTGGGCGAGCGGATTATCACCAAGTTATTCCCCGGACCAACGTTGTACGTTTCGACCCCATTATAAGAAAGGTGCATATGCATACTGACGGTTTTTAGGCTTATACCTGGTTCAACGAATGTCCCAACGAGGCTTTGGATGATGCTGATAGCACCGAAGATCCTGGATTGCCTCAGTACCCTGCACCACCTCAGCCCGCTTCTATAAATAATATCGGAGCTAATGACGCCATGTAACATCGCCACGCCTATCTGGGCAGACGGACAGCAGAATGATATCCATGTGTATGTTTATTAATCCCTCTAGTTTGATTACAGAATTGATCTTGCTTAGTGGGGAATGTCCACTGGCCATGCATACTGTGTTATCGCTATTTCTTTGTAGTTGTCAAAAGTACATACGACCTCTTAGCAAATTGGGAAAAGCATTTCCCGCAGAACGGAACCACTTGGACCAAAGGCTGCAGGCTGTGTTTCCAAATATATTTCCTGAATGAGACACCCGTCCAAGGGCCTAAAGTACGATGCAGCAATTCATGATTGCTCTCCATCGGACAGAGTAACAAAAATACCATTCAGAAGGGCGGGTGTGCGCGGTATACCTCGACCAGCGAATCATAGCAGAAGTAAATAAGCAATGCGAATACGCCTGCGGTATTGATCTCTCCGTCTCTGTCAGAACGCTTGGCAGGCAGTGTCTCTCTCTGAATGCTGCCCTTGCGGAAGTCCCCCGAGTCAACGCCGGGTATGTCCATAACATTCCGAACATAACACCGCATATCTCGGTGAATGGTCCAGGCAGGTATGCATCTCTGTCAAGGATTGGCATTTCCGATTGGCTCGTGATTGAAGTTTTCGATCTCCTCAATTGAGAATGTCACAATATTCCTCCGGAGTGGATCGCCTTGACGGTGGAGAACTTCTGTCAGCTCCAGTCCTCCCATGTATTAACCTCAATGGGTAAGGCCGATAAACAGGCCATGCTGCTGCCTCGGCCTTCGGCTTCAAATGCGAGAGATATAGGAATGCCCCCTGGGTCAGGCAGGAAAGGAATCTTCTCCGACGGAAATGAATGTATGGTTCAGTAACCATGAAGTGAACACAATGTCTTTCATTCTCGTCGTGGTACCGGAGCCATGGCATTCCATGCTTCACGACCATAATAGTCTCGGGCTGGAAAACCCGGTGCCGGGTTAGCCGGGTTCATGGCGAGAGAGGCTCGGCCATAAATTTCCGGTATTGACAAGGTCCTCATCTATTAGTTGGGATTAACCTGCAAAGGCAAGGGTGGCATTGCTTTAATTTTAGGGTAAGTCACATGCTCCCAGCAGAACGTCGCCATGAATCCCCTCCGGATACAACGGTCCCCAACCAGAGGTCAGTGCTCGCTGCTGGACGTTCGGCCCCGGAGATAACAACGTATACTGCGGACAAGGCAGTCAAGTTATCCCGTGGCAAATCACGAAACCTGATTTATTCCATGAAGGTTTGCCCCAAGTGGATCTTCCCCCCAGCAGTGAGTGCGGAGTCGCTAGCCTTATGAATGTGGGCCATACACCCCAAACAAGAGACCTATCTAGTCAGGACGTAATGAAAACTACGGCCAATGTGACGTGGCATCGCATGTTTCTTGATGCCCCCTTCCAGTATGCATGGTGTTGACTACATGGCTGCAGATGCTGCATTGAGAATGCGGCTGGAGCAGTCGAACAGGTAAGCGAACAGGCCGCAATGACACTAATGCACGAGGGAGAATTATTACAAGTGGTAAGACTCAAGAGGAAGCAATTCCGCCACTAATCGGTCGAGTGGGGTTCCGCTAATTAATATCAAACTCACCTACAGCCCTACTAAAGTCTTGTCCAAACCTTAGCCGAAGCTTGGTTCTGGAGCTTTATGTCTTCACAATCGTTACCTTTGGGGCATAACTGGCCACATATTTGTCTCTGGCGAGGAATTAGCTCGACTTTTGCCTAATGCACTGGTGGGGAACGCTTCCTCAATCTACCAGGCAACCCATTATGCAGATGGATTGCATTCTGGACCGAACCAAATCGTACAAGCCCTATTGGACGCCTTAGGGACTGGCCTCCTGGCAAGCCACTCAGACTTACCTCAATCAAGGCATACCCCTCATGAAGTAGCCAATATGTGACCCCCTATAGGAAATAGTTGTATCAGATGAATGCCTACAGCAACCCCCTAGCCCCCCGGCTCACCCTCCAACTCGATCAAGGAGTACCGAGCATGAGGAGGGTCTATAATCTGATAGATCTCACTCGTCCGACCCCAGCATCCCCTCATGAGGGGTTTTTCTGGCTGTAGTAGCCATGACGTCTCAGAATGAGGGGATCCTCATCTAACAGCCTGCAGGTTCCGGTTATATAAAGCCAGTCATAGGATCCGTCCTGCTCTTTCCATCAGCAGCGCCTCCCAACTCACGACCGACAATAATTTCGCTTTTCAAGATGAGATCCCTCCTCTATTATACCGGCTGCTTCATTGCTGTCCTTGGTACTGTTCATGGTGCCCCCGCTAGGAACGCCATCCGGAACTCCGGGAATCCTCCATTGAGAGGATCCGAGGACCTTCTGGGGTACTCTTCTGACAATAAATTATCCGACCATTCCACCGAAGAAGTCAAGTATACCCTTCTTCCGGCGCAGAAGGAGGATCCGAAGATAGGATCATATCTGGACTTTGAGAAGGCCGATAACCCGCAGCCCATTCGCGGCGACCTGGGAGCGTCCGACCCTGGTCCTCGTGAGTCAAGTAACTTCGATGTCTGAATGTCACTTACACTAACCGGTCAGGCAACTACAACTATGACCGGATTAACAGCGATAAGCTAGCTCCCCCGGGGACAGACAATGGACAGACAATCAATGCGCAATGGCCGATGGGTAAGTCGAGTACCATTCTCGTTTGCTACCACTGCTAATAGTGAATAGGCCTCAGTCGGAACAGGTATTCATGAGAACTTGCCATAACATGCAACGTAATAAGGCTCACTCAGGGACAGATACGGCTCTGAGAACTCGGGATGGGCTCGTCAAGAGAACACCGTCGTCATGCCTGACGCGACTAAGATGGCCGGTGTCGATATGCGCCTGGAAGCCGGGGCGTATCGTGAATTGCACTGGCACGTGGCAAGTGAGTGGTCTTTGGTGCTTAACGGATCGTGTCGCATTCAGGTATTCGCTCCGATACAGGTAGACTATGGTAGCCTGCTAACGTGTACTAGGCGGTTAACGAGAACGGCGAAACCTTTGTCGACGACGTGACAGAAGGTGATGTGTGGTTTTTCCCTCCGTATGTCCAATCACTCTTTGCAGGCCTTCCACATGGCGACTACTAATCATACCAGTGGTGTTCCCCATTCCATCCAAGCCCTAGACGCAGGGGTTGAGTTCCTCCTCGTCTTCGACGACGGGGATTTCTCTGAAGACAACACCTTCCTCGCATCCCAAGTCTTCAGCCACAACCCCGTACAGCTACCCAATCCCCAATAAGACAATGTCAACGCTAATCAAGAACACCCAGAGATCTGTGCTAGCCAAAAACTTCGACCTCCCCATCTCCGCCTTCAACGACATCCCAGAGGACGAACTCTACATTTTCCCCGGTACTAAAGCCCCCAAAGATATCGAGGAGCAAAACGTAACAACAGCCGCTGGCATCGTGCCTCTAAGCCAAAGCTACTCATACCATTTCTCTGAGCAACCAGCTCATGAAGTCGCCGGCGGTTCCGTGAAGATCGTCGACCCTGTCACCTTCCCAATCGCCACTAACTTCGCCGCCGCCATTGTGACTGTGAAACCCGGCGGCATGCGCGAGATCCACTGGCACCCCACCAGCGACGAGTGGACGTTTTTCATCAAGGGCAAGGCCCGCGCGACGTTGTTCACGGCGCCTACAACGGCGACCACGTTCGATTACCGCGCTGGCGATGTGGGCTATTTCCCGCAGTCGAATAGCCATTATATTGAGAATACGGGGGATGAGGATTTGATGTTTTTGGAGGTTTTGCAGACTGACAAGTTCACCGGTAATACTACCTTTTCTTGGCTTACACGGATTTATACGACGACACTAACGTTAGTGCAGATATTGCCCTCGGCCAATGGATCGGGTCCACTCCGAAGCAGATCGTGGCCGATACATTGAAGCTGCCTGAGAGTGCTCTAAGTAAACTGAAGACAGAGAAACAGTACGTGGTTGCTGGGTCGAATGTGACGGATGTTGCAAAGAGATGATCTCTCCGGGGACAGTATCCTTCCAGTGTCGTTTCATTTGCTTTCAGACATGATCACATCGAGTGAGGACTGACTGCGATACCGTGCGTGTCACAAGCTGTTCATACATATAACGCATGTACATAATATCATTAAGCATCTACCACAACTACTGCAACTAGATATCGGGTTATGCTTATTGTCATACTGTCCTACATTCTTCTCTGATCTAACCCTCTAACCTAGGCTTTCTGGAACACTGGGAACCATATGAGGCAGGATCCCAAGGATAACTTTCCGAACATCCATCATCGCTTCGGGCTTGGCCATTGAAGAGCCATATTTCTACATTATTGTAGATAAACCCTCAGACATGTTACCCCGGTCAAGATGTTACTCAATTTTAGTTGTATTGCAACACCCAAGTATACAACTCGCGCCCATCCTACCATACCAGGTGTTTGGGACCCGGGATACATTCTAACCAGGATATTCTTTGATCCAAGCTACCTACCTACCACATGAGCAACCCGGCATATTAACCCAGGGACACGCGACAAGACTTCGGGGGTATGCTTGACAGTTTGCAAAGTGCGACACAAAACTGAGACTATCAGACCAACACGTAAAAAGTCAAGGATAGCCTACAGACAGCTCGCCGAACTGTCGACCATCAGCGAGTACGTCAGCCGGGTATGCAACACATCCGATCTCAAAGCTACTATTCCCCAGTATATCTTAGTTAACTTGACATCTCTATCGGGCCATCCAGGATCCTTGTAAGGGGTTCCGGAGCTCCACAATGACGGGCTAGGGATCCTGAGAATATGTTTGCTGATACATAGTAGCTGCAGATGATTAATTTGAATAATCCTGTGCCCTTGCGGAATAGGATCTCAAGTTGCGATATAGCGCGCAATTACCCCAGACTGGGAACAGTATGTCGCACCGTGGAAGTGGTGAATTTACGGCTTAGGACTCAGTGTCCTGAAGAGGAGATGCCGCTTTTGGATACACTCAGACGCAGAGTCTTGGTTCTTTGCTTGACTTCAGAGCCCTGCATGTGGTTGCTGTCGGTCATTTGGCTCGGTCTTCCGGCATACTGCTGGATTTTGGGGTAGGGATCCCAGTCCGGGTGCTTGGGCCTTCTTTCGGATTTGGTGGCTGATATGATATTCTCTTGAAAGTGTGCTTGATAGTGATGAGTGCTATGGTTGGGGGATGGAGTTATAGAGGGAGAGTAGAGATAAAGAAGTATAAGTGATATAGGCCTATATTCACTGGCAATCATTTCTCTTTGCTACTAGTCAACCAATTCGTCGGTTCATCTCAAATACTACAATATTCAATTGACACAGCTCATACTGTACATGTACTCTGTAGATGCACATCCCCTACACTTCGCAGCTGGGAAAAAATTGGCCTCGTCGGGGAAGGTGACATTCATCCATTGAAACATGCCATATGGCGTATACATTGGAAGACTGTATCGGAGGGCATATTATATGACTTGTGGCATCTTCAATATATACAACTATTATACAAGTGACTATGTATATCGTTAAGTACACTGTATCTATACAACCAGTAAAAGTAAACTCCAAGCCAACGAATCCCCGAAAAAACATCTAATAGATAGTCATACCTCATATCTCATGTCCACAGGATGTTACTGCACACCCTTCGGCACCCGGCACACGGCGCGGGCATCATCCGGCATCGTCGTCCAGAGGACCTGTCGTACCTCCTTTCCGACTTGCTCAATGACGTCCATGGCCCATAGGACATCGAGATGCTCGTACTCCTCGATAACCTTTTCATGGACAACATGCACATGGGGCTCACGTCCATTGCGGAATCGCCGAAGCAGTTTTCTGCCATCAACCAAGTTGTCGGCTCCCGCGACCCATAGAGCCATGGGGGGAGCCTGGGGTCCGTACCATGCGGTATTACTACGCGAGGTCCCATCATCGATACCTTTTTCAAAGCGATGATCCTCTTCCGTCTCAAGAAGGTCGACCTCACGAGTGGCCAGGATACACTTCTGTGTGGCGAAGCATTCACGGCCCAACCACCATCGCATTGTCTCGGCACTGACGTATACCGGAGCGAACTGAAACATACGGTCCCGTAGGCCGCGATCCCAACGGGTGTCACTCCAGCCGAAGAGATACGAGAATACGTAGTAACCCAACGTACCGTATATCTTCGGATGCAGATACTGGTGGACCGTCATCATGAAGGGAATAAAAGCGTGGATACCGAATACGATGCGAAAGACATTAGGGGAGATGATCCGCATGAAGCGGAAGTAACTTCTCTTGATCAATGGCCCAGCATACGCAGCTGGAGCCAGAGCACAAAAGACTGATATACGCTCCCCTAGCTCGGGACGTTGGTCTTTCGCCAGTGCGACGAACGTTTGCGTCGTTCCTTGCGAATGACACACAAGACCCAGTTTCTCGAAACCGGTCTCATACAGGACGCGCGATATAAGGGCCGAGAGATCCAGTACGCCCATATGTCGGATATTCCACGTCCACATCCGTGGATCCGACGGAGACAATGTCGTGTGCTCCGGGGCCAGTCCGCAGCGGTTATTACCCAGCCAGACATCGTACCCGGACTTGCAAAGGAAAAAGGCAAGGCTGTCCTCGTCGTTAGTGCAGTACGCACCGGCACACTGCAGTAATCCGTGCATGAGAAGAATGGGATATTTACGGTTCGGCCGCGAAAAGAGCCCGGGGTCCTTCTTCCCCGTAAACACTCCGGGTCCACGAGGAGCCCTCGCATCGGCAGGCAAGGGCATGTACTCCTGTGGGTTATAAACATGCCACAGAGTGATTATAAATCCGTCCTCCGTCTGTACCCGGAACGTCTCCACGTCCAGGCCGACCCTTCGGGCGTAGTACGCCACATCGCATACGACCGGATCTTTCCCACCTTCCAGAGGCGGACACTCATCGGGAGCTTCTTCGTCGACTTCCTTCTTCTCCTGCCGACGCTTCCACTTCTGCAAGTTTTTCTGCCTCTCCAACGCCCGTGCTCGCTCCTCCTCGTAGAACGCTCGTTGCTTATTGGGATCTTGGCCTTGGAGGCGGGTCTTGACGTGGGAAACAGCGAGTCGGGTCCTGCGCACAAGTGCCCCGACAACCACAGCGCCCAGAAACAGCAGCGATAGCAGGAACGACACGCATTGCAGCACCAGACACTTTATGGTAAACACGAAGGAAGGGGACCCGTACGAAGGCATCGGTGGAAATAGCGGGTGATCCTGGGACGGGAAGATGTAGTTCTTGGGCTGTTTCTGCGACACACTCTGCTTCTGCTCGGAAGGACTATCGGTCCCAGTTGAGCCGCTGGTCTTCTTTGCGTTCCCGTCGCATGTCGTGTTCAGCTCTTGTAGCTCTAGTCCCGGTTGGATATTCTTGTCTTCTATCGGGGAGATATCGGGGATTACCCTGGTCACAGTAGCTGACATAGACATTCTTTCGAAAGGTGTCGGACTGTCCGTCGGTTCGCAGGATAGGAGCGGCACTTTGTATACAGAGTCGGGGTCATGCTCTGCAGCCGAGCGGATCAGCATGATCGTAGTTAGGAAGTGGTAGTAGCGGGGGAAGAGAAGGACCACTTCATCGTATCTCCCTGGTGACCGATGAACTGGGGGGGGAGAGGGGGGGAAAGGAGGATAAGGAGAGCGACAGGAGGAAGTTGATCATTCCCCAGTCGGTCCCATGTTGCCCTTCCTCATTGGGAAGCGCCTAAAAAGGGATCGACACGTGAACGTGGGGAAGCGCTACGTAAGCCGCGGTGCCTCAGGCAACAGCCAGGGTCCAGTTTTAGGGTTACGGGAAGAGCCGGTGGGAGACACGGTCAAGGTCAACTCCCACAGTTCAGCTACAGAGTCCGGATCCGCCCTTGATATCGTGAGCCAGTTTATTTATTTGTTTTCTCCTCAAAACGGTGCACGGTGACGGTTGAGTTGTAACCTACGACTGATGACAGACAATTCCATGATGAACTTCGAAAAAGATAATCCTTGGTCAAAAGAGCAGTGCGAGAAGAATATTATATAATACAAGATATTCAAGCTGATCGTGATCCAATCATCATACCACGTCTCTCATCACCAAGATAACGTTTCGAACCGCCACTCGCTAGGTATATAAAGGCAGTATAGGCACCATGGAAACGAAGAAAGAAGGAAAATAAACACCGAACCCAAAACCCAATTCACAAACGCCGGCGTATGCTCTAGGCCTTCTCAACATGCTCCAGGTCGCGCTTCATCTGGGCGTCGACCTCCAGCTCAGTGAGGTTGCCGGACAGTTTGCCGGCAGCCACGTCCCGGACGTCCGCGTAGCTAACAGATGGGACGAATTCCGTGGAGCGCCAGGCCACAGGAATCTTGGCGTAAAGCTCATCCACCTGCTCCAGACTCAGGCCCTTGGTCTCGTAGATGCAGGTGTAGACGAAAACACCGGCAATGAAGCAGAATCCACCCCAGATGAAGAACACCTTGGACTGCAGGTTGGCGTTGCCCGGGCCGGAGTTGACCATGTAAGGGGTGGCATATGCGATGGCCCAGTTGAGGAGCCAGTTGGTGGCGGTCGTGATCGAGAGACACTTGGCACGAGCCTTCAGAGGGAAGAGCTCACCAGTTACCACCCAGGCGGTGCAACCCCATGAGCAAGCGAAGAAGAAGATGTAGACACAGACAAAAGCGATCAGCACCTTGTTGGCGACGTCGGAGGTGGTGGCAGTGCCAACAATGGCGACGATGAGCTGAGACACACACATGCCGACAGCACCGAACAGGAGAAGAGGACGGCGACCCCACTTCTCGACCATATAGAGACCGGGGAAGGTTGAAACAACGTTAACAATGTTGGTAATCAAAGTAATGATGAATCCGTCCTTGATGCCGGAGTGCTCGAAGAAGGTAGTTCCGTAGTAGACTGTAAGATGTTAGTTGGTATTCAACATGGTTGTGTGGGGCAGGAGAATACATACAGATGAAGTTGACTCCGGCCAGCTGCTGCAGAGCCTGAACAGCACAGCCAGTGGCCAGTCGCTTGCCGATACTGCCACGAAGAATAGAGAGGTAGCTCGCGTTGCCCACACTGAGTTCATATTCGTGGTTGGCTTGGATCTCAGCCAGCTCCTCCACAATAGCAGGATCGTTGACATCGATGCGGCGAAGGCGCGAGAGAGCCTTGGCAGCTGCTTCGTGCTTGTCCTTTTTGATCAAGAAGCGAGGCGTCTCCGGGAGTAAGATCATGCCGACCACCAGAATGATAGCCCAGGCGAACTGAACAGCGACAGGAATACGGTAGCTGCCAGTGTCGTTACGGCCCTTGGTGGCATTGTTCACGATGGCAGCGAGCAGCAATCCAATGGTGATAGCCAGCTGGTAGGCGCCAACAATGGTACCACGGATCCACTTAGGAGCGGTCTCGGACTGATACAGAGGAACTGTGGTCTGTTAGCACACTATCCTCGAGCTTGCGAGGTGGTTATCGTTCATGACATACTGGTTGCAGACAGCAATCCAACACCCAGGCCCGCAAAGAATCTTCCGGCAACGAACAATGGGATAGCCGTAGCAGCGGTCTGGAGGATGACACCAAAGCAGAAAACAAATGTGTTGATGATCATCGCAAGCCGACGACCGAAATAATCCGCAATGGGTGCGGCGCCCAGCGCACCGAAGAAAGTCCCTGCAGACAGGAGAGACACGATCATGGAGGACTGAGAGGAGGTCACATCGGGGTAGTTGTCTGACGGGTTAATATAGCCCGTGGAGAACAGCTTGCGCCAGTACGGCATGGCAAGAATGCCGCTGATGGTGCCGGTATCATAACTATAGGGCCCAGTCGTCAGCTTCCTGGTCTATGAAAGATAGTAAAGAGGGCCAGCTTACCCAAACAGCACACCACCAAAGGCAACAAACAATCCAATCATGATAGCCGGGGCGGCAGAGCCCGTGGCATCATCCGGCTTCTTCAACATGAAGCCCATGGTGAATGTCAACACGGACTGGGGTCAATCTAGGGAAAGATTCTTCGGCTGTGGATCAATACGCAAGGAGAAGGAGGTTGGGACGAGAGGTGGAGAGAAAAATGAGATACACGCTCTCCATGGGGAAGGGGGTCATGGCAGAGTTTTTGTACTGCTTCAGACAGGAGGTCGCCATAGCCAATCTTGACCCGATCCGGTCATCATGGAGAACAACTACATTAAGGAGCCGGCCGAAACCAGCGCTATCCCGCATTTTCAGCCAATCGAGGGCACGGGATCAGCCTCGTATGGGCTGGCGTTGGCCGCATGAGGGATTAATGGGCACTTTCGGCCCTAGACCTGCGAGATGTGTCTCTCTCCGCGCCACAGCCCCGAGTCTGGAGAAGACGAACGTTTGACGGCGTGGAAAGTGGAGGAGGCTTGCACGAAGCTACTGGCGCATAGAGACGAATGATTGGTTCGAGGGAAGTAAGCAACATGGCCGAGGCCCAAGTTAAACCACGGGCATCGAACGATTCTGGAACTTGGCACGCAGAGTGGAGGCCCAAATACGATGGATAGGTTTTTCCCTCCCCATCTACGGGATCCTTTGGTCGCACCGTGACGGCAATCCGAGCCACGGGACCAGAACGCCAGTGGCAATCAGGATAAAAATAAAGTGTTGAGGGGGAAAAAATTAATCATGGCGGAGGGAAGCCGAGAACGGGAGGAAGTTCTCATCAGCGATGCCGAACGCGGCCAACCCGTGACCATGCCGAAATCACCACTTTTCTCGTAATATTAATAATATGATTCGGATCAAGTCACATCGCGAACCGCTTCACCTCCCGAGTTTTCTTCTGGTGTATCGGAAAATAGATGCCACGCTCTGGCAGTGTGACCGGATCGTGTCGAAAAGGGAATACTGCACGACCCCATGGCACTCCCTCCTCAGCTCCACGACTCCATCCGGGGAAATGGATCTAAAGCATGGAGGAAAGATAGCCACGTTCACGACAATCCGGAGTCTCACCGGTGCCATTTCGGGCAGAGAGTGTCGTCTCGACGCACAATGACATTGTGTCGAGGGTGTTGATGTGACATGGTTGAAGCAAATTAGGGCTTTTGCCACTGGAGCACTGGCCGTACGCGTCGGGGCTCTGATTGGGAGAGCCTTGTAGATCTAGTCTCAGATTCTCCGACATTTTCCCGTTTGGCGTCGTAGAAGTTGCATTTTCCATGGCTAGCCAACACGACGGGGATCAGCCCCTAACCCTATCCAGCTGGACTAACGCTTAGGCACCAAACTAAGATGCGGATTGACTTTGTGGGCAAATATTGACTATCGGGCGGAACCATGGTTGCGCCTCGAAGGTAAAACATCTCCTCGCGCACTCCCCACCACAGAAGAAACCCCTTGGAAAGAAAACAAAAGAAAAAGAAAAAAGTTAAAAAAGTGTAAAACTTTGTCGAGCATGGTTCTGGGAAACCTTTTCCAGTTCGTGAACCGTACAGAAGGGACTCCAGGTTATATCGTTGGTGAAAGTTAAGTCTACAAGCAATGATGATAAGAGACACATCCGATGTCTTTTGTATATACAGTGTAGTAGTAGTAGAGACTCCGATGTGCACCCCCTCCTCCACCCCGGTCGTTACCATCGCCAGATCAAGAAGAAATACCATGCAAACACAATCGTAGCCACATACTGGACCGAGTCTACAAATTCTCCCCAGATTCCCCGGGAAGCGGGGACCTTAGCTTTCCACTTCGCCTTGTCCACGTCATCGTGATCTGGACCGGAGTAAGCATCATCATCGTCCACTTTGGGGTAGCGAGAAGGTGCATTGATGGCACGACTGGCCAAGCCACCCGGTGAGGGAAACGTGGAGCTAGACGTACTGGAACTTGGGGTCTTGCCAGTGTGGACCTGGAGGGGAGGGCGAAATTCAGAGAGGGGAAGAATGGGTGCAGATGAGTCCACTGCGGGGAAGTAGAGCACAAGAAGGGCGGCTCGTGCGAGAAGAACAGCAAGGGTAAGGCCGAATAGAAGGCCGTAACTGATGAAAATGGACAATTGGTCGGGCAGGAGGCATAAGTGGTTTTGCAAGGTAGCGCCCGTGCTCATTGAGTGAGTCGGCTTCCCGGTGGCAGGGTCAACAGGGTTCCAGAGACTGGTCAGCAGAAAGCCTGGCCGCCGGACCCCCATAGCCCAGGAGAGACTCTTGACTGTGATTTCTTTGGGTGAGCCACTAAACTCGCGATGGGTGACCTCGCAGTAATCGTGGTCATCCCCAGAGTAGACATGGACAAGATTTGGGCCTGCCTTCGTGACCAAGTCCTTGGAGATGGTTTGCGTGAGCACATTCTGATACTGGTACCCAGCAGTGATCGAGAGGGCGTTCCGCTCATCTTCTTCCGGTTCACCATCTGAAGGCGGATAATGCTCTCGCAAAGGCCCGCAAGGCGTGGCCGGTTTGCGATACAATGGAACATGGGTAAGGAGAATGGCAGGGAACCCTACAACCTCCGGTTGGAGTTTTTGATAAAGCGTAGGCTGCGAGAGGTCCACGACTTTATGGTCAAACACATGGCCTTCACTTTGGTTTCTCATGAGGCGTAATTCTCCCATTTCCGCCTTGCCACGATGAACGTTCATGTTGTTCAGGAAATCCTCTGCTTCCTTCCAAATACGCTCGTTTGGCGGATGTCCGTCCCCAGACCCTGAGCTTCCGGTCTCTGGGTCAGGCTGATCCATGGCGCTCAATGATACCGTATCGACCGAAACAAAAGTGTGGTTGCCAATAACGTCAACACGATTACTTTGGCCAAAATAGGTCTGGAATCGATCGCGTACGGGCAGCTGAACCCCGGTTCCGAAACCCAAGTCGTGATTCCCAGGGAGACTAGCGATCATTCTCCGGCCACGGGGGTTGCCTGAGTGCGGATCCCCCTCATTCCACTGGTTCGAGAATATCCTCACGAACCGATGGTACTCATTCTTCCAGAACGAATCCTTGTATTTCTGGTAGCGCTTCTCGGGACTGGAGCTGTGCGAGGTTGCCCACTCTCTTCCCCCATCAAACAGGTCCCCGAGAAACAACACCGAGTCAGGGCCCAAATTTCTTTGAATAGATGAAAAGGATCGCCGAAGATATTGATCGGTGAACTTCACGGTTAAAGTGGACAAGGGCCATGGCCGACCGGGGTAGGTATGAGGGTCGACCAGCTGCGGGTCTGCGATGAAAGCAACATGATGTGGTGCTGCCTCTCGAGGCTAAGAATAGTAATCTCGAGTTAGCTACAGGTTATTCCCGCTGGGTTGGTTATTCGTAATGAAATACTGACCCAGTTTTCCCAGCTTTCCCAGGCGCACTTCTCCAAACTATCCTGGAACACGGCCCGTTCCCCCCACCAGAGCGTAAAGAACCAGAGAACAGCCAGGATATTCGTGACTGCGAATATGCGTCTGAATGCCCTCCATAGCCGTGCTGTTGGTGCATGACTGCCCCGAGAGTTCTCGGTGGTGGTGAAGCTCCGGGCAATCCAATGAGCTTGGAGTTCGGCGACCCATTGTCGTAGCCACAGTGGCAAAGTGTCGAGGAGACGGCGGTGGCCATTAGATGAGTCGACATAATAATCGCGACGGGCTGGACGGTAGGCATCCGCGTTCGCGCTGTTTGGATATGAATAACTCATGCTTGCTGTGTCAATCCAAAAGTGGCCAAAGCGAAGCTGTCTGCGGCATTGCTCCGCCTCTACACGGGAGTTGTGACAGGATGTCGGCAAGTGGTGTAGTTGGTTCTCATTGGGAGAACAGCGACACTCAACGTCTCAAATTGTGAACACAGAGCATCATGGTCAACCGAGGGCGAAGTGAACAACACAGGGGCTCTCCGGGCCTGGAGATCTCCACCGACCCGCGGAGGTGGGTCACGTGATGACACCGGCGGTTAAGGTTAGAACAATCGTGGGTCTAGACGTCTATTAATAGTTGCCCTTGTTTTCTCGATCGACCGTCCACCCGAAGAATCGCTTTGTATAATACCATTGACGGCCAATCTATAACCATGTAGCTGGAGAAAATAAAAATAAGACACTCGAAGTCGAGCTGGTATGAATACATGACCGAGATAACAATATCAGCAGATCCCCCGAGGCGCAGTATACAGTATTAAGGTTCTAAACAAATGCCCCACCCATGACCCAAATAATTTTCCTTGAGACACCAATCCTCCAATCTAGGTATGAAACACGAAAAAGAAAAGGGGGTATGAATAGTAGATATGCTTTTGATCAAAGAAGGGATATTGACGGGACGGACGGTACGATGATGCCAGCTTAGGTGGTGGTCTTGGGACAACATTCTCCACCTCGCGTACAGCCATCGCCGCATTCCAAGAGACACGCCCGCGAGTCTTCCTCTCGCAGACTAGAAGGGCCGTTGCTAGAATAGGATGAAGCGGGTTGGTTGTCTTCAACATCGCTTCCCGGTGCAAATTCGGGCTGGATCGTAGTTGAATGAATGCCGTAGGCGTGGAGGCATCTTCTCACTTGTCTGGCCAGGCGCATGTACCTCTCTGAGCCCTCCCCTTTGATCTCCGTATCCACTTGAATGTGGATCGAAGCGACGTGCTTCGTGTCACTCAATTGCCAAACATGTAAATCGTGGGAGCTGATGATACCAGGAAGCCTCTCGATGTCTTCTTTAATATGGTCAATGCTCATACCGGGAGGAACAGCCTGTAAGAGGATCCTCGATGCGGCCTTGCAAAGAGGAATGGCCGAAGCAAGAATGATCACCGTGATCACCAACGAAATGCCAGGGTCAACGTAGAACCTCCATTCGTAATCAGTCAACCAAATAACCAAGGCAGACGCTATGACACCAACGTTGCCCAAAGCATCACCCATGACATGAAGAAAGACGCCCCGCATGTTGAGATCATGTCCATGTCCATGGCCGTGACCATGGCTATGACCATGCTTGGAGTCCTTCGACTTGGGTTGCGCGTGGTTATGGAATTTATGGACGTCGTCGTCCACTGTAGCATTTGGTAAAAGGGCTGTGTTTGCTTCGTCGGTATACTTGCGCGCTCGGTCTTTGTGGCTAAGGAGAGCCGATCGCTCTGATGTTTCAGCGACGTTTGTTTGGTCGCTGTCCGACTCGGACGACTGCTCCTCATCAACATAGCGGCTGCGACCGATGATTTCCTGTCTCATTGTCGCCGGGTGTACCTGGATGTCTTCCACGTTACTGTTGTATCTGGTAGATCCGCGATGTTGGCTATCAAGGGTTCGGCGCCTTCGAGTATCGGGAGAAGAGAGTGTACACTCGTCCTGTATTGGTTTTGGTTAAGAGTTTATCACTGAGGACACGGTTGCGGAAGACTGAACGTACTGCGATTCCCCGCGCGGGGTCACTTCCGCCATGGGAAATATAGCCCTGCTCAGCGGCATCCACATCCTCAACCCCATGGGCTTCACCATGGCTATGACCGTGGCCATGTCCGTGGGAGTGATCGTGAAACAACAGGAGACCCAAGATATTCGACAAAAGACCAAAGCAACCGACAATGCAAACGAGCTTCGGGTTTTGCACCTCCTGGGGTTCCACCAGACGTTGAATCGCTTCTAGGAAAATCGACATGCACAGCGCGACGAGGAAGACACCGTTGACCAAGGCTCCGAGGGTTTCCGCACGTTGCCACTGTAATGAAAAGATCATGGTCAGCTTGTACTCCGCCCCCACGCCGCAAGAACAGAGCTTACTCCATAAGTGTACATCTTGGAAGTGGTGGAATTGGTCTCCTGGTTGGCGACCTTCACGGCCCATAAACCAACACACAAGGACAGAACATCATTAAGCTTGACATAGTTAGCCTTTGGCTGGTGTCCATACTGGATCTGCAGGAGATACATACCATATGAAACGAATCAGCAACAAGGGCAAGCGAGTGGACGGCATAGCCTGCGGGGTGTGAGATCGAGAACAAGGCAATACCAGGTCCATGGATACTAACCAACTATCAATTCTAGGAGAAAGAACGCAGAGTCGATGACCAACAGGATTATGATCCTGTTGGTTTTGGAGAGGCCCATGATGGTGAGCTTGATGCGGCGCGCTTGGTGGCGCGGGTCCGCGAAAAGAGAGATAACGACCACCCGATCTCCAGGGGCGCACAGAAACGAGTCCGAGTGCTATGTCCAGAGAATATGCACAAAGGGCAAGAGGAAGAAATTTATAGAGCGACAGGCTAGTGAAATGAGAGGGTTAGGGTGGAAGAGGGAAAAAAAAGGACTATATCGGTAGCATCATGACTAGTAGTGACTACCCCGTCTAGTTCACCATTGGTGTCTGGAAAAACCGCATCCAGCGGCTTTCTCCGATTCCGGGCCGGTCACTTGTAGTGGCGTCATGCTTACGGCCCATGGCCTCAGGCAGCAGAGCGCAACCCGTGTAGCTCTCCTCGTCAACAAACAAAGGCCCCTTATCCGCCACGTCTTATCACCGTTTTTGAGGTGTCTCAACGTCGATTTTTAAACGTCGCGGGCGTGAATATTATTGCTACTTCTGGCTAGATAGATCGACTTCACGGAACGATACCATCCCATCCGTGCACCCACTTCATAACACGTTCAACCCCACCACCCGGTAGGGCGAGCCGGCAAATTTCTCGATGTTTATTTACCGGAGCAACTAAGTTTGATATGTGGAGGCACTGGAGGGAGCTTTTCTACTCTGGCGTAATATCATACCCCAAGTTGGCCATATTGGATCCCAGATCACAGATCCTCCCAAAAAAAAAAAAAAAAAAAAATCTTCAAGTCATGGAAAGATGGCCATACATCTCGAGTGCTGAGAAGTACTTCTGGTTGTGTTCTAGGTTTCGATCAGACACGTGCAACCGATGAAAATACTCTGCCAATATGTACACTAATGCAAGCTGACGGAGTAACGGGGTCACATGATCGGGGGGATGTCCCGTAGCGAGATGAGGCACTAACCAAATAGAGGTTTCAGCAGGGCTACTAACTACCAAGGTACCTGCTGAGTCTTGAGCAGCAGTCTCTGCTGTCGAGAAGAATGGAAGGGTTTGGTGTCTCCTCTGGTACTCATACGTCTGGATACTATCCAATAGCACAGTGACAATCCATCTGAAAAGCTGCATCATGTGTCGGGGAGCAGATATCAATATGTGACCTGTATGTATGTCTGATTTTCTGGTCGGTGGGAATGCGCGTATATTGCTTGGGATGGCACTGGATTCAACCATGTGGAGAGTGGAGAATGGGAAGGGGGGGGGGAAGAGAGAAAGAGAAATCGAAAGAGAAAGAAAACAAAAGAAAGGTAAGGCAAAACGAAAAAAGGCGATATACTGCCATGCACAGACAAACCTGACCGTACTTGACTCTCCCAACATCTCCAATCTGATGACTACGAGTCTTCCTTCTCCTTCCGACCGTAAACCAGATAGTACCGAGAGTAGATATGTAGCCTCCGGTCTAGTAATTCTCGTCGAACCCCTACTAAAAGCAACTGGATCTGATCAACACTCCAACCCAAGAATCGAGTGAACAGCGCCAATGAGTACGCCTCGAGAGCCTCAAGCATATTAGCTTGCTGGTAGCGTCCCAGTTCCTTCAGCTTGGGGTCTTTAGCCCATGGCGAAAAAGGCACCTAGAGAAGTCAACAGGACCGGCTCTCCGTCATCGAGGAGCTACCAACCTTGAATATTTCCTCCGTCACATCCGTGAAGCCAGCCTCAGTCATCCACTGCTTGTAATTTTTCGCCACTCCCATCTCTTTGCCAAACTTTTTACTCGCCTCGATCAACATATCCCGCCATTCAGATAGATACGGCGCGTTCGAGATACTATCGTCATCGGAAAAGATGCCGACGGTGGGTTCCATCATTTCAAACCAGCCACCGGGAACGAGGTGCTGATGTGCTTGGCGAAAGAGATGCGGGAAATCCTTGACGGATCCCTCGACACTTCGAGCATGGATGAAATCAAACGGTTGGGCGAAGTTCCACGGAAGTTCGAAGTCGTCGATCTCAAAGGCACAATTCGGTGGCACCCTGGTACCGTTATACTCAATAACTCATCCCATTTCCTACTTCTAAAGTCAAGTAGGCTCATACCATGAAGGTTGAATCGGACTCAGGTCCGTCCCTATTGCCAGTTAGCAGCGAAAGTAGAATGTAGGTGTTGGCGGTTCCCACCGATGACCTGTGCCTCCGGGTACTGGCTGTCCACTGTCAGTGATGTACTTCCAATATGCTTAGCTTCGTACTCAGCCATGTCAATTGCCCACAATCCTGTTCCGGTTCCTATATCTAGGATTCTTCGTGGGTTTTCTGATATGGGAGATCGAGATAATGCTCCCGCCAGCACAAGACTACATATATGGTGACCCTTCCAGAAGTGAGAGAAGTAACTGGCAGGCGGAAGTGAAGAATTCAAATACCAGGTCTAATCGATCTTGTTCTCTTTCATCATTTGGCTGTGCGATTTCCATCAGTCCATGACCAGGTGATTGATAATAGTGGGGGCTTACAATGACATATTCTCCTTGTCGATATGCATGATACCGCCGTCCATTCTATGAGGCTATGTCAGTGGTTGGACGTGGTGGACGGCGATTAACAATCAGACCTCGTATCTGGAAGAGGAAGCGTGAGATTTAACTTCATTGGATCAAACTAAAGTACTCACTGATAATGTAAGATACTGGACGACAAAGATGTCGTCGAACTGCCGGCTCTGTTGGGTGGAATATAGTTTGAGAATCGAGTCAGCAACCACGGAAACCCTAGGCGATACGTACGCGCTGGAGTAATCCTCATCACTATAGAGATCCGCGTCGGCCTGAACACAGATTCATATTCAATTAATAAAGTTCTCTAATTTACCTTCGCCAAATTCTGGAGCACTAACCTCGGGGTCGATAGGTGGATCGACATGCGGGTGCGAGCACATGGTGTGTCTAATGGGATTCAATATGACGGGTCACAGATGGACCAAGAGGGTCCCTGATCGCTTATAAGCCATGTGGATTAGTCCGTGGCAGAAGGCAAACACATGGAACACAAGGATTCGGCACAGGAAAAACCATTTGCGAAGCCCCTGTCCCAAGATATAATACCACCAGCTATCGGTTGCATGATTGGATTTTTGGGGGACGTGCCGGATCATAGCGCTGCACTAATGAGCCAAGAGCCACCTGCCAACGGCAAGATTTTCAATAAACGGAGCGTCCTCCGAGGGATCGGCTGCTCCGACAGGTCAGCCATTTCTTGGACGGTGGAGATACCTGCAGCACCGTTTTAGTATGGGGGCGGGGATGAAATACTAACGGTCGACGGTGCATCCTTCGGTATTGGTGGAGGGTAAAGAAGAACAGAGAACTGCGTAAATGACATCGCCCAGTTTTTGCTTTTTTATTTCTCACCTTCTCTTCTTTCTGTCCTACATGCTGACGTTGTGCGAGATCGAAGCATGTTTCAGTTGCTTTTGCAACCCTGGATTATCGCCGTAGCAGGGGTGGTCTATCTGATTGCTTTGGCTGCGTATCGGTTATGGTTGTCCCCATTGGCCAAGTTCCCCGGCCCTAAGCTGGCTGCGCTTACATTATGGTATGAACTGTACTACGATATTTACTGCGAAGGCCAGTATACATTTCAAATCATTCGGATGCATGAGAAATATGGTACTACGCGCAGCAAGCTATCAACAGGGCAAAGGACCGAGACATAAGGCTAATTGTACCTTTATCCTAGGCCCCATCGTGCGCATCAGTCCCTGGGAACTCCATATCAGTGACCCCGACTATTATGAAGTGTTATATTCTCGAGACAGCCCGCGGAATAAGTATGAATATTATACCCGGCAATTCGGGCTAACCAAGACGGCAATGGCGACAGTAGATCACTATCATCACCGCCTCCTGCGCTCCAACATGAACCCGTACTTTGCCATGACACGGATACGAAAGCTCGAACCTTTGATCCAGGCGTTGGTAGACAAGCTGTGCGACCGTCTGAGGGAATTCAAGGGAACAGGAACCCCAGTCGCCCTGCAGTACCCATTTACCTGTTTCGCCACCGATGCTGTCACCGATTACACTATGGGTGCTGGGTTCCACTACCTTGATGAACCGGACTTCGTTCCTCGGTGGAGCAGGACATTGAGTGGCATTGCAAAATCGGGTGTCTATATCAAGCCCTTCCCGTGGCTTCTCAAAGTATTCAATGCTCTACCCGAGCGTTGGTTGTCTTGGCTAAATCCCGAGATGGACTTGACATTCCATTTTCAACGTCGCTGCCGTGACGTTATAACGTCGATCATGGAGGAGCAAAACGCCAACGGATATGACAAGGTTAAGAGTCAATTCAGCCATCCTACTTTCTTTCATGACGTGCTCAATAGCAATCTTCCACCAGAGGAGAAATCTCCGGAGCGCTTATGGCAGGAAGTTCAGGTAGTGGTCGGTGCAGGGGCTGAAACTACAGGCAAAGCTTTGACTTGGACGATATTCTACCTTCTTCATAACCCAGACAAACTGCAGAAACTGAAAGAGGAACTCAACCAGCTGGATCCTGATCGAACAGCTACTTTGTTGGACTTCGAGAAAATGCCTTACTTGGTATGTCCTGGTGGAAGTATCTGTGTTGGTGATTATATCCGGCTAACTGTCTGCTACTTAGACATCAGTCATTCTTGAGGGGTTAAGGTCTGTCCCTTCTCTTACGGCAGACGTTAAAGATGCGTGTTTTTTTTTTTTTTTTTTTTTACTAACATTTCAATCCAGACTTTCGTATGGCCTCAGTACCCGATTGCAAAGAGTGGCTCCCGATAGGGCACTGCAGTTTAGAGAATGGTCTATACCCGCCGGGGTGAGTTTATGGATCTCTGTCTTCGCTTGTTGGTAATTGTATGCTTATGAAACAGACTCCCGTGGGAATGTCCAGCACGTTGATGCACCACGACGAGCGGATATTCCCCGACTCACATAAGTTTATTCCCGAGCGTTGGCTGGACCTGGAACAGCGGAAGCAATTGGAAAAGTATATGGTGGCGTTTACCAAAGGATCAAGGCAATGCATTGGCATGAAGTATGCTTCTTTTCGATCATGATCTAACCTACATACTAATGCTTGAAAAGTCTCGCGCGGTCCGAAATTCTCCTCGCCCTTCCTAAGGTCCTCAGAGAACTAGATTTTGAGTTGTATGAGACTACACTGGAGGATGTGACGCTTGCACATGATATGTTTCTTCCCTTCCCGAAGATGGATAGCAAGGGAGTGCGGGTTTTAGTGAAATAGTGGATCTATAAAGAATTTTTGAACGGATATATATATCATGGACACTCGTGTAGATAGCTTAGAATTTGGTTGTGGATTGGTTTCCAGGGAGCGTAGGGTCTTCGGCGATAGCGGTTCGTCATCAATTAACACCCACTTTTAAAGATGATGTTTTCCTTCGGTGGCTTGGAAAGAATCGGATATTCAAGCGGTCTCATCATTCGCTCATGTTGGTGGGGCAAGCAACTGTGAAGTTTTAAGGACCGTCATGGTTGACAAATATATATATCATTAATATTACGTTTGGAAGGAAACTGAAGTTCAGCGATGAGACTTGATACTATAATCTTGTTTCTGTTTATTTCTATAGGCTCTATTAATTTAAATCCATGCCCAGTCGTTTACTTGTGCAGGCCTGAAGGTATCGAAGTAAAAAGGTTGGCCCTTACAACACTTGCTAGTTTAGATTCTTTAGACCAAGACAGCGGAGGGATTGCAATATCTTGGCTATAATACCTTTAGTTCATATATCAAGAAAAGAAACATTTTCTTAACAAATCCTCGATGGTCTAACGGTCATGATTTCCGCTTGTCATCTCATACGAGAACAAGCGCGGGAGACCTGGGTTCGACTCCCAGTCGGGGAGATTTCTTTTTTGCGATATCTCGATCTCATATGCATCGCGTATCTCCCCTTTTGGTATCGTTGTTCTCTTTTCCGACTTCCTTTTTCCTCTTCTTTCTCTTTCCTTCATTGTTCCTTTCATGTATATTGCACAAATATCAGAGTCTCCAGGGTAACATCACCACGTACGCAAGAGCTATTTGCAAAGCTACCTATTGGACCTCTCAATTCTCAATACAGCATTCAACAAACGTGGGCCCATGGCACCCCCTCATACTTGGCAGGAAGCCATCCGAGCAGTGACAATTAATAAAATCAACGGTCCGTCAAGAAATGACATAACTCCGCATGCGGCAATCGATCTTCTCATATGACCGTGTGGAACAGACCGAACATTCGTTTCTGTTTGATCTTATCCGGTCGAATAGATGGGAAAGGATTAACCTTATCCATACCTTATCATCCTGTTGTCGCTCAGCCGGCAGAGAACAGGCGTTTGAAAAGTGGTGGGATACCGGGCATGCAGGCGCATATGATGGCGACGTCGCATCCGATTATACTCCAATAGATTACGGGGTTGTTGTCCACTAAGTTGTCGCCAGAAGGATGGAGATCATGTGTAGACCTGATACGTGATTGATGTCAGCTTACCACTGATACTGGTCAATTTGGACAATTGGACGAGGGATTGCATTCGGAGGCAACTGGCAATAGTGATTCTGTTCATGTTAGCATGCTTCGGACTCCATCACACCCTATTCTTGGGTTATCTACAGAACACCGGCACAGAACATTGGCATGATTAGCATCATCTTCCTTTTGCTCAAGGAAAGCCTTGAGAGTGGCGAGAGAGGAAATGAGATGATGCGTATTTCCATAACTATTTGTATTGCTGCGCGATACCATGAGTAAGTGCTGATATCGAAGCAGGTGCCGGTACCCTCTCCTGTCCAACTTGTCCAGAAGTGGGGATGCTGGCTCGCACCGGAAGAACAAGACCAGGGTATTGGATAACGCGAAGAGAATCGATAGTACTCCCAGAGTGTATCCGATATACCCGTGTTTAGATAGCGGGAAGACGCGTTGGTAAAAGGAGAGGAAAGACAGTTGAACAGATGTGTCCGCGGGTATATAGAAGATGTCAAAGAGATACAGGTACTGTCAGGTTCAGTCTAGTAACTATAGTTAGTGCAACAGATTCTGTTCGAGACGAGTTGTGGCTACGAATGAGCAGTTTTGGTGGAGCGAGAAGACATCCGTTGGTGGTAAGCCCTAAGGAAGGGAACTGGAGAGGCCTGTTGCGCCAAAAGCATATCACGAGAACTTTAGCATATCTCCGCATCTTAGAGCCTCCTATGAGGGTCATCTCAAATGGCTTGGGCCTTCGATAGTGGCTGGCTATGCCATTCCCTCGCGCACTTTAACCCTAAAATGGATCGGCAGACCAATCATGGAGATGTCGGAGAATGATGGCTATCGAGCCAAAGGCGCTATTTGCCGCACCTAATATACCAGCTGGATTAGCAATCTCCACCTCTAACTGATTAACGAACTAACTAAGTTAACTAGTTGGTTAGTTACTATGCTGGCAGTCGTCTCAGCGACGCTTAGACCAAGTTTCGCATGCATAAGATCCACACCGCCCCGGCATTTCTCTGGACTTGTCCTTGCATTCTACAGCACTTCGTTCATGTCTTGTTGCATGCATTCTCCGTAGATGGTGGCTGTCACAATGTCCCTACCAACATTAGGCAGCGTCCTTCTGGGGCTGGCCCTTTTGTATTTTGCAAAGTCAGTGCTACTCCGCAAGAAGACGTCTGCACCACTGCCCCCAGGCCCGCAGCCGAAGCCGATCATTGGAAATCTGCGGGATCTGCCGCGACCTGGACAGCAGGAGTGGGTTCACTGGTTGAAATTCAAGGAGCTCTATGGTATGTGATCACAGCAGCATATGGCCCGGTCGCAACCTGATAACTTCGATCGCCAGGCCCAATCAGTTCGGTCTCGATGTTTGGCCAAACCATCATTATCCTTAATGACCACCAGGTGGCAGTTGACCTCATGGAAAAGCGCTCTGCCACATACTCATCCCGACCTCGAATGGTCTTTGCCGGGGAAATGTAAGCATACTCCAAGCTACACCTAGTCTGCATTAGACTATGTACATACTAACACAAGGCAGAGTGGGCTGGGAAGACGTGTTAGGCTTGCAGGGATACTCCGATCGCTTTCGCTTTTATCGCAAAGTGTTGCATCGTGTTCTGGGTACCAAGGCCCTAATGTCACGCTTCAACCCCTTGCAGGACGTTGAAGTGCGGCGGTTTCTTCTGCGCGTTTTGCAGAAGCCGGATGACTTGATTCAACATATTCGAACGTAGGTGTATGAGCCTAACCGATGGTCCTATATCTAATTTGGTGTAGGGAGGCCGGAGCGGTGATCCTCAAGATCGCTTATGGATATAACATTGAGCCCAATGGCCCTGATCCCCTCGTTGACTTGGCAAACGAAGCAATGGAGAATTTCTCAGTTGCGGGGAATCCAGGGACCTGGCTGGTCGACACCATTCCTCTTTGTAGGGCAGCTTCATATCTCAGACCGACTGCCCAGAGGCTAACGAAGACAGTGAGATACCTTCCCGCCTGGTTCCCAGGCGCTGGATTCAAGCAGACAGGCTATGCTTGGAGAAAGACATTGCTCACAACCATTGAGAAGCCATATCAACTTGTGAAGCAGCAAATACGTCAGGGTTCGTACTCACCCTCATACTTGGCTAGTGTCCTCAAACAAAGCGAGGGAAAGCCTACTGCTGAAGAAGAGTTTGCGAGCAAATGGACGGCCGCATCACTTTACCTAGGAGGGGCGGACACTGTAATACCAGTCGACACGCTCGTGTGATGTGTAGTGGCTAACAGGCTCTAGACTGTATCGTCGTTATCCTGCTTCTTCTTGGCAATGGCATTATACCCTGAAGTCCAGCGCAAAGCCCAAGAGGAGATCGATCGTGTCATCGGGCCGAACAAGCTTCCTACGTTTGATGATCGTGAGAAGCTCCCATACATTGAGGCCGTGGTCAAGGAAACCCTTAGATGGCACCCCGTTGGCCCGATGGGCATTCCGCACTTGGTCACTGAGGATGATGTTTATGAAGGCTACCTCATCCCCAAGAGCGCTCTAATCCTGCCAAACATCTGGTAGGTAGAGTTCCACCCAATCTATTCTACATCTGACCGTTGTAGGTGGTTCACACATGATCCCACTATCTATCGTGATCCCGAGACGTTCAGACCTGAGCGTTTCCTGGGCGACAATCCTGAGCTCGATCCGCATAGCCTTGTGTTTGGTTATGGCAGACGCATCTGTCCTGGTCAATTCTTAGCAGATGCAACCGTCTTCCTCAGTACTGCACAGTCTCTGACGGTTTTCAATTTCTCTAAACCAGAAGGGGAAGATCTACAGGCTGAATTTCTCCCGGGTGTTATCAGCCACCCGGCACCATATAGTCTCGATATCACCCCTCGGAGCGCTGCCCACAAAGCATTGATCCGTTCAGTGGAAGTGGAGCATCCGTGGGAAGAGAGCCACGCGAAAGAGCTCGAGAAGGTGGGGTGTTGATGATTAGACGTTGTGATGTTCAAATGGCCTTTGGATAGCTCTGATACGTCACATAACCACCCCCTAGGATTATCAGTAAAGCTCAAGGCAACGGGCAACTTTATACACATGCCGCAGAATCATTGAAATGGTCGCAGTGCATCGATATTTTAGAACCGACCAAACTCACATCAACCCATCGTTCGGCAAGGAACACGGATCGGGCCTTGATCATATCGAAGGTGTGAATTCTTATTAGTTGCGACGGACCAGTTCAACGGCGAAACACATGCCACCTCTGGTTATAAACATACAAAGTCAGGAATTCAGATATAGCACATGTGTGCAGTCGAACAATATCTAAATAACACCTTCCTACCGCTCTATACCTCGTACTTATACAAGGCTATGGCTGCACCACAGCAAATGATCAAATGGTTTATTAACCATCGATGTTAAAAAAAAGAGAAGCAAGATTGGGTAATGTAGCATGAGACCGAACCACTTGATTCAATCATACTGGAGTATCACTTGCAAGACCGTGAAGAAAGTAGGGCGATGGTGATTCCGATTCCTCTATACCGTTGCCATTCCCCAAGCAATCGATACACTATTGTGCTTTAAATAGTCTTGCTGATAATCGCATTACATGATACAAACAAACGTCCCACACAGCATCTAATTGATGCACTAGGGGTCGTTACTAAAAGTGGCATGTCGCAGTGTTGATCTCGACAGTATCTGCGTAAAAACTGCTCTTCAACAAACTTCTAGTCCGGTGTGATGCTTCCTCTGCAGCGTTTTAAAACCAGAACTGTTTGAGATCAGTATTGAGTTCCGTGATTTATTTACTTAATTTTTTTTTTTTTTTTTTTTTTTTTTAGGATCGACACTGACTCACTGCCATGTCCTTTGCAAATACTTGTTGGCACTGCTTGAGCTCTGACCTGTCACCGTCGATGTCTTCAGTGACCTTTTTACCCAACCGACTTACTGCGGTGTATGTGAGAGGCTAGGCAGCGGGATACCTCAGTCGGTTGATAGGTGCATCCACCCCATATGTATGGATGCATAGTAGAGCTGGGCATTAGCCAGCCACAAAAGTGGATCCAGTAGCACGGCGTCCCGATTGAAGCGCGTCCTATTCTTGGCCGCGAAGCCTTCTTCAACCGCGTTGCATCTTCCCGGAACTTCGAAAGGGATTCTGACACCCCGAGTCATCTATTATTCCTATCATAGACAGAAGACGCAGATCTGCTCTCACTCTAGCTTTGCTATGGTCCCTTCACTGTGCGGGGAGTCTTGATAATGAGGCTACTGGTAGCCGAGTATCGTCGGCGAAATTACGGGTCCAGACCCCCTTGGTATTGCTGTTCTTCTAGGGGGCCTTCTCCCGTGGCCGCATTTGCAAAGAGGGATGGCTTATCCCTTTACGCTTATAGTATTCCAATACAGTAGCTATTAACGAGACAATAGAGAAACAGTTGATAAAACACGGGTTGAGATACGGGCAGAGCCACCCCAGTGAAGGTACCTGTCATCGAAAACAGATGCCAATCACCGGCCCTATTATTCCCAGGCCATAGTGAATCAGCCTTATTCTAGACTAAGCTGTGAATTGGGTACATTTCTCGTGAATGACTAAATGGTTTTGTGGATTAATTGACCCTGTTAAGAGAATAAGTCTCATGGGAGAGAATACACAGGGAACTTTCTATATTCAAAGTTAATGAAGCACGAAGACAATTATAATAAGGGTCAACAACCGGATGTCCCGTGCCAAATGGCCTAGTGGCGCCAATACATCTGTAGGAGAGTTATGATAAGGGGTTACTTGGGAGAAAATAAGGGGACAATATGCTATGGTAATCTAACAATCGATATTTATTATTTGGAACTAGCGATAGATTGGTGTCCTGTGTCACAGGAAGCGTACCATAACAGCCTATGAACCAGCATAAAGCATTGAGTTGTCCGTTTCGAAGTAGCATTATATCCCTTGATTCTAAATTCAAGTGCTACTGATCGAACAGCACAGTTTGGGGGCATTGGAAGCTCTTGAACCGTATCTGTCCAGGCATCTCTCGTCCAACCGCTGCAGTAACTTTGGGAACTCTTCAATGAGCAAGAAGACATTGCCAGACTTATGACTGTCATGGCCAGTCATCAAATCTTTTCCCCTCTTCTCCGAGTCTGGTGGCTGTGTGAGGAGTGCGCAAGTTGCGATCGAGCATATGCAACAGCAACCAGAATAACAAAAACGAATAACAAGATAACAGTCATCGAGCTTGAACCCTCCCTGGGAGAAGACCCAAGCTCCTTCTCTGTAGGCGAAAACCGGATTTGAGGTTCGGCGAGGGGAATGCGAGGCCTGTCCGTCCTATGGCTACCATTAGAATCATCCATTTGAGACACTTGATTTGGGCTTACTTTGGCGTGTGAAAAGGGGGATATTTCCCAGACCGACTGCCATGATGAGGACCGTATTGTGGGCTCGGTTGAAATTCGGCGTCTGGATTGTGATGCTGAAGCCAACGCTCGTAGTCGGTATTTGGTCTTCCTGTAGCCGGCATTTTGCGTATATGATCAAGGAGTAACCATTAAGAGACCGATGTATTCTTCCTAATATTCATAAACAAAGTCAAACCGAGGAGTCATAACCGGAAGTACGAATATGCACACAAAGAGGAGACCCTTGGAAATATGGCTGCCTGCCCCAACTGTGGTAAGCTTATTTAACATAAACTGGAGACCAAGCTTCGGTCAAATATAGCTTAGCCTCCGAACTTAAACAGACCTTATCTAGGCAGATGATCATAGCGTTCGTTGTCTCGGACAAGGCTCGGTTGAACCCAAATCGCCCTGTGGTCCCATGGGATGACTGTTCATGGCACCCAGGACGCACCAGTTCTCGATATAAAGTATGAAAAGAGTCTCTGATAATACCTTTCTCGGGGCCAACAGATGGCTATCCAGGCATCCAACCCCAAAGCACTTCCCACAGGTAGGCAGAACAATTCTGGGCTCATCGATTAAAGTTACATCCGTGGGTTGCCTTGGCCTCTCCACTATGGACGTAACTAGACTATCACACGAAGATTACCTAATTAATATTGGTCAAGCCCGTCTTACGTGTAGCCGGTGCCTAGTACTACATCTCCCTCGGTAGGTTCAGCGTCCTGCTAGGATGCCAGCGACGTATTGGACCGTGTTGTCCCGTGTTGTCGCATGGGCGTACGAGCCAAGACTTTCCAGAAGAAAACCAAACGTCAGCACTGAGCTAAAATAAGGGTCCATGTCTTAAAATGTTCGAGCCACCATGGTTCCGTCCAATTGAAGCGAAAGTACCTGCCAGCGTTTACCCGTTCTCCACAGGAAAAGGCCAATCAAATAAATTTGTCTGGACCCCCAAATGATAACGAGGTAGAGATCTACTGTCGAAACTTGTTATGGGATGACAACAGGCAAGGATGCCTAGGCGTCTTACCTGGGAACAGTTTGCGGAGCATCGCACTGAAGTAATGGTTCGAAATTAACAAGGTTGTCTCTCTGTTGCCTTGTACTGACTATACAATTCTCCAATGACGTGAGGGGGCACACGCATTGAAGCAATATGGTTCCAAACCTGTAGAAAGGTGAAGATGGCATGTGCCTCTGGACGACCAACATTACAACTCGGCACGTAATAAGACGGGTGAGACTGAGAGCGGGCAAGAGAGGAATTGTCGATTAGCACTCTAGATCCTTTAGGCTGTTTCAAGAGGTCTGACTGAGAGATGCCGTCTACGTAGAGAATGACGCGGGGATACGATCCGTCTATCTAAGAGGAAACCGTACCTCAGATGACCTGGTACGAGATCACCGTAACTCTGAGGAACTGTTTCGGTCGTTGTTGAAGAAACGTGTTTAGAATACTGATTTAGGCTTGCATACTATAAGCGCACATTTGATACTGTGATCTGAGAGATAATACTTTAACGTCCTGTTGACTGAGATATGTTAGGGTTATCGGGTCATGTACCGTGATGGAGCGAAGCAAGATATCAAAATTTCTCTTTAATCGATCCATCGCATATAACACGTTCTTGGAATGGCCTTCCGCAGGGAGCCATACTAGATGTTCGAACATACTTGTGTACAATGTCTAATTATTCTTGAATGTTTAGATGAGGTTCAAAGTCGGGATATAACTTGCTCTGGAACGACTCGAGATTTGGGACTAAAAGAGTGGCATATAACCAAAATTATCTTCTGAATGGGTTTGGACCGGGATGCCTAGTATTAACAAGATCAGACACCGGTAAGAATTGAGCGGAGCCCGTTGCGCGAGGTTATGGGCGAGACAAGCAAAAGACGTCAATTGAAAACTATGATAGTAGAATATAGTAAGGGAGATATCCCTGACTATACATGTACTCGTACATAGAAGCAATGCACCCAGCCTTTCCCAAGAGGTTTGGAGATTCTTGTTTACAACTTTCTGCCGCAGTGCTCACTATCAAGTACCTCCCAATATGAGTGGAATAATAAACACATACGTTGCCCCCCAGATAAATTGTACACGCAAAATATCTAATGGGAATACAAGCCTTCTATCGTTGACTTTTAATCCCCGCGATATGGACTGGGCTGCTTTTTAATATCGGGAATGGAAAAAGACGAAAACGATATAAAATGATTGTATATTTGACTAAAGCCGATAGAGTCTCTGCCGTTGGTTACTACTGATCGCGTCGCCAATTCCTATCAATAGCTTTGTACAAAAATGTCTTTTTTCTAGACATACAGCTTTGGACCAGACCCCTGAAGACGATACTTTTCTAACAGCAGCAGGGATCGGCAATGATTACTGGCCCCGCAATGGTGCCATAATAAAAGGCCAAGTATGCTCACATTGTGTCGATAAGCAGTCATATCGATTATTCCAGGAAATAGAAGCTTCTCGCTAGATATATCAGTCTAGGTTATTGCTGTGTTGGTGATATCCCGAGATGCTAGTAGCCTAGACCATTGAACTGACTCGAAGCGGTTTATGTATATTCATGTTCTTGTGGTACGTGAGTTGACTTCTATTGTATCTAGCAGCCATTAGTCCACATTTGAGCCATGTTATGTCCACATTGGTAAAAGCCTCGCATTTAAATATGATCCCACCAGGTTGTGGCTTTCATGCCCAGCTCTTAGTTTAGTTACTTTTCGTCTTAACTCAGTTAGGTGTCGGCCCCACACTTCAAAAAACCTTCTTTCTCAGCTATAGGGAGTAAGTTCAGGCTCCTTGCCTCCTACCTTGAAACCCTAGCTTATGCATACTCCAGATGGAGTAGTCCTGTCACACCAAGTTACAGCCTGTAATGGACTGCCATCATTGGCCGAAGCTCCCATTCTCAGCACAGTGGATTACCACACGTTGCGGCTCAACCTGCGAGCATACGCTGATATAGCAGCTTCATACTAACGTCTGCTCTACGGAGCAGGATTATGAGAGAATGGATGTGAACCTCTCATACCGCTAAAGCGCTCCCAGATCAGATACAACCCACTCTTGGTATATATTCCACGCGTATCTGTATAACCACAGCAAACAACGTCTGCTAAGCGAGCCGCAACCATTGCCAAGATACGTGGACTCTATCCGCCATGGGTCCACCAGTCGGCAGTTATTATCCCGATATTCCCACCTAATTGGCTTGCCCGTAGCCGGACACCGTTTGATATAGATTAACTCGCCGTTAGTTCGTGGTTCGGTGGAATTAGGGCGTACAAAGCCTATGATAGAGACGAACTCCAGTGGAGCTTCGGCTACCCTCTCGGCTACAGAATACAGTCAGTACTCCGAACTTCGAAGTAGTGTACAGAGTGCGCGCGAGAAAAATGGCCCACTGCTGATCCTCCTGCTTAGAGCGTAGCACTTAAATCAGGGGCGGCTTTGAAGGATGGTACAAAGTGATAGATAAGATGTGATGGGCCTCATATGGTACTCACTGCCTCATTTTTCTTACTTCTGTTAATCGTTTGTATTGTCTAACTGTCCACTCCTTTTTTTCTCGTAATTGAAGATACTAATTTCTATTGTCGCTCTTTGTTCTTTTTTCCTCTTTGTCTATATTCGCTTATAGATGCTGTAAAATGCGTTCTGCATCATTTCTTCTATGGGGTCTGGTACCTCTCCTTTCATCCGCCCAACTCACTGGTAGAGTCGGGCCCCTCAAGTCAGCGGCTGAGAAGGCCGCTTATAAAACGTGCAATGTTCTTGATTACGGAGCAGTCGCCGACTTGTCAACTGATATTAGTGAACCATTACTGGACGCCTTTGCGGACTGTAATGGCGGCGGTCTGGTGTATGTTCCGGAAGGAGAGTATGCCTTGTCGAGCTGGGTCCTCTTTGATAAAGGAAAGTCCTGGGCTCTGCAACTTGACGGTGTGATCTACCGTAATGGAACCGACGGCGGCAACATGATAGCTTTTGATCACACGAGCGATTTTGAGATGTTCAGCAGCACCGGAAAGGGTGCGATTCAGGGACTCGGGTATGAGTTTCGTATTGCGGGACAATCGACGAATACCAGGACGTTGAGGTTGCAGAAAACCTCCTCTTTTGCCGTTCATGATATTATCTTGGTTGATTCTCCAGCTTTTCATTTGTCGCTTGACACTGTGACAGATGGTGAAGTTTACAATGTTGTCGTTCGCGGGGGCAACTCCGGTGGGCTAGATGGTATTGATGTGTGGGGTGAGAATGTCTGGGTCCATGATGTGAGTCCGCTGATATTGAATGGAATGCCTGGGATGCAACTCACTGACGGTCGATATATAGGTCGAAGTGACTAATAAGGATGAGTGTGTGACTGTCAAGGTACAGGGGAACTCAAATTTGCTTCATGGTCGACTTGCTAACTATATCCCTCACAGAATCCATCCCATAACTTGTTGATCGAGAACGTCTACTGCAACTGGAGTGGAGGTTGCGCAATCGGATCCATTACCTCAGGCACGAATATCACGGACATCATCTACCGTAACGTGTACACTCATTCGTCCAACCAGATGTTTATGATCAAGAGTAACGGGGGTGACGGATACGTGAGGAATTTGGCTCTAGAGAATTTCATTGGTAAATCTGCTTTCTCTTCCCTTGTTGCACACTACGCCAGAAATAATTGCTAAGGAGAGAACTATTCTCAGGACACGGAAATGCCTATTCCCTGGACATTGACAGCGCCTGGAGCAACATCGAGACAGCCGACGGAGATGGTGTCGAGTTTTCAAACATTACCATATCCAATTGGAAGGGCACTGAAGCGAATGGGGCGCAACGTGGTCCGATCAAGATCCTCTGTCCTGATGATAATCCTTGCTACGATATTACGATGAAGGACTTTGCCATGTGGACGGAAACCGGAGACAGCCAGACCTATTTCTGCCAGAGCGCTTATGGGGACGGATTCTGCCTCCAAGATGGTGACGATCTGAAGGAGTACACAACGACCCTGACTGCCACCAGCGCACCGACTGGCTACACAGCACCCACAATGAAGGAAGATCTTTCCGAAGGGATAGCTTTGAACACATCCATTGCGATTCCTACTATTCCCGCCTCCTTTTACCCCGGTGTGACGCCATACAGCCGCATCGCAGGCGGCAGCTCAGCAGCTGTAACCCCCAGCTCGAGTGTTGCACCCCCTTCGAGCTCTGTAAACGCCAGCTCAAGTTTCGTCGCATGGAGTTCTTCAGTTCATGTCTCATCATCGTCGAGGGCTGTCAGCTCGCCATCCATGACCAAAGAGAGCCCTTCATCATATTGGACAAGGGCTACAGCAACACCCACTACGACTGCTGCAACTGGCACCCAGCCCACCAATCCCGTCGAGAAGAAGCCGTCCGCTGATACCGAAGTAGTAGTTGGAAAGTGTGGTTTTGCCGCACCCCCAAGCCAGAAGCCCCATCACCATGTACACCACAACTCTCCTCACCACCATTGAGGTCGACAACTAGAGCGCTCTTGTATATAGAAAGTCAACTGTAATATAGAGAGGCCGTGTCGAAACGCCAAACGCTCTACTTATTATGTAAAATGTGTTCTACCACGTTGGCAAGAAACGATATTCAAAGCCTACGGGGAATATAACGAGAGGTATACTGAAGGATTCATTCAGCTCATACCCAACTGGCCTTTCCCACGGGTCTTGAATGTGAAACTCGGTCGATGGCATCCATCATCGTATATGAAGTAGGCGGTGGTATATAGAAGAGGGAAAAAAATATTGAGGTCCTAGCCGGATTCGAACCGGCGTTACCGGAAGATTTGACTTCTCATATATCGATTGATACATATTGTTCATCAAAATCCGGTGGGATAACCACTACCCCATAGGACCGATGGATGGCAAATTTTTCGCTCCAGGGCACATTTAGCAGACAAGAAACTCCATAGGTAGCCAGGTGCGCTTGCTTCTAGAACCCCAAGCCAAATATCTAATATAGCTTACATATTTGATTTACCTTCGAAATTTTATGAATGAGAGTAATATAATAGTATATGCTTGAATGCAGAACCAGTAGTCCTTCCGTGGAGATTTCTTGTATAAGAATTCTGATCGCTTTCAGAGGCTAGAATCGCGTATATCCGACAATGCAAGGATAGCAGCAGGTAATGCCTGAAGGATATCCCGGAGTCATAGAACTAGGGAAATCCGGCCCTTTCTCTCTGTGTATCGTCGAACTTTACAAGGCGAACAGTTTGGTGAAAGCCTGTATTGCGTATTACTCCACTATTCTGGCTTCAAGCCTGGGAGACCTTGGGAGGCCCGTAGACGGACGCCTTCTCAGAAGGAGAAGTTTGGAAAACCTGATAGACACAACATTCTTAACAATCTGTCGAAGACTAGATCACTCGTAATTTGTCAGGTTCTCCTGCGTAGTAAACTCTCAGCTAAAGTCTAGCAGAAGCTAAAATCGCAAGCCGTCGAACTTGGATGGCTCCTTCATGGACTAATCGGAGATTCTGCTTAACTACCAAACGTTTACAGTGGATCTCAAGTCAATAATTCCAAACATTGTTCCACTCAAGACATGCATACAAAACACTTGTTTTTATCAATCTTGTGGCAGAGAAATGGCCAAACTGCGGCGCCTTTATCCTCAGATACATTACCGCACTAGGGCTCGCTCTTCGACCGAAGGGCTCAGGGTAGCCCTACGCTCACTGATCTTCTCCTTTCTCTATTCCTTCTTCCCCCCCACATCCAAGGGTAGACCTATGATATCACACTTCTTCAGAACCCCCCCGCATCTCCCGTGGAGAGAAATATGGGTTCAGGGAGTTCTCCGGTGGAGGACTCCACTGCCAAGACCAACCATCGCGCAAAATGTCCGCGAATCATGCAGCCATTCGCAGGAGAAACGCGAGCAATGAGACAGAAGCCAAGGTCTGGGGGAATTTATAAAAAACTAGGGATCTCATCAAATCCGTCAGGATCTGCCTTATAGCTGGAAATAGCAATTTTATACAATAATACTGTATCTATCGTAAGGGACGAATTCGTCGCTGCAACAGCATGCGTATCTTGTCTTCCGTCCTCGCTGTGGCGAATATACTCACCCTCTCAACGGGCAGAGTCATTCCTCGCCAAGATGGGAACTCTTACGTTGGCTACCTCCTTTCTACCTTTAGCGACGCGAATCCCTCGGTATTTTGGTATCTTTCCGAAGGGTCTGATCCGTTAGCCTTCAAAGCCCTTAATGGAGGAAGTCCAGTATTGGAATCAACTGTTGGCACACGAGCAGTGCGGGATGTTTTTCTGGCTTCCAATGCTGCCAGGTCTGAGTATTTCATTATTGCGACCGGTACTGAGCCCATGTTGTGACTTAAGACCCAGATTTACTAACAAATCCATCTTCCGGTAGACTTGGATATCAACGCCGAGGGCTTTTCCTGGGATGAAGCAACAAGACGCGGTAGCCGTGGGCTTACTATCTGGAAGTCAGATAATCTTGTAGATTGGTCTGAACCTACATTGACAACGTATGTAAGCCAAGAGGTCTCAAATGCAGCTGATTCTGATTGTTTCCCAACAGGATTGAGGAGGACACCGCCGGCATGGCCTGGGCACCTTCCGCTGTCTGGAATGATGATGAGCAGCAATACTATCTCTTCTGGGCGTCACGACTTTATGATCCTAGCGACTCCGATCACACCGGCACTGCTGGTTTGGATCGGATTCGCTATTCAACCACCAAAGACTTTGTGACCTTCAGCTCTCCGGCTGATTACGTCGCTCTGGATGGAATCCCTCTAATTGACCAAGAATTCCTAGAGCTCGGCACACCCGGAGCCTACGCTCGTTTCATCAAGGACGAAAACGTCAACTAGGTTTATCAAGAAACCACAACAGGTGGGCTGTTTGGCGAATGGACCCGCATTCCCGGCTATATTGGCGATAATCCGTTGTCCGAAGGGCCAGCTTCGTTCCCTGATATCGAAAACTCCGAACTTTACCATCTGTTCCTTGACAACTATGAGGAGTACGTGCCGTTCCAGACAAGCGACATCAACGCGGGTTCTTGGGAGAAATCAAGTACTGTTTCTCTCCCCTCGGGTTTGAAACATGGTTCTGTTTTGCTGTTAACGCAGTCGGAGTATGATACTATTACTTCTAAGTATGCGACGAATTAGGCGGCATAACTTGATTGAGATGGCGGTGTGTTAGGTAGTCGATTAATATAGTATCATTTGGTCCCTTTACATCATAAATTACGATTCCCAATATGGACAAGCATAGTACCGAAGAATTGCATGAAGTTAGAAGTGAGCAAGCTATTACAGCAGCATGGTTGGAACGGCCTATGGAATGAACTACTCTTGACCCCGACTCCTGGGATGTAACCACGTAGATCCTATTCGCACTACTAGAGAAGTGCTTCTAGCGTCTGCACAGTTCTTGCGATAGCCTCGTCGCTAGCTTTGAACATCGCATTGATGTCAAGAAAACGCTCAACCTCCTTTAATGCGGCAAGGACGTTTTCGCTTGTACGTGGACAGAATCTGCTCACAAATTCACGGTGGACGGGGACGCGGTGGTGGGACATCTCGAAAAAGTTTCGTTCCCTGGAGGTCTCCATGAGTCGTGTAATTGACGTTCCATTTGTTCGCTTCCTTTCTTTTTCGGCGAGAATGGATAGGAAATAGCTCTTGTCTGCCGCGAGGTCTAGATATGCGTGAGTCTCTGGTAAACTTGGAGGCGCGCCGCCAGGCACATTTTCGAGTAGTTTTGGGAATGTCGCAGCCTTCTGTAGTGGTACGGCAAAGTTGCAGTCCCAGTCAATGATACTGGGGAATGATCAGTATTGCATCGGACATGATGTTCAAGGAACGACAGCGCTTAGGTGCCAACGCTAGGGGTTAAACGAACCCTTTGATGTTATATTCCTCGTCAATTATGATGTTGTCATTGTGGAGATCGACATGGACAAACACCCAAGGGCAATTTTCATGCTGCGCATCAACATACCGGGGAATCATTGATCGTTGAATTAGATAGTCGATTGCAGTGGAATAGTCTTGGCGGCGTAGCGTACGACGTATGCCTCTGTCCACACTCTCAGTGAGCCAGATGCTGGTTGATACCTGTGTACCCTTGGGAGTCCCGTCGGGTACCCCTACTGACGTGAGAATGGCTCGATGGTATGGCTGCAAGCAGACCTACCATAAAATAAGGTTTCCGTGTCCAGTGGACACTCATGAATCATGTTGAGTATAAGGTCGGCGATCTGGTCTAGGACCTTCTGCCGATATGGTACTGGAGGGGTGGATAGATCCCATGGCATCATGGGTGACCCTTCAATCCAATCTAATAACATGTAACCAACCCCGACAGGGTTGTAGCCGCGAGAGCCGCAGTCAAAAAGCCCGTGTATACGAGGAGCAGGAACATTTGGAGACTTTCGGGCAAGTTGGATTGGTCTAATACAAATCTCTAAAAAGGAATCATCCTGGTTCAAGGGTATCCTTGCAGTCCATCGCTCATGCCTATCGCGAAAGCTGATGATGAAGATGATGTAACCAGGTCCAGTGATAGGTGAGCTGTTGTTATCTAGCTGACAGGCTGGAGTGCCAGCAAGGGAAGATGCAACCTCAAGCAGGGCTTGCTTATTGAGGAGCTTCAGAACCTCGTCCACAGATCTCATCTTGTTCGGAAAATGTTTGAGCTGCCAAGCATGTCCAGAGCCAAGGAAAAAGTTGAGAAGTGATACTTCGCAGGACGTCCAGCAAGATTACGAGAAATGCTTTATATACTTAGACCTGCTACCACTATAGTATGCAAGGGTTATTGGGTCATCGCGGTAGATACCTGTCATACATGTACTGAGTTACACAGTATATCGTTATCCAATTATATGACAAGGGGAATCGTCCGCTGTGATCCATGGGCTATTGTTATGGAGCGTTGTCAAATGTCAATTGGCTGCTGCATCATGGACGCGTCAGACGGGAACATGCATCGGGATCCGAAAGATAATATACGAAGCGGTCAGAATGGATTTGGTTGCTTCATACATGGGAACTAATTGCCCCTCATTTATCTTTCTTGTGCGACATGCCCACTAGACGGGGTGTTGAGAGCTTTTCCTCCCATAGGAGCCTTTGCAGAATATGTCATGATCTTCGTGACAATGGTGGGCAGACCCTGGGGAAGGCATTGGGCGTATATGGCCGATTGAGCGTAAATCGAAATCGTCTCTGGTCTTACTGAAGACTATTTAATTAAAGGCAAATATGGCGCACCCTTCTTCTTATGAAGATCTCAGCCTGAACCGAGTGCCTTAGCTTTCCTCATCCTCTAGTCTTTCTCATACTCTCCCCGCTCTCACTATGGCTGATATCGAAAAGCCTTACAGCACCTCAATTTTCAATTCCCTGCCTGAGCTGCACCACGCACATGAAGACTTCGTAGCTAACGGCGGACCTGAGCTGGTCAACAATGTCCTCGGACCTTTGATCGTTCAGCATCGATTGGAATTCACGCTTGGCGCTGGTCTATTGCACCGCCACTTTGATCTTTCAGACAAGGAAAAGCTGGTTGAGTTTAACAATGTCTCAATGCCATGGATGCACCAGCAGGGTGACAGGCATAGCGGAGGCCGAATTCTACCTTGTGCCTGGATGATTGATGGCACCGGCCTCGTTCCGTATGAGTTCTATTTCTCGCCACTTTGCCATGATACGAAAGCTGACCTAGCTGTCATGGCCCCATTTCTCCACAACTTTATACGCTGTACTAAGGATGAGGGATTGGAAGAGACTATTGGGCTTCGATTGTTTCATCGTCCCGGCTTTACAGGGGCTTTGGAAATGACAGAGTGGAGAGCAAATATCAATTTGACACCCGACCAGGTAATGTGCAATCTATCTTTGAACGTGATATCTATGAACTGAGTAGCTGATCACATATTTGTGTATATTTATATATGACTACAGGTCCCCGATGAGGCATGGAACAGTTCCACAGAAACCATGTGGTTTTTCGAACCGAATTATCTACGAAAGAAATATTCGTGTAGATGCAACCCAGCGTCTGGACACATGCATATACATCAGCCGTGAGAAGTGAAGATGAACGACAATAATTGATATCTTGCCATGGCGCATGAGTGATTCTGATGGATGCAGGGGGATGGCCTTAAAATGCATTTACTAGGTTCTCGAAATTGTCTTCTTTAATTTTGAGCCACGACGTCTCTCTTGGCTAGCCCGTTCTATGCGCCCAATTTGTTACATAAATGCTTTCCCACAGGCCTGATATGCCCTAAACGGATTTCTTTCATTGCGTTCAAATATAACTGGACATAGAGGGCAATAATAGGTTCTTCGCCCAAGTAATCACGTCCATTGTCCTCGCGTACTGTAAACAGACCGACGACTTCTACATCAACTAGTGGCGGTGGCATTGAGTAATGCGTGCATTAAATAGTACTTGTTGCAGTGGATAGTTTGAGGGCTTTATAGAAGTATACAGATAGTCCCATTGAATCACACTGGATAGTGCAGTGTGTAAACCCAACACTCTCATTGCCATTGCTGTAGTGTTGATATATTTCTGGAGATTCGAAGCCGCTAAATCGCTACAGGACCCGTATTCGATTGATTAGGGCCTGTCAATGTTTACATCATGCACAGCCTACTCCGCCGAGGCTCAATCAGCATTCAACTCGCGTGTTGGCTATGCCGATCCATTCCCGTATCGTCGTGAGATACGCTGATCCCCCCCAGCCAATTTCCGGATCGAGCAAATCAGGCCAAATGCAAGTGGGCAGGACAAAATCCTCTAATACATTGTTTGAACGATATAATGCGGCTGTAGCCCCCATGCACCGATGAGAATCGAACAACACAATTGCTGGCTCACAACGATGGCACCCTCATTATCGAAAATCGGTCTTCTGCCTATTCTTGCGCTGTCGCTTTGCTTCGGTAGTACTTTGGGTGAGCCCTGGAAAGTTATCGACTCGGATTTCCCCGACCCTAGCGTCATCAAGACCGACGATGGATATTATGCCTTTGCAACCTCTTCACACGGGGTCAATACTCAAATAGCTCATTCTGCAGATTTCAACACGTGGAAGGTCTTGGATGGCCAAGACGCGCTTCCAGGTCCTTTCCCAAGCTGGGTAAATGGGAGCCATCCGAAGGTCTGGGCTCCAGATGTTATCCAACGGGTGAGTCTATGAGTCTCTTCCATGAGCTCCAACTAAGAATGACAGAATGATGGAACCTTTGTCATATACTATTCCGCCGCCACCAGCGGAACCAACAGTAAACACTGTGTTGGCGCCGCAACTTCTTCGTCAGTTACCGGCCCCTACTCGCCGGAGCAAGATGTACTTGCCTGTGATAAGAGCAAAGGCGGCGCCATCGATGCTGCGGGCTTCAAAGATGACGACGGAACGTACTATGTTGTGTATAAGGTTGATGGCAACAGTCTCAACCAGGGCAGCGAGTACCACCCCACCCCTATCATGCTGCAGAAGCTGAAGTCGGATGCCGTGACTCCTGACGGGGACGCCGTGCAGTTGATTGATCGTGACGATGCCGACGGGCCCCTGGTCGAAGCACCTAGTCTCGTGAAGAGCGGTGGCCAGTACTACCTGTCGTTCTCGTCAAATTGGTACAACACCTTGAAATATGATGTTAGCTACGCCGTCGCATCGACCGTAACGGGTCCGTACACCAAGGCGTCGGCTCCAGACGCGCCGCTGCTGGTTTCAGGGGATAGCAGCGACGGAGGACCTCTTGGTGGTCCCGGTGGCTCTGATTTCCGCCAGGATGGAGGTGCGATTGTGTTCCATGCTTTCAATAATGGGCAGAATATGACCAAGGGTCGTGGTATGTGGGCGGCCAACGTCAAGATTGGTGGAGGAAAGATCTCTGTCCAGTGAGCCAAGGATATGGGCATCAAGTGTCGTTCATTAAATATATCAAATTTGTACGAATATCGTCGTTAATATACATGCATGGTATAATTACATATCTCAAGGGTATCTGCAGTTTGCTAATGAGCGTGGCCATCCTGATTCCGAGGATGGTTCTTTTCCAGCTCACGCCATTTCTTAACCACGACAGCTCTCTCCTCTGCTGATGAGGCACACATCTCCTGGATGCCTTGTTCTAGTCGCGACCGTAAGATGTACTTCGTCTTGTTCTTTGTTAGGGAACTGCGAAGGCTCTTGTGTAGTCCGTCCAGCGGGAAGCCTGCTAGTCCCCAGATGCCTATTGAGGTTGTAGGTTAGCTTACGAATAGAAATATAATGTATTCGAGAAAGGCATACCTGCAGCTGGCTTCAAGAACACACCACCCATACCCTTCCCGACGCCCTTTACCAAGCCTCTACCACCGGACTTCTGGAAGCCCCGAGCAGGTTGCGTAAGAAGGCCGGTAATGCCATAGTAGAATCCTTCTGTGAATTCCTGTCCACTGTCAGCATCCTGCCTGAAGACCACGCATAGGGCAATCACTCACGATCCCGGCTGCTCGAAAGCCACTCTTCACATTGCGTACTCTCGGGATCCGTTGCACCGTTGTATCATGATACAGCTTTGGTGCGTTATGGAAGCCCTTGGCTAAGCTCAGCGTCAAATCGGTGGGTAACATGATCGCATAATTAAGCACTTGCTTGGCAAACTTAGAGGTGTGATAGCTTGTTTCCGCTAGAATCTCTTGCGCACCGATTTTCTGTTCTGTAGCTTGTTTGCGAGTCAGCGTGCGTTCAAGATCGAGTTCATTCGCAGCGTTATCGGCATCGGAGTCATCAACCGCTGTATCTGCACTACTACTGCCTGACTGTCCTTCCTCGGCTGAAGCATATTCGCTTTCACTCCCCGGTTCTGAGGCGGATGACCCATCATCGCTCTCAGATCGGTCTTGACGACTGGCGCCATTGATATGGGAATTGGAAGGCCCCTCCCCTTTTTGTGCTTTCGCCTGCGCCAGGCCTGCGGCACAATGTGACTGTATCCAATCTCGGTCACCGATATGGCGATGGTGATTGTGACGCTTTCTTTTGCGGTTTTCCTTGGAAAGCATTCCAGCCAGGTCTGTAGGCACAGTGGCAAGGCCGCTGATGAAACCGCTGACAACCCCATATAGCACCTCAGCACTGGCGGAAAGCGGTCCTCGCGGATCGCGGTTCGTGTCGTAATGCTTAGAGCGATACCTGAAAAGTATGAGTTAACGGTCACAGAACACGTTGGTCTGAAGGAAAGGGGGTCTCACAGTTCAAGACTATGCGGGTCCACAAGCCCAGCCTCTACCAGAACGGCTGCCGCAAATGTGCTCAACTTGATGTGCAGATGTTTATGCCACCATACCGCCGGCCGGGTGGGACATATAGCGCACCGCAGCCTGCGCAAATCGAGATGTTGATGAAAGCTGCAGACGGCGTTTTGCACACCCCTCTCTGTCCGCATGCCTTTGCCTATCTCCTCGGCCTTTTCTAGAGTAGATGGCTCTAGAGCTTTGTTGATTGCTTCTGCTAGTTTCTGTGCGGTCAATTGTTTATATGGCACGGGCTGTGGTCCAGCGCCTGCGCGCGCCACAATCGATCCCCAGAACGGCTGATCACCGAAGAAGGGTACAATTACCGTCGGACGACCCAGGACCAGCCCGGCAGCAGTGGTGCCTGCACCACCATGGTGAACGACGCATGAAACATGATGGAAAAGCCAGTCGTGTGGAACCTTGCCCAACAGCATGACATTCTCGGGAATCTCCGCTCTTCCTTCTCCAATATTGCCCCATCCCTTCGACACGAGCGCTCTCTTCCCTGTAAGACGGACAGCCTCGAATACAATTTCGGTCAGTTTAGCGGGATTGTCAACTACGATGGAACCAAAACCGATATACACCGGGGGGTCGCCTGCTTTAAGGAATGCATCAAGATCGTCGGGTGGCTTGTAGTTCGTGTCGCTGGCTAGAAACTGGAACCCGCAGACGTCGATATGTTCACCCCAGTCCTGAGGCTTGGGGAGGAGGGATGGAGACCTATAGTGATTAGCATCTGTGTAGACGTTTACAAGTTACGTAACATACCAAAGATAGGTATATGGTATTCGCAACCGATGTGCGATGCTGGGAGCCCGGATGGCATCCAAGGGGTCCAAGCCCAGCTCCCTCTTTCGAAAGCGATTGATCAGGTCGCCAAGTCCTTCCCATAGCATCACCTCGACAATCGCATATGACGCGAAATTCGCAACGGATGGCTTGGTATTACGCGCTCGGACATTGGCCAATGGATGGGGGAATGACTGTGTCGCCGACCATGGCATCCTACAATCTCAGTACACGACGACTTCCGCTAGAACACGGATAAACTCACGTAAACATCATATTCACCGGAATTCCCAGCTTCTCTGCACAGCTAAGATGGGCGAAACTAGGCGGATTCGCAATGATCACGTCGGCGACAAACGGCTGGCTGGTGCAATCTAGAGCCTCACTCCACGGATCCTCCTTGATATGATGCATACCCGTCCCATCCCCAGTCTCAAAGCACGAGCGCCAGCACCCGGAAAAAATAGCCTTCATTTCACGACGGCGTTTTGGGATCGCGCCACTGCGAATCGTCCGCATATCCGGCATCAAACCGGGATTGTTTACCATGAACGCCATCAATTCTGCTGGGTCGCCCCCAATGTTGAAAAACTCCAGCCCAGTTTCATTGATATATTCACGAAAGGCGAGATGGGTAGCCAGTCGGACCCGGTGTCCATGCTTCTGTAACTCCTTTCCCAACGCAACGAATGGCTGCACGTCACCGCGAGAACCCACCACGTGGATAACGACGTTTAAACGCAAGGGAAACGTGTCCTGTCCTTCTATCGACATAACCGACGGTCTACGGTCCCCGCGCAGGGGCGTCGGGTACCGTTCCAGATGCTTAATCAGATTGAGCAGCCAGGGCTTCTGTTCGCGAAACTTGATATCCAATCGTCCGTCATCTATTGACCATGAGACACCGTTCCGTTATCACCGTCTGTAGAAGAGGGTGGAATACAAACCCATCACCCGAACACCAGTATCCAATCCCTGCTCTCGAACATGCACCTGGCCACCACCAACCGAGCGACGCCTGGCACTGAGATGCTCATCCGGCCAATCCCCCGCCGTGATGCCATGTTGATGCGGTCGGACCGGTGAAGCTGTTGCTGCTGCCATGATGCTGGTGTATACCAATCCTGTGTGAGTGCATTTGTTATACACCCCTCCGTAGTACGTATGATTTCCAGAACCAAAGAGAGAGGGAGGAGCAAAGGTGACTTGGATGAGGACGGAAAAGTTCCCACGGAGCCGACCGATGATGTCACAGCTCTATGGATTAGCTTCGGCCGATCCACTGGTTGAGCTGAACCACTCTTTTGCTGATTTTCATGCCGAGCCCGTTGGGTCCCACTGGTGACTTGTGCTGTTGTCATGATTAAGAAATTGACTGGCATTCAGGCTTACTTGTTGCGATGAACTCATTCCCCTAGTTGGTCGTTAGTGGTCGCTGTTGTCCAGTCCCGGGCCAGCCCTATCGGGCCGATCCCGATTCTTGGCTCGTGTGCGATGCCAAGGTTCACCTCGAAATTTGCCTCTTAGCTATCCACCATATAATACAAATCGGAAAAGGTAAAGGCAAAATCTGGAGTTCCTCGGATGTCCTGCACATTACTTCAAGTCATACCTCGCTTCCCCGGTCTCTCGACCATCCGCGGATTTGGACGGAAACCCCGGCCATGTTCCTCGGCCTCGCCGTCTTTACAAAGAACCTCGTTATCACTTATCAGGAATCGTTTCGTTGAAATAAATATATCTATCGTGACTAAGTGGATTAGGACTTGGTAGAGAAGATTCATCAATACCAGCTAGCTCTCTACGGTGTACAACAAACAATAAATATCCGTTTGGTAGTTAACTAATGCGTTCACAGTAAAAGCACTTTTCCCTGTTGCTATGCAGAAAGATTGAGAGATATATGACGCAAATACTCCCGTACTCTGAATTTCCTGTTAAAGCCTATCTATGTAGGGAGTTTTGCATAAGTAGTACTCATTGTAAGCATGCTAAACCGGCTGCTCAACAAAAAGCCTTTATAGTAGCTACTTCTGACCATCCTTCATTAGGATTCTGGCATACAAATGGTTCTTTGCCCTTTTTGACCGGGGAACAGTGAAAGCGACCCTGTAACGGGTATCGGAGGTAGCTCTGCGTACATTTGTCTCATCTATAGGGCAGGAAAAGGAGTGGAGAAACTAGCATCCTTTGCTATAGACATGGATCGGGGTTTGCGTTAACCAACATTTAGCAAGGGCAACGTCGCACTCGGTCAGGGGACACAACCCTATAATATGTCTGCTAGCGTCCCACGAAAATTACAGAATTATACAGAATGACCCCTGAGAAAACGTTCTCCAGCGGCCCATATGGACTACAAGGCTAGCGACAGGGTGCGTGCGAAATTGATTTTACCTGGAAGATGGTATCCCTGCCAGGGTCGGGACAAAATATTCTTTCTCCCCAGGACTATTTCCCTCCCAGAGAACAGCAAGAGTAATGCCCCGGTCGCTCGGGCACTCGTAAGAGTCATAGTGTGGTACAACATACTTTAGGCCGGAATGCTCGAGTCAGTGATGGTAGCTGATAAAGACTTTCACCGTGGTCGAGGGTCACATCTTGTTTGCTCACTCGACCGGCGCAATGAGCAAGTTTGAACCCGATAGCGGGCAGCCCATAGTCAGTGTCCTGACGTGGCTTTTCATGATCACGGCTATTCTTGTGGTCTTCGCTCGGCTTGGAACTAAATATTGGATCATCCGACGGTGGACAGCGGACGACTACCTCTGCATTGCATCAATGGTAAGATCATCAGCTATGACTGACAGCTTTATGAACGCGCCATAATAACCCAGGCTTCTCCAGGTTATCTGTATAGCGCAATCGATAGCTGTTTCCATGGCGACAGCAAATGGATATGGCAAGCATTATATGTCACTCTCTGAGACAAGCATGGAAAATATCATGAAGGTGAGCTCCTACAAGCATGGCTCTCTGTAAGCTATTCATAGTCCACTAGTCTCAATATGCTGCCACGATTCTCTTTATCTCCAGCATGCTTTTCTCCAAACTATCAGTCATCTATTTTATCCGAAATGTGACGCCGGCATTCAATCCTGATCGACTTATCACTGCTGGACTGGAGGTCTTGACTATCCTATGGGCTGGTATTGGTATTCTCACTGCTGCATTCCAATGTAAATTGCCTCGGCCATGGGACTATCTCCACGGTGAATGCATCCAGCGTCGAAACTGGTGGAATTATATGTGTGTGATGAATATTGCGACCGACGCCGGGATAATGGCTCATGGGATCTTCATCGTCGCGCGGCTTCAGATGCGCTTAAAGAGGAAGCTCGCACTGGCGATGATTTTTGGATTACGCACCTGGTGAGCGGCAAAACATTTCTCTATATATTCTATTCATGACTGATCTCCTCTCCAGCGTTATTGCTGCCGGCGCTTGTCAGGCTTTTTACGCCAACCAAGCGGTTGAGTCCCCCGATCCGACGGCTGATACCTCGCCGTTTACCATCTCTACCCAAGTCACCCAGTGTTTGGGTCTTATCGCTTGCTGTTCACCTGAATTGAAGCCATTCATAGAGAACCTTCGCTCGTTGGGTTTCTACGTTGACGGAATATCGCGTCACAGTGCTTCTGGTGCGAGATGTAATGCAGCGACGACGCGACCTTGTAAGCAGGAGGATCTTTTCTGCAATGAGCATGAACTTCAGACCATCTCTCCCTTGAAGAGCTCCTATCAGGCAACAGTTACTGCGTCATTATCAAAACGAGACTGGGATGAGGGAAGCCAGTCTAGCCAGGCTCACATTATCCACGAAGTCCGCACATGGACTGTTACCGAGTCGGTATGAGATGGCATGCAGGCCTTCTTTTCGTTTCATTTCTATGCTTGTCCTACTTTGGTAGGGTAGTAGAAATTTGGGCTTGGTTGTTGTGCAGTTTACTATTCGCTTAGTTCAAATGCTCCCATTCCTGTGCCGTGTACGACCCTTCGTCTCTCGCTGCTACCTCTCCCTCTTTGTTTTCTCTCTCCTTTTTGTTTTTCTGTTTTCCCTTTGCCCACATCATCGTCCTGTCGCTACTTTCCCTAGTAATGTTACTTTTCCCTTTTACAGTAGGAATAGTGGTAGATCATTATAGGATGTAGGAAACTAGACCGGATATTCCCTGTAGGCGGGAGGGCCTACCAATAACGGGGACATGGCCATCGACATGGCTATCGACCCGTCAAAAGCGGATCCAGGCCACTGATCTGCACGCCCAGTGCATCCGAAATGTCTTGCGAGAGGGGCGATAACTGCGATCCCCGACTTCAATTGGGCTTTTCCACCATGGGTACCCTTGTCAGGTTGCGTCCTCGCCTCACACAGGTGCTCGGTGTCGCCTGATTAGCCTGTCACAGCTGCCATCTGATTTGTGGACTTTTCTCGACTGCCTAATCCATATACTGTGTACAGCAGGGGCTACGGAGAGTATTCAGAGACCCTGACCCTGCTACTGATTGGCTATGTGGGCCGGGCCAGAGCTGTTGTAAATCCCTCGGTGTCTGTCCCTGTACCCCAATTCTTTTCTCTTCCTCTTCACGCATTTCTGTTGAAGAATTTCGTGATTGATCGTCCGAATATTTGTATACTCGCCGATATATGCTCATTGCCACTACCCACTAATTTCTCCAACATGTCTGCGCACGAATTGAAGCAAATGGCGCCTCCTGTGCTGAGCGAGATGGAGGGACAACCGATCTACCGAGACAAGGACGATGTGTATTTGACTCGTATGGGGAAGCGCCCTGTTTTGAAGGTGAAGTTACCTTGATAATTCTATCTCTGACGGAGGTATTAACATCATCCTTCGAAAGAGAAACTTTGGGTTGATGTCAATGCTGGGATTTAGCTGCACCCTGTTGGTCACATGGGAGGGATATATCATGTAAGTTGTCATTGACCCTGCGCGGTGACGACCTCATGGCTTACATTAGGGTTCTTCCAACAGATTGTTTCTGCAATCTTTTCAAAAGTACTTTGCATCCGCTGCATCAACGTGTGTTGAATCGATTACTGACCTAGACCCAGCGGTGGCCCGGCTGGCTCTGTCTATGGCTTTCTTTTCGTCTGGGCTGGTATTGCCGCCACGTTTGTCGTAATATCTGAGCTTGTGTCGATGTAAGCTTTCATTAGGGATACACACCCAGAAAGAACTGATGAGTGATCGACAGGGCTCCTACGTCCGGAGGACAGTACCATTGGTGCTCGATGTTGGCCCCTCCATCGGCAATGAAGTTGGCCAGTTATATGACAGGTACGTCTATACCAGGAAACTCAAGAGCTGCCTGATGTTTAGTCATTTACGATAAGGATAGGTTGGCTTACCGTGATCGGATGGCAAGCCACGTTCGCATCCGCAATGTACTTGAACGGGAACATGATCCAAGCCCTTATTATCCTTACCAGGTCAGAGTATGTCCCTCACCCATGGCGGAAAGCTCTATATGCATGGGGACTCTCTGCCCTCTCTGCTCTCATCAATATCGTTGGCGGCAAGTTTCTACCCCGGTTTGAGGGCACCATTCTAATCTTCCATGTCCTGGGGTTTTTCGCCATCCTGGTTCCCTTGACCTATATGGCGGATCACAAGTCGTCGGCCGAAGAAGTATTTACCTACTTCATTAACAAAGGCAATTGGCCTTCAGATGCACTGTCAGTCTTTGTCGGACTGACTGGTCCTGTTTTCGCTTTCGCTGGCGGTGATGCTGCAGTCCACGTACGTCCACAGTGGTTATTTCATGGCGAAGGATCCGCTAACATTCGCGATATAGATGGTTGAAGAGATGACCAATGCAACAACCGCTGTTCCCCTCTCTCTAATGTTAACAGTGCTAATCAATGGGTCCATGGGGTTTGGAATGATGCTCGCCTTATATTTCTGTCTTGGTGATATCCAAGCTGCGCTTCAATCCCCGACAGGTGTACCTTTCTTTGCCATCTTCCTGCAGGCAACAGGTTCTGTATCCGGCACGGCGATTGCAGGTGCTCTGGTAACCTCCCTGGGCGGTTGTAACACAATTGGCACCTTAACAGCCGCATCGCGCCAATTCTGGTCCTTCTCTCGTGACCGAGGCATTCCTGGCTGGCGAATGTGGAGCAAGGTATACAGATCCCCTCAAGTATAGGATTGGCCTATCCATTGAAACTGAAATCTTAATAGGTAACTGAACGTACGTCCATCCCAACATATGCAGTCCTTCTTACGGCAATTGTTGGGTGCCTCCTGAATCTCATTACCATCGGCTCAGACGTGGCATTCAACAGCTTGGTGTCCATGTCCATTTCGGGTCTTTACCTATCATACATGGCTGCTGGAGGACTGTTGCTCTACCGCTGCTGTACCGGCGGAATTGGGGACGCGACCGAGGGCGAGCACACTATGATCAACACGGCAGGGGCTAGGCTAGTCTGGGGACCATTTCGAGTTCCTGGCATCTTGGGTATAACCATTAATACCTTCTCCTTGGCCTACATGACAATCGCTACGTTTTTTGGCTTCTGGCCTACGACTAACGATGTTAATACAAAGACGATGAACTATAGCATTGTTGGAACGATAGGTGTTATTATACTTAGCCTTATGTACTACTTTATCCGAGCGAGGAAGGTGTACAGTGGCCCTCAGATAGAGATATCGTAATGGTCAGATTGGAGATCATGGTCTACAGGCGTGACAGTTTGAGTTGTGTTTCCACAAGTGCCATTCTGATACTAGCCCTCGAGACAGGGTATCTGCGAATGACTAACTTCAGTCTTTCCAGCTTGGCCTGCGCCATAATTGATCCCAAGCTGAAGTGGTTTTTGGTGTATTCACTGAATTACTCTTGTCTCCAAATCAGCCTCACTATGTGAATAGCCACGCCAAAAATCCATACTATCACCGTTCTCGTGTATTGGTATTTAGTGTATTGTCTAATAGAAAAAAAGCCCCCCCCTCCCCCAAACTATTCTTCAAACTTGGCTGTTAGGTAGCGATATCTCCGTGGCTACGTTTATCATAATGGACTAATTAACGTAAGGCTTGAAACTTGCCATCATACTCTATGGAAGGTAGCTCTCTGCTGGCCCAGCTGTGGATAGGGAGAGGAATGCACCAGAGCTATCCAAAAATGGCCAAGACAAGCCAGTAGCTGTCCTCAGTGTCCAGTGGCTTTAATATAATACTCATGGTGTTTGCAGGACTAGTCCCCGCTAACCCCTACTAGGATTCATACAGCTTTCTTTAACGTCGTTTGCCCAAACCACTCCGATAGCTATTCGGAAGCGCCTCTAAACGCTGTACCACGATGCTTATCCTGGGGTTTCTCATGTATTGATAGCAAAATTATGAAACCATGTGCAGCAGATCGCAACAGGTGTACTCAGTAGTACGGGAAATGCTATATATAGTACGGGTGCGTTTTGAGCAGGTCTACAAATAGGTCTTCCATGAAGTATGTTCCACCCTTGCTTTTAACCTTACAAAAGGGATGCCCCACAGTAGGGCCCTTTTTAGGTTGCGTCAAGACGAAACACAACCTAGTCGTATGTTGCAAAATTTATTTGATCTCAGTGTTGCGGTCTAATTTATGAAACATATTTTATTGGCTTACATTGCTCGAACAAATGTAGTGGCCGACTTGTGGACTACATTCTTGCCTATCTTGTCTCATTCAGTTACCAAAATGTTGGACCAGTCCGACCTTCTCATAGATAACCAATACATAGCCTCATCCAGACATTCCGCACTCCAGATGCTAAGGCATCACTAGCCATGATTGGCGTGTGGGACATGACTTCGTCGTTTTACCATCGTGCTTCGACCGTCGGCTGACTTGAAAAAGGCTCGGCTCTATACCATGATCTACAGTGGCTGAGACATTTAAACCTCTTGAAGAAGATGGCCTCGAATAATTGTGATCCCCCTTGGCTTGATATTTACTACAATGCAACCTAAACGATGCTAACATTTGTTTTCCATTAGTCCAGTAAATCAGCCAAGGTATTCAACAGTAGCAAAGGTGTGGCTTTCTTACTTTGAGGATGAAACCCAAACGAGCTAAATTTGGAACATCCCCAGACTAAATATCAATGATTGTCATTGAAGGAACCATGGATGTAACCTCGTTGCTGCTATGTCAAGTGTATCTGGTGGGTCCATCCACAAAATAGGATCGTCCAAAGTTTAACTGCCCACAAATTGGATCTGCTCCACATCCAGACAAACTACCCATCACGGTTTGAGATCTTGGTTCAGGATGTTTCAGAGTGCTACTGCGCTGTACTGGGGTCTTTCCATTGACATCACGTTGGAATATTTAAGAGCATTGCGTCCGCTCCGCTTTCGTCGTACCAGACCTGTATACCGCAATTCATTCAGCTAATCTACCAATATCTTTGACATATCTCATCGTGTTCACTATCATATTCTCGTCATCTCTCTGTTCATAATCACCCACCAACGAGATATTATACTTCCATTATGCAGCTTCACGCTACTCTCGCCGTCGGTCTCTCCATTCTCGGAGTCACCCTCGCGAGTCCTTGGAAGCATCCAATTGAATGGAAGGCATCCGACTTCGCCATCACCTGCGGCTCAGAAGATTGCAACTACAATTTCAACATCGTGAGCAATGCCACCGGGCCCTCAAGATTCAAAACCGCCTGCTCTGGCGTTCCTGCCGAGGACGACTACAGTCCGTGCCAGGACAAAAGCACCGAAGCCAAACTGCAAGCTGTGCCAGGGACACCCCCGTCGTGGAGCCTGCACATCGAACATACTTGGATGGAAGGAGAAGCCAGGTATACCGCTCACGGTGACGTCAATATCACCGAGACCGCGAAGAGCTTCACAGTCCCCGTCACGCGGGTGGATGGGGTGGTTTAGAGGCAAGGACTGGCCACGTTTGAAGGAGAGTCTACTGTTCAATGCTTTAGTTTTGTGTGGGATGGTAAATGTCATCGTGGGAAGCACAGGAAAGGTTTACGCCAGTGTAATAAATATGTTTTTTTTTTGCCCACACTGGTGCCTCCGGCAGAGGACAGATTGTAGTGATATCTAGGTAATGATAGAAGTACCTCTAAATAAGAGGATCAAGCCATCAGTGGGCTACAATATACTAGAGAATATTTATGCGTCAACCGTAATACCTGATCTTGAACCAGTTTTTGATTTCTCCCAGTGCGTGGGTCTGCAGGAGCCAGCATTAACGTTATCACAGATTAATATCCTAACAGCGAAGCAATACAAGCTGCTTTGCTCTGGAGAATCATTGTCAGGATGGCGGTTTTACGTTGAATGCTTATGAATTATAGTCTAGCTATCGAATAACTTCATTGATAAGAAAGGCCTTTCGTAATAGGCCCCTAAATGATTTAAATGGCGTCTAAAAACGATGCTGTACGGAGCAGTCTGTGACTGAGCCCTCTAATGAACATGAATAACATGATATATATCTTAGCCTCGAGCTTTGTCGCGCCATATGCTGTCGTCCTCAAAGTATTTACTCCCTCGGAAGTGGAAATGGAGAGGAAACAGGGAGTAATGCAATAATTTACAAGGACAAATCAATAGTCGTGCAACATCTCTTCAGTCAATGGATATATTTACAGAAGCAAACTCTCCACCACAGCCTCTTTGTTGAAAGGGGAACGTATGTTATATTATGTAAAGCGTCCTCCAGGGCTACTGATAAATGCAGCGGGGCTTTATGCCTCGTGCTGTAACAGGGTATCTGCATTATATGTAGTATGACCTGCACACACTACCCGAGTATACTGAAAAAAAGAGAGATGTAAGGATCATCTCCGTGTAACCCAGCTATATTGGGTTGCTTGAAACAAATGTTTTCTTGTCGGATAATTATGGTGCTTCATATATAGGCCCCGGCGGCCTGGGGGGCTCACCTGGCATCTCCGCTAGTGGGTGAGCCTGGGATTGGGAGGGGGATTTGTATTGTGTGGACGGTGCCTGCAGCCAAGTGGTTAGATTTGCACACCTACTCATCTGATCTAATCCGGCTTGCCTGGATGTTTGATTTGTTCTTTTTGGATCGTCGCCATAGCATGTACCACAGAGCTACGAGGCCAATTGCCACGGCACCCACCGAGATGCCTACTCCAAGACCTATTTTCGTACCGCTGTTATCTCCAGAGACACCCTCTCCTTCTGTTTTTCCAGTTGATGAAGGCAATGGTGATGGGTCTGATAATGTCGATACCGGCCTGGTGGATGTAGTCGACGCTGTAGATGAAGTCTCCGTCGTGGAGGCTGGGGCTGACGTTATCGGTGTGGAGGTTGCTCCAATGGGTGTGAACAAGGAGCTTGTCACAACAGCCGTGTTGAGGGTGGCAGGGGACCCGACAAGATCAGCATACGGAGGCAAAAAGTCTTTAATATCGTGTGTGCATTGATGCCTGTGGTGCAGTTACAAGTAGGGCCATCGGCGCAGCAGTATTTATCGGCCGAGCATTGGAAGACCGAGTTATGGATATGGTCCCCTGTTAGACGCTGGTTATTCCGTCGGGTGTCACAGGGTAGGTAAAGATGCCAGGCAAGACCACTTACTGAAGAAACAGTACCCCGGGCATCCCGGTCAGTTCCAGGTTTTATCCGTGCAGCTGCCAATGACATAGTATTGCCCGCTGTAGTGAGCGCACATGTTGTTTGTTGAGCAAACATATGTGCTGCCTCTACAGCACGAGGAGACCGGATTCTGAGGAAAGCAAGGTTGGTCATTAGGAGCTATCTCACCATTTGGGAGGTAGCATGTCATCACGGAAGCACAGAGCAGAGACTAGAGGGTGAGGCTGAGAAGAAAGTTCCGAAACAAATATTAATATCCTTTTCTCATGATTGTCGGCCAGTGTATCACCACGCAGATGTAATGGATACAGTGATTCCTGGAGGCAGAAGTGTTCAGAACACGAACAAAAAGGGCACTCACCACCCTCCCTGGGGGACCCAAGGCTTTGACCTTCCCCTTATTATGTTGGGTCTCCCATCGCTGGGGTGTTTTATCGGACAGGGATCTGATAGCCCTAAGCGCTGCCAAGCCTCACTAGGATATCGTGCTGGTTCAGGGTCCGTAAGGGTCCAATTGGCCATGGACCAGCGGCGTAGGCACTCTGCATACACCGTCGCGTTTTGAGTGGGACGCAGGAATGTCTCATTGGGCATGCACATAAAAGCGGCTTCTGTTCTGGCCTCAATGCACGGGCAGATGTGGGCTCCCAAAATTTACCATATCTGCCACAGTTTTCCACCAGGCTGCAGCAGACTGAGTGCGATTGCTCCCTCTCTTTAAAGGCAGTAGCTCCCTTATTTTATCTTGTTTTTGCTTTTTTGAACAAAAAAGGCAACAGATCACCAGCATGCAACAGCGTAGGCGGGCTTTTTGGCTTGCTATTTCCGCTCTTATTCTACTAATAATCACGTACGTTTTTCTGTCCATGCAGCACCGCCCTGCACTTTTACCCACCAACAGCGATCCGACGCCACAAGAGTCCGACAGCCGTGAGCCAGAAGAGGTCCCAAAAGAAACCACAACGCCCCATCCATCGGCACCATCGATCGAGCAAAATGCGACGCGCACACTTGTGATTACCAAACTACAGGAAGAGGATACCTTGTGGGTCGACAGCCTTGTCCACGATGACGCTCATCTTACCAGCGCGGTCTATGTTGTGGATAATAATACCAGTGCACCTTTTACTGTTCCCTTGAATAAAGGCCACGAGGTTATGGTCTATTTAACCTACATTATCGATCACTATTACACACTCAGCGATGTTTCAATATTTATGCATGCTCATCAAATCACCTGGCATAACAACGACTTCCTCGATTCTAATTCGGCTAAGATGGTCCGCCGGTTAAGAAGTCAACATATACTAAAAAATGGTTACATGAACCTTCGCTGTCACCTAGATCCGGGATGCCCTGACCATATCCATCCATATATAGGAAAGGACTCTGATGACATTCTTGATGTCCCCGAAGCTGCAGTTATAGGTATGGCATGGGGCCAGCTATTCCCCGGTAGCCCAGTCCCATCAGTTCTTTCACAACCATGCTGCGCACAGTTCGCTGTCAGCGCAGATCAAATCCGGAAAATCCCTCAGGAACGCTACCTTGAATTCCGCCATTGGCTTCTCGCAACCGAACTCGATGACCGACTGTCTGGGAGAGTCTGGGAATATATCTGGCATTGGCTATTTACAGGGCAGCCGGAGTTCTGCCCAGTTGAGACGACCTGTTATTGCCAAGGGTATGGGATTTGCTTCGATCCTCAAGAGTATCAGCTATACTTTCGGATTCGAGGCGAAGCCCGCAAGTTGGAAGGAGAGGTTCGGGAGTTGGAGTCGGAAGCGACCGAGACAGACATCACGACTAGTGAAAGAATAACTGCGTTGAAGAGAAAGATTAATGAGCTGCATGGAGAGATGAACGAGATAAAAGCCAGGACGAAGGGTATTGGGCAGTGATTGCCAGGTAGCATTGTTGGGTTTCCTCCTTTGTCATGTTGAATATGTATAGCACATTTGTCTGGAAACAAATGCATTTTCTTTTCTTTACATTGTCTCCAGTCAGTATACTTGCTGTCAATATAATGGTCTCGCACACAAGTGAGGGCATGCTTCGATCAGGTGCCATGGCGTCATGTGACGTGTCGATAGCCTAGTATTGTTGTTGCCCTCTAGTTTTCGTGTCGTGAAGGATACCGAAATTACACATTAAGTACGCAGAAACGCGACGTTGGTTCATCCCAATGCCACACTCAATCGATTTGTTAAACACGACCTGGTAAGTAATTTCACAAATTGTCTAGTATAGAAGAGACTGCTTGGTTTGTAAAGGTCGATGGTTTTTAATAATCGTGGCTCGAAGTGGTTCGTTCTCGGAAACAAATGAGCAATTATTAATAGTGTCGGAGCGTTTTGGACACAGGGCCAGATCTCCGATTGGTCTAAGGGCCTGCTTCATTGTGGGTAAGACTCTTGGTCGGATGAACCAGGCTGCGACATGATCAATTCGCTTGCGAAACTGTCCGACATGATGCATTCAAATAGTGCCATGAATCCACATAGGACAGACATCAATCCAGTGCCATCCGTGTGGTCCATCTCCAAGTCGCACTCTATTTCGACGCGATGTCTTCCTTGGACGAGCTCCTCAAAATCGCAAACCCAGTTCGTGCGCACGCCTTGAAAACCTTCGATGTGACGGCGCATCCAGACGAGGTGCTCCAAATCCCCTCGCGAGAAGAAGGACGCTTCATTCGCATTCATGCCTACAACACACCCCATAGGGATACCCCGACCCCAGTCCTCGTCAACTTCCATGGTAGTGGATTCGTGAACCCTTTGCATGGAAGTGACGATGAGTTTTGTAAATTCATTGTCGAGAAAACTGGATTCGTGGTTCTGGACTGCGCCTATCGACTCGCACCGGAACATAAGTTTCCGGCTGCAGTGCACGATGCCGAAGATGCCGTTCGATGGGTTCTTTCACATCCGGAGAAGTTCGACGCTTCCCATCTGTCGATCTCGGGCTTCAGTGCAGGGGGGATCCTGTCTCTGGTTCTCAGCTCGGTGATCTTCCCACGGGGCACATTCAAAAATGTGTTTGCCGCCTATCCTCCAACAGATATGGTCCAAAGCTCCGCGGACAAGACTGCCCCTGATACATCCATAGATAGTGCTCCCGTCGAGCTCCTGGATACGTTCATACGATGCTATTATTCAAACCCCGAAGACGTGAAGAGTGTCCTTGCTTCACCATCCGTGATCCCAGCTGAGAAGTTCTCAGATAGGATTTTTCTTGTTACTGCGGCTTGTGATCGCCTCTGTCTTGAGGCAGAGGCGCTTGGAAACAGGATCAAAGATACGACAGCCAAGCATATCAAGATGCACAGGTATGAGGGCTGCGGGCACGCTTTTGACAAAGCTTATGAGGCAGGATCGGTCCAGGAACGAGCGAAAAATGACCTCTACCAAAAGGCGGCCGTATTCCTAACCGAGTAACTATTTTGTATCTCTTGGGGCTCGGCATAAGGTTCTTTATAGCTCCTTCATGCTGCAGGTTCGTCCTGTATGTACTGTTCTTTCTTGAAACCCTTTCATTTGTCCATAACATATGGTAGCTACTGTAAATTAGTGATCGTCTAACGCAGCACTTGAAAATATGTATAACTAGAGAGCAGCTGTTGGAGAAGATGTGGCAAGAAACAATCGTGAATATCGAAAGTATAGGATCAAGCGAAAATAAACACACAGCAGGGAACTCGACGGGAGATTAGCCACCGAAACACATATTAAGAATAACGCTTTCAACAGTGGTGAAACAGACGACAGGTGAGCATCAGCATAGCCCAGAGCAAGAAACGGGTGAGAAACCAGACAACCCAAAATTTCTTACAGCAGAGGCACTTTGCTGTGACCACACTTGAGCGAACATTCGTGCATCTGATGAGTATCAAAATGCCCTACTATATATCACATGGAGACAGTGGAGTGTCCTTGCCACCCCCTTGCAGAAAATCAATAAATAGAATCCAGGGGCTACCAAAGATCGACATAGCGGTGCAGGAGAAAAAGTAAAACACCAATTGTAGCCATAGGAAAAAGAGGGTTGGGCATTCTTGGCGGCGCTGCTATTTACATTTTAGAGACAGTGTTTCTCTCGCGCACACAAGACCAACATGGTACCCGTCTGGTAAACGAGTCAACTCTTAAATCTTCATCCCAAATATACCTCTTCCTCAAAGAGTGTATTGTTTAGCCTGTCTTGATTTCTTGTTGAATGATCACCAAGCGGTTTAGTGTCAGAAGATTCCTGAACATCCATCATGACATCCTCAAAACCTCTACCGCTCCTAAACCTGACAGGAAATTGGGTTATGGTCAGTGGTCTTTGGTTTCCCTTAGAAGGCTTACGTTGTCAGACTGAACAGATCGCGGCTATAGGAAAAACATCTATCAACGAACGTTGAACCAATGATGAAGATGGTATGGTTTATCTTTGGTCATCTGTCGATCGATATCTCGATACGACATCGAGCAACATTAGGACTTATCTAAGAGAACTTTCAGCAAGGCCTAAACTGGATTATCCGCCGAGCCTTCCAACACGTATCCATACTATTTACAATCACCGAATATGCCAGTATTGGCGCAGATAGTTCACCACTGGCGTTGCATATTGACGTTGAACATACTGTGACAGGTGGATTCAACGGTACAACCGAGAAGCGGACGCTCGACTGGAATCCTCATGTCCAGAAGGATTACGTGTTCGGGTGTCTTAGTGTCCGTAGCCGACTCATTAGGGGCGTGGAAGATGCGGACGGTCATGTTCGGCCCGCACTTCAACTACACATGCCAAACTTGGACGAAAGCGTATACAAATTCATGAGGGGGGCAGTCTCTTCCGAGGGTGAGCCGGAGGAAGGGTTTTTACTTGAGGAGTCACCGCAACAGTACGTGGGAACTAGTCGTGGAAGTTGGTTGCATACTGTCTCGTGCAATGACGAACTAGGGTGGACCATGGAACAGGTAAGCGAAGGGAAAGCTCTCGACACCCAAATATAACTGTTAACAAAGGATATTCAGGTTTGGGGCTTCGAAATGATATGCGGCGAGCGCTACCACACACGCCGGATTGTCATTATTAACAAATCCGGCGATTGTACCATGGGCCGAATTGTATACAAGTGGCACAGTGGAATTCGGGAATGATCATAGTCTCGGGCCTACATGTGCAAAATAAATTTGAAAATGCCATATTCCTTTGAGAGACGGCCGTTTCTAATACCTTACAGGACGCCAATTAGATTCTAATGTTGTATCCGTTGTGCTAGAAATATATATTGAATTCAGATGTGGCTAGTATGGTTGGCAATGTAATGATTAAAAAAAGATGAAATCAATGTGCAAGAATAGAGCCTTGGAAAAACAAGTCTCAGCGCAGACGTATTATTGAGTTCAGTTCTCTCTTATTCTTCTAGGCATCAGATATGCTTGTCGTAATCCTTGCTCCTTGACACTCTATTAGCCTACTTGCTAGCCCAGGCAAGAGTGGTGCGTTGTCACTCACTAGGCATATTGCCTAGGTACAAAAATGACTCAGGAGGTCAAGATAAATAAGATTAATGATTGGGAATAGTTTTATATTTCCAGGTTCAAGAGGTGTTTTGAACTTGAGGGTGAGTATTAGAACAAAGCTAGTCTATATTGGGACATTATGTGCATATATATACTCAATACTCCTTATGGAGAGGTTGGGCAGAACATGCTTCTGAATAAAAATCACTTCAGAGCCCCCAAATAATCAAACAGAAATCAACCCAACTCTATAATTTTACGAGATGGGAACGATGGATCAATACATGAAAGTCGTAAATACCATGGTAAACCTTCTTAGTGTCTGCTCCTCCACGATCATTATATCTTCAACTTTTCCTTCTCACTGACATATCCTGGATTCCGTTTGCCACCAAGTTTTTGCAAGGACGTATGCAACTAATATATCCAAGAGATTAAGCACCACCAGCAGCCATCTCCATGAAGAGTTTCTCGCGCTAAATTACAATGTCAGCGTTGATTATAATAATATATCGCACTGCCGAACAAACCTTCAAGAACACTGAGAGAAGAACACCTATGCCACCGGCAACAATAAGCAAGATATAACTGTGGTAAAAGTTAGCGATAGACTTTTAAGGTTAGCAAACCACAAATAAAACTTACACATAGTCAATAGCATCGACAATAATATCTAACGCCGCAGACTGCTCTGACTTAGTCAACGTGTTGAAGAATCCACTTGCAGTTCCACCAATTGTGTTCTTAATGTCTGCGGGATTGGCGTTCGGAAGCAAGTTGATTAGGCCCGTAGTTGCTTTGTTCACGAAGATAGCGCCGGCCATGCCCAGTGCTAAGACGATACCTCCCAGTTGAGCTATTCTTGTTAGTCTTGTTTGCTAAATAAAGGAATGCGGACTACTTACAAACCATCATAAAGCCAAGGGCCCATGGGATCTCGGTCTTCTTAACTTTAGCCTGGACAACGCTATATCCTGCTTGGTTAAACGCGCCAACACCAAGGGCCATCAGAGAGGTGTATCCGTAGATAGCGCTGGCAGAGGTATCTTTTTTAACAGTGACTAAAGGGGTCAGCGTTGGAATAAGTATTGCGATAATCAAGCATCTTAGCTTACACATTAATGCAGCGGCGACGAGTTCGAAAATAGAACCAAGGAGGTACCATGGAAGGTAATAACCGAACTTGGACATCATGTGGCCGTTTGCAATGATGGCGAAGATAAGCACCATTACAAAGGGTAGGATACGCAGCGAGGAGTGGACTGCAGTATCACCCTGCACGGTGTCAGTATAATATCTTGGGAACCTGGGTTGCTATCTTACCTGAGTAAATTGGAAGAACAGGGGAATATAGTACACAGAAATAAACAATCCGCTGCTGGCACAGGCTAGAACTTGATCAGCATCGCCAAGAGGTTGGAGTATTGTATAGGTTTATACTCACTGTTAAGGATGAACAGAAGTAGCAGTGAACGCCTCTTCAGGAAATGGACCGGGAACAGTCTGTTTACCTCGTTGCAGAGGATGTAGAAAGTCTGCTGAACACCAAAGACAACGAACAGAACGCCGGACACCACGAACAGTGCAATGGACGAACCGCTGCCCCAACTCCATTCCACTCCGCCAAAGTCGATAGCCATAACTAACGTAGCCAACGCACCGACAAACAAGACAATGCCGACCCAGTCGATATTCCTAGCTTTCTCTTTCGGGGTTGCATTGGGCATGGGCTCGAAGGAGGGCAAAAGAAATGCGTAGACTGGAGAAAAAACGGCTCCAACAACCAGGTTGATGTAGAAGGCCTAACAGTATTAGCATGGGTGGACTTCTTGAAGTGGGAGATTTGCAGCCATACCCAACGCCAAGTCGCGCTGCTTTCGGCGAAGGCTCCTCCAATCGCTGGGCCAGTGACAGTTCCGATACCCCACGAAACGGCACTAGACGAGAAAGATTACAGTGAGTATTCATATAGAGCCCGAGATTTCGCAGTGTTACTTACGTCAAACCAATGTAGAATGGACGTTCAGATACGGTTGTATTCACAGACAGCTGGGTCAAGACGCCGAAGTACATACCACTTCCCTAGATTAAGTTAATATCCAGAGGCCTATGCATTTATGTAGGCCTTTAAGCTTACTCCAGCGCCAGCCATAGCTCGTCCGACAATCATCCCGTTCATGTTTGGGGCAGCACCACAAAGGGCCGAGCCTGCCATGAAAAGAATAACACACTAGTACTCGAGTTAGCAATACTGAAACTTTGCTACTGCTTTATCATCAGGCGTTCTTTAGCATACCCCAATATAGAGCCATTTGGCATTATAGGTTGCATAGGCCTTAGACCAAGGCAGCACCAGTGCGGAGGAGGTAAGGGAGAATCTGCGAAGGCTTAGCTAAACTGTCTTCTAAATTATCTTGTAGGACAGCCAAAATCATACCCCACAGCAAGCCAGGAAATCTGGTCGGCTTCTTGGAATTGGTTGAGAATAGCCTGTAGTTCATGATGGTTAGATGTACTGGAGATAGATATACCGAACAGGAACAAATACAGGTTGGATGTTAGCCACAATGGTATTGTCAAGCGCAAAAAGCATATGGCTGGACAGGATAGCGGTTACAACTAGGATCCACTATTGTTGGTAGGTTAGAATCTACCGTCCCCATGGTAGTGTGGGTAGTTCCGCTGGAGTTGGATACATACCTTAAAGCCAGTGATCGTCCTCACTTCCTTCTGCGGCTCGTCGACTGATGATTCGTGACCCTTACTAATTTGTGAGCTCGAGCTCGGGGTTTGTGAATCCGTCAAGGCGTCGACGGCCCCGAGTTTCTCGATATCTTTCAGACTGTCTGCCATTGTGCTGGCGGTGCTGTGCTGTGCCAGTTTAATCGAGGGTATTGACACACAGACTCTTGGGTTTTTCGTAAATGAAAGTTAAGTTGATGTTGAGTTACCGAAACATTCTGGTCTGACCGGTTATTTATTCTAATCCTGGGGAAACATTGGAACAGCACAGCTAGTCAGATCACGCCAACTGAACGAAGTAAGAGATCTGAAATCATTCTGGGTCGTGACTAATGAAGGCCCCATGGGATGAAAAAAGGATGACAGAGAAGATCAACCAGCCACCCTTTCTCCTCAGGGCCGCTTATTCCAGGAGAAAATTATGCTCGTATCCCCCTGTTTGCCGGTGCAACCCCAACCCAGTCCAGATCCACATTCTGGGATGCTATGGGATACCGATTGGGATACCGACTGGGATACCGACTGGATATCCAATGGGATACCGAATATGATACCGAATGGGATACCGACTGGGATACCGACTGGGACCTACTAGAATACCAAGAACGAGATAGTTCCGAATCAATGTAATCCTGAAGTAGAATCCTTCGGAGTGGCCCGGGCGTTGGCCCGGGCCACATCATCCCAGCGGGACAAAGCATATCAGCTATTTCGCTATCCCATCGGGGCAGGACATTACTCCGTAGGCTGTCATCCTGTCCTTGGCGTTCTGGACGGTGATAAGCACTGATTTAGCGTCTCCACTTTATATACTCAGGCTCCCGGGAAGGCTTGGCGCAAAGGTCACCAATCTCCGAATCAAGAGTCTGTCGAATCCAGTGTTGGAAGGGAATCGCTTGGGCACTATTTTAGCAGAATGAGCCGTGGAAAGCTAAGGAAGCCGTATCTATCACGATGCCTCTTTCGGAAGGGGGATGAAAAAGTGTCGCCATAGGTTCTGTTTCAGGCTATCTCGCGAAAGAGACGATAGACAGGGCTCGTGAATATCCTAACTTCGTTTTGGGTACCGTGACTAGTTCTCCCCGCGAGGGTATTCCCCCCTCATGCTTATGTCAAGTCCATGCATCTATAAAATCACACTCTGTTTTCCCCAATTCGCTACCATCTACGAGACACTTATCGTACACTTTTAAATCCACGGAACAACATATTCAATCCCATTCGTCCTCGTCTACTTCCCCTTCCAAAATCATATAATTCATTCGTCATGACCATCCACCGCGTCACACTCTTCAACATTCCCAAACCGGAGGACGTCGATATTCTCCTCGCCGAATATCGCACTCTTGCCCAAGAAGCAAAAAAGGTACCCCTTACTCATCTTCTCGTCTCCACCGCTCCTACATGTCAAATATTAACCTTTATACTGCTGATAGAACTCAGAGCCTTACATTGTGTCAGTCCAAGCGGGTCGCACACTGCCTGACGCGCGAACGAAAGGCTACACGCTGGCCGTCAAGACGACCTTTCGCGATTTGGAGGATATGAACTTCTATGATCATGACTGCGAAGCACATAAACGATTGAAGTCTGTTGCTGCACCCAAGAGAGATGGGGATGTACTTACGGCGTACTTTGAGGATGTGGTTGGGCTTGCAATTTAGATGATTGGCGGTGGACATCTGTAGTCATGTACAGAACCGTTAAGATTAGAAATGGAGAGAAATACGAACAGAAAGAGGATACTCTGGAACAACATAACAATCGCCTGACGAATATCCCCAACCCGCAGTATTATTCGAATGGGTCAAAAGGAACGAAATCGAGCCCTCAGACATAGAAAATATATATCTAGTACACAATGAGAAGATCCTCACGGGTAGTTGCTGAAATTCTAGCCACCGAGATATCCTACCCATATGACAGCTCGCCCACCAGACTACCTCTATCTAGTCAAGAATCATTAATCTTCTGGAGTAACAAGTTCTGTTTTGGTGTCTTTGTTTATCCCTGCAGCAGTATTTCTACAGTTTCTGAGCACAGAGGCTTTTAGAGGTTGCTAAATTTATTGTTGCTAAACTAGAGACTATTTTTATCTCCTAAGCGGTTTATAACCTGCTACCATAATACTGAATCCCACGTCTATTACAGCTTCTATATATATTCTAGTGAGCCTTCAAGAGCTGGTGCTTATAGAGTCTTTATATTAAAGCAAAGCTATATATTCGTAGTGCCTACGAGATCTTAATATAGGATATTGCTAAAGATGAGGTTAAATATATATATTAAAAGTATAAGTTCACCAGTAGGATTGTCTTAAGTGCACCATTGGATCATACACTATACCAGAACATTTATAACCATAGGAGTTTCTACGCAGAGGAAGAGGGCATAGATAGACTAGTTGTAAAGACTATAGTTAATACCTGCTACTTGATATTTTGCATGCGACGGTATTAAAGCTTATATTGGAAGATAGAACAAGGATCTCGAGACTTCAACATATTGTAATGCGGTTGCTATGTGCGCCATCTACTACTCCGGTAGCGAGGCAAGCAGGCAAGGTAGGAATGTAATGTAATGTATCATGCGTTGGGATTCACGCAATAATCTTGTTGGGGTGATCCTGGAGCCAGTATGTTGTATAATGACGGACTGGATACTGCCATACCCTCTCCTCTATCATAGCCCCCATTAACAGCTTTCATCGGCTAAATTGATAGACGAATCTAGTCAAACAATGGCTTAATCAGGTGATATGACCCTACGCAGATACCCCCAAATAAGCTATCCTGAAACAGCCCCCAGAATAGCCGACCGGTTATTCAGCCGCTTCAATATCTGGGAGACCTTTTCGGGGATGGCATGAGCCGAGTCGGCGTGGCAGGATCCAATCCCTATTTCACAGGATTCAATAGACAACTCGCTAACTTAATCTGATGCTAATAAGTCATAGATATCCCTTAAAACGAACGGAACCCGGACATCAAAACCAACAAAACCCCCCATCCGGCTGTAGCACACTCGCCGTCTGACTAATCCACCGCGCGTCTGAATTCCTCTCGCCATACGCGCTCCGATCCTCCGCCAGCCGCGAGGCCAAGTCCGAGCTCGCATGCCAGAGTTCATCGCTATCGGGAGGCGCGAATTGCAAATTCGCGAGCGAGAGCAAACTCCGGCCCGGCGCAGAGGCACCGATGTCCGGGACCTGGCAGGATCGACAGACTTTGTACAGTGAAAGGGCAAAGCGCTTGACTTCCTCCACGCCCACCCAAATGTACACGTCGGGCAGGGTGTTTGTGAACTGGGCGACAATCGAGGGGTAGAAGAACATTTGGCGCTCGAGGCAGGTGCGGACGAGGGCTTTGAGGAGCTGCAAGGGGAGGGTGGGGAGTTCGTGAGTTAGCTGCAGGTTCAGACCGTGATTACCTTGAAGGAGGGCGAAAATGATTTGGAGCAGGATTCCTTGATATGTGGCCATGGGCCAGGGGGCGGGGGGTTCTGCGTTGTGCTGGCTGGGGGCTTCCCATTTATCCTGCCCACGGTTAGTGAGTGGCTGCATCTGGAAGCCGGGCAGAAGATCAGAGGACTGGACACCGCGACACTCCCTTCCTCCCACGCCCCAACCCAGACCCTGAAACACGCCGTTCCGCATCTGCACACTGGATCTCTCCGGCTTCTTTTGCGTCTGGTTCGCAGTTGCAGAAGGGCTGCTGGTCCGTGTTCGCGAGGCACGAGGGACGCGTGTGCAGAATCTGAGCGGAGGTGTGGCGGTATCAAGTCCCCAGGCAAACTCACGCGCTGTTGATGGATCGACACCAGGAGTTTCGAGTGCAGATCCGTCGCTGCCCTCCGGGCATCCTCTTTCCCCGTCAACCATAATCCCATCATCATGACGGATTGCAAGAGCAGAGCGGGCTCATGGTCCGGATCGAAGGTTGCGCGGTGCAGAAATGGCCATGTGGCGTGAAACTTCTCGAAGAACACCTGGATATAAATTAACGCTCTCGAGGGGCTGTGTTCCATTGCGTCCAAGTTGTGTATGGGGACCAAATTGGTGGAATCCACTACCAGTCCGGCGGTTGGAGTCCCGGCGCGACTGGGTTGTGGAACTTGGCGGCCCCGACTCGAGCCCCCCAAGGAGCAATCAATGCCTCGCCGCACACAGGCGCCGCACGGAGCCTTTCCGTCACATTTGGACTTTCGCGAGCAGCAGTAATTGCACGCTCGACTGGTGCGCCCGGGTTGCAGCTGTTTATCCTCGTGATGGGTGCGGACATGTTGACGGAGCGTATCACTATTGTGTCCTTAGCACTATTCATGATCCAGGTCATCCTATCTGCCTCGATTCCTTCCCCCGTCCATGTTTTCCGTCCACCGGAGATCTATGTGACCGTGCGCAGATTCGACGCCTCGCATTCCCATTCCGTGTTTGGGTGCACTGAACAGACTTACTTCCGGGCAAACCGTCGATCGCAAAACGGACATTCAAACGAGTCCGACTGAAAATGTCGTCGCGCATGTCGGGTGAGATGTTCCTTCCGTCGATAGCTTAATCCACAACCCGGGAAGTGACATTGAAAGGACGCGCGGGTACTCATGGCGGGAAAAAAAAAAAGGAAATTAAGATTTTCTTAGTTTTGTCGTGAGAAAATCGAGAGGCTGTATAGCGCCAAAATCTAGACTCCCACGCGTTGACAGTTTAACGGCGAGATGGGAACGAGTGGGGACTGTCATGATGATTGGCGCCGATGGGATGGCGGGTGGGATGCCGATGGGATGGCGATGGGATCCCGATGGGATGGCCATCGGGGATGCTGGGATGGCCCCGGAGAAGGTCCTGGAACAGGTCTTATTGTGCCTTCAGGATGGACTAATCACGGAAATGAGTGGTAGTGGTGCAGGGCCATGGACGCCCCGTCATGGAAAGGAAACGCTGGTCTGGGATGGCATGGGATGGGGGGTGATGGGATACCGCCATCCGTGGGGGGGCGAGTGGGGGGAGACGGAGACCACGACCGCTGGTGACATTAAAATAAGCAGTTCGCAAATTTATGTAATTCTTCATCACTCCAAGGCTTATGAAAGAATCCTTCTCGTCAAATCCACCAATGGGATGGTGGGATGGTGGGATGATGGGATGATGGGATGGCGTGAACCATAAAAAGTGGCAATCATACGCGACGCTGTGCTCCACGAAAACGGTTCACTGGTGTTCCTCCCTTCATTCCTGTCATGCAGCTAATTCCTCCGCGTGCACGAGCGACACATCGTGGATCACTGGATGCCTGGTCCCACATGCCGCCGATGTTGCCCAACGGACCCATCAACCATGAAGCGGTCGAGTCTCCGGCAATTCGGATTATACAGAGATATTTTGGAGGAAAACGACGAAGGTTCGAAAGAAGTGATATGTGTTGTTGAATGGTCCCGAAGGTTACAGATCTACAACGGATGATTGTTCGGAGGCGCTTCCATCGACTGCAATCGTCAAACCCCAGCAGATTCCGTGCTCAGCTTGCGATTTCGCGATCCAGACGAACGATACATTAGTACATAAAAATTATTCCTTGGTGGTTTCCGACTGACCAATTGGAACTCGGCTGGATGAGGTATTGACACTGGCGACACTAGTCGGACTCGCCGTCCCCAGCCAGGCGAGCTAGCCTTCAGCCATGTCCGGAAAGTTTGGTACAACAACAAAAGTACTGACATTGTACACGCGATGTTCTTTCGACAATTTCTGCAACCCCAGAGCAAAATTAGAAAATGCCATACATGGGGTTACATAAGAGAAAATGATGCATGTGATTGTCAATATTCAGACCACAGTCGCTGTGATCTGATCTGTTTGGAGCGCAGCATTAAAACCCAAAAGCATTGCGATTCTGCCGCGTTGTATCTTGCATGACCAGAGGAATTATTGATATTGAAAGCGGCAAGGGATTGAAGGATACTAAGGGAGAGCAATTCGAGCCTCGACAGGCGCACAGACACTCTCGTAGTCGAGCAGCGAGTCCCACCCGAGAATCTGGTTGGCGGGATGGGCCGCAGGGACGGGTCCTGGAAATCGTTGGTGGTGGTGCTCGGCAGCTTGCCGATGCTATCGGGTATGCCGATGAACCCAGCGGCCACGTAGGGGGTCGAGAAACGTAAGGCCCAGCACTGAATGCGGGTGACCTGGTGATCGACAAGAGGCTGTGTCGTCAGCCACTCAAATACACCACTGTTTGAATGACTTGAGCCTCTGACTACTCAGCTATATCTCGAGTCTGATAGGCACGAAGCTTGATACAGATCTCTGCCGGGGGGAGGGTCGACCCCAGAGAAGAACTTATGCGGCGGTGCGTGCATTAGCCGCAGGATAGTCCACTCCTTCTGGCTGTCTCATCCACAACGGCTCCATTCTACATTCTCACCCTACATTTAAACCCGGTAGATGCTAATTTGAAACAGGACCACTCGTGAAGATTCCACAAATCACATTCCACGAAACTGACTAACAATATCTACTCGACATCAAGGTCCACACAGACACCCTATTCGCCCCGATCCTTCTGCCCAGTCAAGCTGTTCAACGAATCCAGAAGCCCCGGGATCTCAGGGTCTTCATCGATCCGGCTGACGTTCGCCACCCGTCCAAAGATGGTATACAGCCCCACAATGACAATTACCTCCATGATTTCCCGAATGCTGAAGTGGGCCTTGAGCGCCTCGAGGGTTCCGTCACTGGCGGTGTTGTTGCGGACCAGTTCTTCGACAAAGGCGAGGAGAATCCGATCGCGTTCACTGAAGTACTCGGTGTCGTCGACCTTGCCGAAGGCAATCAGGAGACGCTTGGCATTGGGCATGCCATTGACGAGGGCGACGGGGGTGTTGATCTCGAACACGTAGTGCGCCCCGATCAGCGCGGCGGTGCGCAGGACCACCAGCTGCCATTCGAGGGTCGGGAGCTCGCGAGTGGAGCGGAAGACGGTACCCAGGAGGCTGGAGAGGGAAGGGAAGAATCCTTCGGCGTGGGCGAGCAGCTTGAGCACGTTGCGCTCAAAGGGGAGGACCTTAAAGGCCTGCGCCAGGCCCGCGTTGACCTGGGTAGGATCCACGTAGGGGAAGACGGCGCGCTGGTTGGCGTAGGTGGTGGTGGGGAGGGGCGCGTAGACCGTGGTGGCCTGCTTGCCGTTGGGAATGGCAGAGGAGGAATCGGCGGTGGAAGACATGGCGATGAGTTTGATTGGGATCAAGATACCTCGGAAGGCAGAAAGCTGGGAAGAGAAGGCTGAGGAAGGGACACTGGGAACTCTGGTTGCTGCTATGGTGGAAACAACGGGGGAGGGGAGAAAGGGTATTTATATAACTCGATTCTCATCGACGTGACAAATCCACAATGGTCTTTCTTTGGCATTAGAAATCAAAATCAAAATCATGCATCTCTCTCAGTCCCCTCATCTCATAGACTTTTTCGTAGACGTCAAAGAGACCAGACCAACTCGACGGAGCTTAGGCGACCTCCGTCGGGGGCACGTAACTCACACTATGGACTATACGATGCTGGCCTGAAACTGCCATCGCCGCCTGCAGCCAGTGTAACAATGGGCGTCGCCATGGGTGCGCCTGGAGCCACAAGATCGCGCAAAACGCTAACTCTGCAGAATGCATGCAGCATTACTTGGGACGTCTTGGCGGGGAGTGAGGATACGCCCACGTGTGAACTTCCCCGAGTGCCGATCCAACCTCTCCTGTGCAGAATTGAGCGCTAAATTCTCACCTGCAGCTTACACTAGTGGTCTCACTCGTCATCAGAACGAGAATCGCGACTTTTTAGCCGACATCTATACAAAACACAATGCGCACCAATTTTCTTCAGGGTTACATTTCATCCTTAGCACTCAGTAGTACACTCTACAGGATCAGATTCCTTGAAAATGAGGGCTCCATCCTGATTTGTAATGTACTTGTGTCATTTCAGAAGCGGGTGTGTCAATCATCGGTATCGGGCTCTGCTGAGATGCCGGACGCATACGGGTTTGTTCGATGTACAGGAGAGGGGCTATGGCAGAGCTGAGGTCAACATGGACGAAAAACGCGGGAGACGTAGAGATGGGTGGGAGAAACCGCTGGAGAGAGAGATCCCCCCCCGGACGAGAAGGTGTGAGTTGTATAGAGTTCCAGCTGGCCCAAGAACTCTATAAAGGGGAGTAGTCTCGCACCACGGAAAGAGGCAGAGCAATCGAGAGCAGGCGATGAGCTTGAAGACCAGACTGACATATTCATTGTTCTGAAGTCTGGACGTCCTCTGTCTTTATCCTATACATCTATCCTTGACACCTTCTTTTCCACTTCGTTGAGTTCATATATAGACTTGTAGACTCCATATTTCATTGCTCTTTGATCAACGATGGCGTTGCATCAGCCACTTCCTTTCCTCTATCAACCCCCATTGCCTGCGCCGGAAATTTTTCAGCAGGTCTTCCCTCGAGTGGATTCACGGCCAAGTCCTAGAGGGGGTTCAGGCACGCCCGAGGGTGATGGTGAACTGTTTGACTTGACGCCGGTCCAGCGGGAGATCCTCTCGTCACTGGGGCAGCAATCTGGATGGACGTCCTTCTCTTTCCAAGTCCCCGAGCAGATGGCCTTCAGCATTGACCGGCTCCGTATGACCTGGCAAGCCGTGGCCGCTCATCATCCCATCCTTCGCACGGTCATTGTTGCCAGCGCGGATGGAGATTCCTGGCGGCAGAAAGTGGTCTATCTCGTTCTGCCTATGGGCCTTGGAAGCTGGGAGCCACGCGAAAAGACCGTGCCATACTTGACTTTTTACGAAGCAAGCGCGAACCGACCGGTCTTGACTCTCCACTACCATCGCGCTCTGATTGACGTGAAGTCTATCCTGCTGCTCTGGCATGACTTTGAACTCTTCTTCCACGGGTTTCCCTTTCCAGCCCGTATCCCCTTCAGCAACTATGCCAAAGCGATTGGAACCCGCAACCGTAATGAGGCCGTCAGCTTCTGGAATGGGTACTTGGATGGATACCATGGCAGGGGCTTATGGGGCTCCTCGGATCCGGGCAGAAAGGTCATCGAGACCAGAGTCGCGGGCGACGTGGGACTCCTCTCTGAGCTGGAGAACTTTGGACAGGAGCACCAGGTCAGTGTGAAGACCATGCTTCGCGCGGGGTGGGCCGCGACGCTATCCCGCCACCTCGAGACCCAGGATGTCGCCTTTTATACCAATCTCAGAGACTGCAGCTTCGACCAAACGGAGTACATCGTCGGTCCAATGGATGTGGCCACTCCTCTTCGCGTTCGCCTGTCGGAGGAAGAGCTGACCCTTCAAGCGCTCCACAGATTGGAGAGCGAAAAGAAGACAGCCTCTCGGTACTCATTCCTCGGTAGCCGAACGATCGAGGAGCACAGCGGCAGCACTACCGCCGTGCAATCCACGTTCATCGTGCTGGAATCAGAAATTCCCGTGGACTCTTTGCGGCAACTGGATGTTCCCATGAAAGTCACGTTGGACTTTGCCACCGCGCAGGTGTCCATGCTGCACGACTCGAACTATCCCTCGGCTCGAGCTAGGATCATCCTCCAGCACTTCTGGGAGGTAATGCGACAGATTGTCGCAAACCCCTACGGCCCGTTCATGGGCTTGAGCCTGGCTTCAGAGGACGAGAGAACCGTATTGCTGAGCTTTCGATCTTCGCATGAACAGGTCCCTCCCCAGCTGGTCCATACCTTGATTGAAAAACAGGCTCGCAATGATCCCACCAAGCCAGCTCTGCAGTTTGAGCTCAGCGAGGCCCTCAGTTTCGCGCAATTGAATGCCGCCGCCAATCGCGTCTCTCATCAGCTAGCGAGGTTGATGACTCCCGGATCGATCATTCCCATTCATATGGATGTCTCGGTTAACTTTGTGATCGCTTTACTTGCGATTCTGAAAGCCGGAGGCGCATATGTGATCCTGGATCCCGCCCAGCCGCCAGCCCGCAAGGCGTATATCATGGAAGATGTGCAGGCACCGTGCTACCTGACACAAGGGGACCTCGTCGACGAACTCCCAAATACGAAAGCCTACCTGGTGGAAGATCTCCTCCAGTCCTCGTCGAATGAATCCGACCTGTGTCTAGATCTGGACCCCGAGCAACCCGCCTATATCATCTACACCTCTGGTTCCACCGGCGTGCCCAAGGGTGTTATTCTCAGCCACCGTGCTGCCTCCACCGGGATTCAATGTGCACCTGCCATTGAAGACAACCGCAACTTACTCTTCTACAATCCGGTCTTTTCTGCTGCACAGCGGACCATCCTTTCCACCCTAGCGAATGGAGGCTGTCTCTGTCTCGCGGGCCGGTCAAAATTGCAACTCTCCCTGACCAATCTCGTCAATGCAATGATGGTCAACACGCTCGGGATCACCTCGTCGACCATCTCCCTGCTGGACCCCGAGCAGGTGCCAACCTTGCAGAGAGTCAACCTCACTGGCGAACTCGCCGACCCCGCGGTAGTCGCTCGCTGGGCTAGTTATGTGGAGCTGAAAAACAACTACGGGCTCAGCGAATGTACGCAGCTAAACTGGGGAAGACAAATGGGCCCAACGGATCAGCTATCGAGCCGCAATGTCGGCCGTCCATCGGATACCACGTCTGCCTACATCTTGGATCCGGACACGCAGAAGCTCACCCCGTTCTTGATTCCCGGTGAATTGTGTCTCGAAGGGCCGCAGATCGCCAGTGGCTATCTCAACAAGAAGGCGCTGACCGAGAAGGCTTTTGTCGATAGCCCATTTACGAAGGGATGCAAGCTCTACCGGACAGGTGACATGGCGGTCCGATTGGAAGATGGCACGATTGAGATCATCGGTCGTATTGACTTCCAGACGAAAATCCACGGCCAGCGGGTCGAGCCGGGCGAGATTTCGGCCCTACTGAGCAGGGAGAAGGCTGTGCGTGCTGCGGTGGTTATCGCTGCTACGATCGAGGGAGAGAAGGCACTGGTCGCCTGTATCTCGCCGGAAAATACAATGCCGTGGGCTCAGCTGGTTCACAACCTCCGGCAGGCGACATTGGCCAGGCTTCCTTCCTATATGACACCTGCGTACTGGTTATCTTTTGACACGCTACCTCTGAACACCAACGGGAAGACCGACGTGCTTCTCCTGCGGAAACAGATCGAGGCGATGCAACGGTCGGATCTCATCGGCCCGTCACTGGTTACCGACCAAGCAGGGAGGCCGCTCTCCGAGGTGGAAACGGTCCTCCAGACGGTCTGGGCCAAGGTCCTTCGTCTTCCCGCGGATGTGATCACAGTCAACCAGTCTTTCCTGGACCTCGGCGGAGATTCACTCAAGGCGCTGCTGGTCATCTCCGAGTTATTGCCGTTGAATTATGTCGCCGAACTGGGAGACCTTCTTCGAGCGGATTCCCTGGCCACTGCAGCCGCCTCTCTCAGGTACGAGGTGATAGCGCAAACTGATCAAGAGCCGCCAGCCCCGTACAGCCTCATCAAGGGCGGACCAGACGTGGACCCAACGATATACGAGGACGCATACCACGCTACCCCCTTCCAGGAGGGGATCATTTCCGCGCACCGAAGTAACGGCGGATACGTGTATCACCGAGTCTTCAACATTAAGGGATACGAGATACCCAGGCTGCAGCAGTCCTTCCAAAAAGCCATCGACGCGAACCCCATCTATAGAACGAGCTTCCTCGAGAACGGCGCAACCTTCCTGCAGACCGTGCACCGGCAATTCCAGCTCCCCTGGCAGATGATATCCGACATCTCGATCGAAGACTATGTATCGCACAATACATCCCAGGAGATGGATCTCGGGCAGCCTCCGATCCGAGCCGCCATTGTCAACGGCGAGATCCTCATCGTCACCATGCACCACGCCCTCTTTGACTTCTGGTCCTCCAAATTCCTCTTCCGGGATGCAGCAGCGGTCTACCACAATCAGCCCTTAGTGGTCAGACCCCCTTTCAACATCTTCGTCCGTCATTCCCAGAGATTGGATGAGAACGTGGCCGCAGACTTCTGGTCCGGGTACCTTCAGAACGCTGCTGCAACGCAGCTCACAACGGAAGCTGCGCCGTTCAACGCTCTCAAGCGAACCATCCAGTATGACCTTCGCACATTTACCGCCTCGGTGGGTGTCACGACCGGTGCGCTTATGTACGCCGCTTGGTCAATTATTCTGTGGAAGCACACGGGAAGCGCCGACATTACCTTTGCCATCACGCTTTCGGGGCGCGATGCTCCGATTCCGGGCATCCAGGATCTGAATGGACCGACCATGACCACTGTCCCTATTCGGGTTCGGCTGGAGCCCACGATGGGCCTTGCAGACGTTGTGACGTTAGTGCAGAACGAGTTGTGGAAAGTTGCTAAATTCTCGCAGGTTGGACTCAGACGAGCACTGAAAGCAGCGGCGCAAAGTTCGAGTCTCTTTGATTCCATGGTTAACTTCCTCGTGAAGACCGATGCAAGCCCCGGCGCCACTGAGTTGGAGCCATACGGCGAACGACCCATCTGGGATACTGGGTTCAACAGCCTTGAGGTAGAGGAGACGGCCGATGGGGAGTTTGAGCTGCGGCTGTCCGGGTATCTTGAGCCCATTCGAACGGGCTTTATCATTGAGGAAGTGATGCAGTTGCTGCGGACGATGGTGGACAACAGCCAGACCCGGTTGGGGGAGGTGGATTTGATCGCACCCTCTGAGGCGCTATATCTTCAGCAGATGTCGGTGCCGGCCACCACGGACGCGAGGTTCCTGCACGATGGCTTTGAGGCTATTGCAGCGACCGATGGCGATCGCGTCGCAATTGAGTTTGAAAAGACCGAGGTAGTCAGTTATCGTGCATTGAACAGCCATGCCAACCAGCTGGCACGATACTTGGTCCAGAAAGGAGTAGGCCCAGACACTTTGGTCCCTCTCTGCCTTCCCAAGTCCGTTGAGATGATTGTCTCGATCCTGGCCATCCTCAAGGCCGGGGGTGGGTTTGTCCCACTGGATCCGGATAATCCCCCCGAGCGAAACAACTTTATCGTCAGCGACGTGTCCGCCACGATGGTTCTTACGGACGAGAACTTGCGCGGAATCTTCGACGAGGCCGATCGCGCGGTAGAGGTGGTGGACGTGTACAATGTCGACCTCTCTGAGTACTCCGACCGCAACCTGGAGCTTCCAGACCTGGAACCCCATCACCTGGCATACGCAATCTACACCTCCGGCTCTACAGGGTTGCCGAAGGGGGTGCTGGTTCCGCATCGCTCCATTGCGGCGGGAATTGAAAGTATTTCTCTCGCTGAGAGCTGGGATCGGGAGTGGCGTGTGCTGCAATTCTCCAACTACGTCTTCGACGTCTCGGTGGGGGATATCTTCTGCACCCTCGGTGCGGGCGCAACCCTCTGCATGGCTCCCATGGAGTCCCTCCTCTCCGATCTGGCCGGGGTCATCAACTCAATGAAGGTGAACCGGCTCTTCCTGACTCCCACCGTTGCTAAGCTCCTCCAGCCTGCCGATGTACCGGGCGTGCACGGGATATATCTGGCCGGAGAACCGGTGACTCCTGATCTCGTCGACACCTGGGCGCCACACTGCGTCGTCATGAATTGTTACGGACCCACGGAGGCCTCGATTCTCGCGAACGCAGGCTATATCCCGCCTGGCGGCAACGCCAAGGTCATCGGCCATCCGCTTCGGAATTGTGTCTCCATGGTTCTCGAGCACGATAGCCTGAGACTGGCGCCCTACGGCGCCGTCGGCGAGCTTTGTCTCAGTGGGACGCAGCTCGCGCGCGGATACCTCAACCGGCCCGAGGCGACGGAGAAGGCATTCGTCCTCCGGGGCTCTGAGCGAGTCTACCGAACCGGTGATCTCGCTCGGTGGCTCCCCGACAACCGCATTGAATGCTTTGGGCGGAAAGACAACCAGGTCAAAATCCACGGACACCGCATCGAGCTGGGTGAGATTGAGGGGGCGATCTTAAAGACCAATAAGGTCCAGCATGCGATCGCCAGCGTCGTCGAGATCCAGAAGAGGCCGCAGCTGGTTGCCTTTTGTGTGGTCGACCCCGGAAACCCTAATGGAATTCTGCCAGCCGAGGACACCTTCGAGACACTCACGACGGTCAGCATCAGTCTGACCTCGTTGCCTCCGTACATGGTTCCGACCATCTGGATTCCAGTCGGCACCTTGCCCCTTCTTCCCTCGGGGAAGGCAAATCGGAAGAAGCTTGTGGAATGGGTGAATGCCATGGATAGCAACGAATTGCTGCAGTATAGTAATATCGACGCCGAGGCCGAGTTCGTGGACCCGGTCACGCCAGAGGAGATGGCGCTACAGAGCCTATGGGCTTTTCTGTTCCACAAAGAGACCAGTGAGATCAGCGCCACGAGTACCTTCTTCGCCCATGGTGGTGACTCTATCACGGCCATCAATCTCGTCGGCAAGTGCAAGGAGGCGGGCCATGTGCTTACCGTCAGTGACGTGCTTGCATTCCCTCTCTTACAGGAGATGGCGACTCGCATGAGGCCCGTGAACAAAGCCGTGCCAAAGGTAGACGATGTGTCTGTCCCCGTCTCTGATGAGGTGTACGCGATGCTCTCCACCGCTGGAGTCCAGCCGTCCGATGTCGAAGTCGTCTACCCGGCTCCCCCGGGAGTGGAGGACTTCCTCGTTCGTGGCGCCCAAGCCGAGCAATTCTGGCAATGCCAGACCGTCCGACCACTCCCCGAGGTGATCGACTTCAACCACTGGATCGAAGTCACCACCGAGCTGACAGCAAGAAACGAAATCCTGCGATCCATGTGGCTGGAGGCAGACGGGCGCTGGCTGCAGGTCGTCCTCGCCAACCCCGTCCTCGACCTGAAGATCATTCACTGCGCCTCAGAAGCCGACAAGCAGCAACATATAAATGCCGCCTGGGACGCCGAATTTACTCTCGGCACACCCTTCATCCGGTACCGTCTCCTGATCCTCCCAGACGGCACCCGCGACCTTCTCCTCAAAATCCACCACGCCATGTATGATGGCACCCTCCTCCGGATCTTTGATGACGAATTCAAAGCCCTCGCCAAAAACCAGCCTCCTCCGGACACGGTCCCCTTCCGCGACTACGTCTCCTATATTCAGGCCACGGACAAGTCGAAAAACCTCGAATTCTGGACATCCCTGCTAGCCAACGCTCCCGCCCCATTCCCCAGTGCCACCCACTCCATCGCCTCAGCCCTGACGCTCAAAACAACCGACCGTCGTGTCGACTCCTTTGCCGCCTCCGTGGGCGTGACCGTTCCAATCGTCTTCCAAACCGCCTTCGCGCTCCTCCTCGCCCGCCTCTCTGGTCAACAGGATGTCACGTATGACAACCTAATCACTGGCCGCAATGTCGACATCTCCGAAGCCCAAACTATCGCCGGGACGTGCGCCAACTTCCTCCCCTTCCGGAGTACATTCTCCCCCGACACCCTCATCCGCGATCTGCTTAAATCCACCCAGACCTTGTTCTGGAAGACAACCGAGAACGGCAACGTCAGCCTGACGGATATCTACAACGCCCTGGGCAGGAAGCGAGACGATGCGGCGTCTCAAGCAATGTTTCTGTTCCAGCCTTTTGAGGCGCCGCCACCTACCACCAATATGGTCGACAAGCATATGCGGTGGATGGTGATGGCGCTGAGTAAGGTTCGGATGCCAATTGACTATGCGGTGTATTTGGAGGTGTCGAAGACAGCTACAGGTTATAGTCTGAAATGGAAGTATGATCAGCGGGTGTTTGGGGAAGAGCAGTTTGATGCGGTGACAGCGGCGTATTTGGATATTCTGGAGCAGATGATGGAGTATTCAAGGAGTAAAGTTGTTTCTATTGTTTGATAGTCTTTCTTCTCTTGCGCTTATTTTTGTCAACCGTTATATACTCACAGAATCTATCATGTTTAAGAATTCTTGCACTCGTGTTTCGTTCCACCCCCAAACTGCGCGCCGCACGTTGCAGACACAATCTTACAGAAACACCATAATCCGCCCGACTTGGCGGGGTGGAGTATCTGACAATCGATTCAATCCCTGAATCCTTTGGACCGGAGAACACGTAAATCAGAATATAGAGAACCACTTAGTAGGGTCAGTTGATTGAGATACTGCGATTCCTGGTGTTTTTACTAGGGTGGCATAATCTAACCACCGTAACCTAGCCATAGGCCCCTAACCTAACTTACCGTTGGTGTCGGAAGCCCCCGCAGGTTGCTTTCCTTAGCTAGGTCTAGCGCATGAGCCTTGTGTCCCCAGTTTTAGCCTTCGAGGGAGATATTGGTATAGGCAGGAATTAGTGCAAGATACTCTGCTCAGTCTAATGCTGCCGTTAGTGGAGGGTTGCTTTGAGAGGCCGCGTTACGATATCTCACCCCTGTCTGTCACGAAACCTTACAGTATCATCCTCAAAATGTCCCGTAAAACAAGCGACTGAATGACGAGAAAATTGATAATGTCCATTATACTTTTATGATTTATCCAGTGCTATATAACTGATACTTCTGCAATAGCTAGTTTGCATGGGGGCCTATGCACCTAATCTCCGCGAATCACCTCATGCCACGAATGCATGAACGAAGTCGTCTTGTCCAAATCTCAGGCGCGATAACCATCGTCCACCTCGGCAGGCTCCCCATTGGCCACCCTGTGGTAGCCATCGCCCCCAATGAGGCCGTAGTGAGTCTCAGTCTTATGAAGGGCAACTTGCACCCCTACCTTCGTCTCAACCTATTTCCAAGAATGAGCAGGGTGACTCCTTATCACTTCACCGAGGAACGCTTACCTTGCCCTGACTATTCACCACGACGTAACGCGGTGTTGGAATCTCGTCTTTGTTCTGCTTTTTGTAGTAGTGGACTGCTAATCTGGCTGGAAGTTGGGCCACAGACAAAACACCCTCTTGCTCTTGCTGAGCACACTTGTCACAGTTACTGTCCTCAAGGCTGCCGCTGAAGTTGAAGACACTGCCCACAAAATTCCGTGACCTGGCGTCGTAGAAGTCCTTGCCATCCATGTCACCGAAGAAGATGTTGATCTGGAACGGCTTGCCCCCCAATGCATACCTGAGCCCCGGTCAGCGACAAGTCTCGATTGCCTTGGGTAGTCGTCCTAGAGGTACACGTACCGATTGTACCAGATGCTTAGAATATAGTCTTCATTGCCAAACTCCTTGTACACCTCGCTTGTTCGTTGCCCGTACAGTTCGAGAACCTCCTTCGCGACTCTGCTCGGATCTTTAGTGATAGCGTAATCATAGTTTAAGTGTCGCCAGTCCTTCACATCGTCAGACCTGAAGAACACGACCTCTCTCTTCTTTTCACAAAACCTGTGGAAGGGACGTAGGTCGTCATCTTTCGATACTTTGCTCTTATCGTCATCGAACCAGCGGTCAGGGTTTAAGGACTGCCAGATCGCAGTGAGCCTATCGATATTGCTGCACCCCTCCGCGTTATTATCCCTGTTCCACGGCGGAGAAAGTATGGGAGCGCTTACCAATGGTGCAGCCAGAAAATTGGATCGAACGCAGCCACTGGAACACTGCTCATATGGCCAGCACCCCAGAGCTTCAAGTCGTGCCGTCCTGGACGGCTGAACATGAATCCCCCAACCCAGTTCTGCGGAACATTAGCTCTATAACTCTCGCGGATCGGGACGCTGCATACGTACATGGACGTTGTTGTGAATAGCTTCCAGGTTCATCCAGTTCTTAAAGGGTTGTTGGTCTCCCTTAGGGCTGTCATCGTACCGGGTGCTGGAGAATTCCCCCCAGTTATGGCCTATACTTAGGAGACGGAAGGTCATCTCCTGTAAGGTCGGTACCGAGTCCCAGCCATCCAGATTCTGGTACCAGGGATGCTCGTTTAATGCCAGGTTAGCGCGCAGCCAGTTCTGGCCACCGTCCGCCCACACGTCGGCGTTGTAGTTTTCCAGAAGACCATACTTGGTGGTGGACTGACATTTGTCGAACTGAAACCAGCATGAGAATTAGGACTAAGCAATAAGGAAAAGTGAAACACACCGGAAGAGTGAAAGACCTGCCGTGTTCGTCGGTTGATTGACTCGTGATCGCGTATGGATGTTGCAAGGTGCCCATGAGGGTTTGCATCTGAAACCTGTAAAGGGGATTGGGCTTGATTAGCTGCTTGTCTGGATCCCCTGGCACGGCGACCTTGACCATGGGCATCGTGACCAGAATGGGCAATCGAAGTTCATCGCCTTGGGTATTGTCATGTCCATGCCGGGCGAACCTGGCAAAGTCCCAGTAAGGGAGACGCCATTGCTTGGCTTCATTCTCCCAGTCAGCTTTCCCATTCTGTGGCACATTTTGCTTGATGAAGTCAAGCATGGCTTCATAAATTACTTGCTATATGTTTATTAGTATACGAATACCGATACGTCTAGAAGCACATGAGGTCTGATGAGAGACAAGCGCACCTCGTACAAGGCCACATACACCCGATGCCATGTGGGAAAGGTGTAATTGTTATGCACGCAGAATCCCGTCGGATTTCCTTTGGAGTCATTTTGACCACCAGGCACCCCGTCCCACTCTGTCCAGGGAGCTCCGTGGATACCAGCCAGACGGAAGTATGACAGCTGGTCCTGCAAGGGGCGGTTTTGTACCACGGTCAAGGCTTCCACAAATAGAGTGAGCTGGATGCGGTTACTTCCCAGCCTGGTCTGCTCGAGATACCAGTCATCAATATCTTTGCGGATAGGAAGAGGGTGCTTAGGATCCTTTGGGATACCGGTGATGATGTAAGGCATTTTGGCCGGCGCGGATGGTGCTTAGATGGAGTGCAGCTGAATCTGACGTTGGAGTGTATATGACAGGTCTTCTACACACCCCTGAAGCATTATGGATCTGTGACCCATTATATGTAAAAGTATAGGCTCGATGAAGGCAGAAGGCAACCAAAGGTCCGCATCACCAGCGTTGCTGGGAGGGGGCAATTCCATCCTGGGATGAACTGGCTGCAGCATAGATTCACCTACTGCAATGACAACACTGTTTCTACGTCTTGTATCCATCGGAGTGGTGTATCGCGCAGTGCCTTCATTGGGCGTCGAGGTTTGGCGCCGAGCCTGGTGTTATTAACCACTTCTCATGCCTGAAGAAAAGGACTGGATAATGATGTGATCAGCTGAATTATCGTTGTTACCCCGCCTGTTGACGTGGCATTCATGCTGCGATTAAGGATAGCTCACCTTACGAGGCAGCTACCTGCAGTATGTCAATATTGATCGTCCACTGTAGTGGTGTATTGCGCGTTGCCATCATTGGTGCAGATGCGGCTCCCAGTACCTACCCCGGAGGTCTTCAGCCCAGCCACCATCTCCGAGTCATCACCCCTCCGGTAGACGTGGCACGCATCTGTTTCCCGGAGGATATGTATGCTCGTGGCTCAGATTCCAATGTTCTACAGGCCACAGATCTGTATATAATCTAGTTGACTGCCCAAATGCAAAAAAACCCCGCATTGGGTTGCGGGCCGGAACCCGAGGAACTAGAGGGACGATAAATGATCTGATTAACTAAGCGACGAATGTCATGTGCCCCCTGAACTTCGGAGTAAGTAATCCTTTTGGGGACCATGTCTTTTTGCCCAGGTAGTTAATTGTCATAGGATGCCTCGCCATATTCCAAACCTCCAACAGCTGCCACGATTCTGCATGGTTTTTACCCATCCTGGCTGCATTAGTCTGCTGTCTGAGTTGTCCCTGCACTGGCTCCCTCAACTCCTTTGATGATGGAGACGGAGTACATATATGTCAAACAATTAAATTATCAATTGCCCAGGTGCCCAGGTACCTCTTTTTAAAGAATTGTGGGAAATCCGTTCAACTTGAGTATTGAGAATATTACATACATTTGGAAGCAAGAGTCACGAGTTGGGGGCATGCAATTGATTATCCATGATGGCGCAGCTTCCTTCAAGCTTTGGCGGCAGTATAGCGAATATTGAGGTCGTACTGATGTACTGTAGCATATTACTAGCGAGATATGCTTGGGCATCGAATGCAGAGCACCCACGTTGCAATCAGTCCTAGAAAAGTGACGTGTCGTCTCATACATATGGGATGGCTGCAATGGCTATTATGAGATTTCAGGGCCCGAGAATGAAAACCAACCTAGTCACTTATGTGAGATTCCGATTTATGACAAAATGCGAGGGCGCTAGCGAATGACGCAGTGTATACACTATCTCAGATGGATGCCCAAATTCCGAGCACCGGAAGGACATTCGACTGGAAGGAACAATGTCTCTATGTATTGCCAAGGGTAGGGACTAAATATCATCGCTTCAATGTAAAGAAGGCAGGAGATGTGAAGCGCTGCTTGGTGTGTATACATTCATGAATTAGGTGGCCGAATGCACTCACATCAGCCTTGAGCAATTCATGGACACCTGTATGGCTGATGGGAAGTTTGCGAGACCCTTCTAACATAGAGGAGGCTTCTAATTGCCATTGTACGGTAAATGGGGAGACCTGCTGTTGGAAAAGGTGCGCAAAGAGCTACAACTGGGGAGATAGTTCAACCTTACAAATGCGCAATGCACTTTTCCCGGCCTTGTAACGTAGCCTCACATTGGACCACGTTCAGCGTTGGGGACGAAAAAAGGCTCATATCGGGGAAGGAGGAGATACATATTTTAATGCACCCATGCAGTAACTCCCTGTCTATAGTTTATCGCTGCATGCACCTCTAATAGAGATAGTGGTTTTCCAGTAGCACAACAAGATGAGGTGGGATTGAGACAATATTGTATGCCTCGTGAAGGGATCCAATAACACCCTTGTCTCAGATATTATCAGTTTAGTACTGTCAATGTGTCTCCTCGGAACTCTCAGTCCCCTCCTCCGCCACCCACCATCATGCATACACACACTAGTACACTAAATATCCATGACATTGGGGAATGACAAAGCTGCAATCTGGTGGTTATCTGTGATTGAAGTAGATTGTAAGCACCTGAAGGTCCTGGTCGGTAACCACGTGATTTCAGACATATAATAGGGACGACGCCTCCTGGAATTTCGAAAAAGCCAGTATCGAATATCGGTCTCTCATCGCCCGCTATTTCCTTACAGATTTTTTAGCCGTCAAGGATCACATCAAACGCCGTGAATAACCCCGCAGCTCTAGCATCATGGCTGCCGGAGCCCCGCCCAACCACCCAAATGGTATCAATATCATCGACGATGTTGATCAGCTTCGTAATGAAACCCCTTCTGGGCAGTATGCTGTGCACCTACTGAAGGACACTACTGATCGATTTGATGAATTTAAGACATGGTACACTTCAAGTGTGAGGCCATTCCCTCACAGTCAGGACAGAGAAGGATATACTCGGTGTGTACAAAATGCCAGGCTCTCCGTGAGGGCGTGGTCCCTCGTATTAGCGGTATCAGACTCATTACTCTGTCCAATGATCAGGGTGGGGTCAGTTGTCCTAACTGGAGTAATTGGACCTGGTTCGAGCTCAAGGTCCAGAGAGAACAAAACTATTTTTCCTGGATGAGCCAGCGGAACGCATTTATTTCCGAAAGTCCCCGGTGGGTATGTTAGTCTAAAAACCAACTTTTTAGTGGACTCCTGAGCTGCAAAAGTGTCATCTAGAGAGAGGGGAGGTACTTTGACCGATCCCATGATTTGATCAAGAAGCTGAAGGTAAGTATTATTTAACCATTGAACTCGTCGGAAAAGAAGGCCAATCTTCTGAGCCTCTATCCGTGTCATCTAGGGTGGGGATAGCATTCATGTACTTTTCCGAAGGAACTTTGGGTGGTCCATCAACGCCGAACGGGGGTATTTGGTGTTCAATGTTGGTTGTGAGCCATGTAAGCATATCTTCCGACACCCCGCTAGGTAAATACACCGCATTGCTTAACGACAGCCAACAGTCCGCGCTCCTATCAATTTCCAGCCTTCTCCGTACAAGCGACAGGCCCTAGTAGAGGGGAGCAGTCTATTAAAAACACGTTTGCTGCTAGAGGATGAACGGAACCATTTGGATGTTGTGGAGTGACTGGCAGAACTGAAACTGAACCAGCCAAGCTCAGGAATCTCGGAAAGTGCAAGCTCTTGATATACAGCTTGCTGCCCAATGTTGACTTTTCAAATCTTGTCAATGAAAGCCTGGGCGTCCCGGGAACACAGATTTTGGTATTGGTTCAGCTTGAATCACTGCTAAACCCGGGAGAAATCAAATACCTTTCGTGGGATTGCATCATGGAGTATGTTTGGACCAAATTCTTGAAACCCCGTTTGGTCAACGGCCTTTCCATCTCATTATTAGGCTTGGCTATGAAGGAGCTGTTTACATGGATCCCGACACGTCCAACAGTGTCAATGGACACAACTCACCCCTACTTTGTTTGAGCATGAAGCGGTAGTAGGATACTTCGTCGACTCGATGAGGAGGGGAAATACCGATATTACACCGGATCTTGAAATGGCGTATACCGCAGGTATAGTTGCATCCCTGGCAAGGGAGACCAACGAATCCTTGGAGGTACTTTGCGAGACTCAAATCAACGAAGCTATTATTTCCGGCCTCACATGGTCCCGCCGGGTCGCTACACTACACTTTCCACAGAGAGGGGATGGAAAAGAGCCCACACTCCAGGACATGAAATATGATACGGCCCCTGATCCGATCTTGTTATCTCTTAATACCACAATTTCCGAAAGGGCCGCTAGTGGCGAACCGGCGAGGGTCTCACTGTTCGATTGCCTCCCGTACGGTAATGTCTATGATAAGACTCCCTCGGCGAACCTCCTCCTTACCAGTGATGACATTGTGACCAATGGCCCAAGGAATGTGTTGCCTTATGTCCCCAATGCATCGTTTGGTGCTCTGAGGACTGCGGACCGAACTGAGATCGATGGTTTTCGTCGTATCGCCAACGAGATTAGGGGGTATGTGGAGAAGATACAAACTGGGCCCCTCAATCTTGCAGTCTTTGGTCAACCCGGCTCGGGGAAGTCTTTCGGGATCAAACAGCTTATCCGGACGATTTTAAAAAGCCATGAGCAAACCGGTGCTGAATTTGTGTTCAACCTCTCACAGTTAGAAAACAAAGAGCCGCTGCACTCAGTGTTCGACACGATCCGAGACCAATCCTTCACCAAGAATATACCAGTCGTATTTTTCGATGAATTCGACTCGATATTTAACGGCTTGGCTCTTGGATGGCTAAATGAATTCCCGGCGCCGTTTGGAACGTATCCACACAAACTGGGCCGGGGGATTCATGTTTACATAGGCGGTACAGCACCAACGTTTGAGAAGTTCAAAACAAACAAAAATACAACGGAATATCAGGAAAGTCAACCCAGGCCCCCGATATCCAAAGGAAAACAAGAAATTCCCAAGCCCATGGAACTGGAACGATCAAGTCTTTCGGAGGATCTAAAGGAGGTTTTCCTGCATCTCTGAATAATGTGGTTTATCTGGAAGTCTTGCTAAAAGAATTGTGTTCCTATGGCGAACTAGTCGAACAATTTCATTGTATTCGAAACCATGTCCTCGACGGAAAGACGCCTATTGTGATATTCAAAGACTTTAACACGAACCTAGGGGATGGCATCCTGGGCTGGGTCAAGTACTTTCTATCGCCAATGCAAGACGCCGAGTTCTTTGTGGACGGCCACGACCGGCATATCGGACGTGCAGTGTTCGTTTTCATTGAGAGAGACAGTGGTCGATTGGCAGGCTTCCCGGACACAACAAAATTTTCAGAGGTTGTAAAGCGCTCCAAGGGGCCTGATTTTGTGAGTCGACTACGAGGATACATCAAACAGGGAGAAAAAATGGAGGAATCCCTCAAAGCAGTTAGGGAATTGTTGAAAAATATTTGGCCGGGAACAGGATCGCTGCAAAACCCCTTTCAATCGGTGTCATGAAACCCCCAAGCAGCTGCAGTAAACAAGGGACTGAAGATTCGCCTCCAGCTGTCAAGGAGGCTGTGGATGTCCGACAAAAATTTGTGGACGAGATCGAGAAATCCACAGACGGGACCTCGAAGCAGGACGGGTACGTGGGTATCATAGGCCCCAACAAGGTCGATGACGCAGACAGAATGTTTTACATCCGGCGTGCCATTCTACTGTACTCCATGGCAGAAGTGAAAAATCTTGAAGTTGAGGGTGAGCTGCGGCAGGCACTACTTGGGGTTCCTACGCTTCGACATGGGCCCGCTCTCTGGAGGCAATTTTGAAGATGAGCGAACGCGGACAAGAAAATGTGCATGCAAAGACTAAAGTAACAGATCTTCCGCCCAACGAACAGCTCAGTTTACACCTGGACAGGGGTCTCTTACAGAATTTGCCCAGGTTGTCAGAGGACCACAAGTAAAATCGCGAGTTCGAAATTGCAAAACTGAAGCGTGAGATGGGAGGGCGGATGCCATCAGATCAAGCCAAGTTCGCAAGTAAAGAGTAGTTTCATTAAGCACTTAATTCAATCCAAAGGAAGAGGAGATTGGATGAAATAGGGGTTAAAAATAGTATGCAATATTTTCCTAGCTGATATATTTACAAGTGTCCTTTTAAACTACTTCCTGCAATCCTGTCCCTCGTATAATTACTCTGTGTTTAAGCTTTTTATCTATTTTGTAGGTCTTTATACTTTACATACAATCGGTAGTTACCTGACATACTATACCCTAGTACCTGGGAATCATATTCGCCATCCATGCCTAGGAAGAACTCTAGGTATAGCTAAACAACGGTAATTTCGAGACAAGCGTCCTAAGAAATAATCCACAACATGCCTCGTGTATCAGATTACTCCTTCACTTCAACATGGACAGTAGCTGCTTTGCCCTCTGACTTCCTGGCTTGCTCCTTCATGTCCGCAACGGCAATTTCACCAACATCAACCACGTCGTCACCATCGAAGTACTTTGCAATTTCCTCCATGGGAGTGTACCGGGTTTCGATCAAGAAGGTGTAGATAACGAACACCTCCATTCCCAGGAAGACACAGTAGACGATGTAATACTTCCAGCCAATGGCATCGAGGGCAATTGCGTTAATGTATTGATTAAAGAAGAGTGCCGCGGTGACGCAGAAGTTCAGCCAGGTGAAGCCTTTGGCACGAAGACCGTAGGGAAGAATTTCGGTGGTGTAGGTTGCCATGAGACCAGATCTGCAAGGAATCTCAATGTCAGGGGCTGTTGGTATAGAGATTGGAAGATGAAGTACTTACTTGATGTCGTAGAATACTCCGTACAGAACTGTCAGAACCACGAAAACATATCCAAGCGCCTGATTAGCGGTGATTGCGTACCGAGCTGACACGATGGTCCATGCATTGAAGACCACAAACGTGCCAACTGTCGAGACCAGGTAGACCGGCCGTCTTCCCAATCTGTCGATGAAGAAGGCCAGGGTGAAGTTGATGACCAAGGCTTCGGTCTTGATACCCGCGTTGATTCCGAGTTGTGTGGAAGCCTTGGTAATACCAACACTGTCCATGACCTGTTTGAGATAGTAGGAAATCAAACCATTGCCACTCCATTGACTGAAGAGTCCCAGAGCGGTGATCAGACCGATTCGCTTGCGGTTGCCCTTGGTTCTCAAGAAATCAACCCAGCGGGTTTGGTCAATCTCCTTATCCAGATCAATGGCAGCCTTGATCTCTGCATACTCCAGCTGCACAAATGCGTCATCCTGGTCACCCTCGCCATGATATTTGACGAGAATCCGCAGAGCTTCATCGTGTCTCCCCTTGCTCATCAACCAACGAGGGCTTTCCGGCATTATCCAAATGCCAGACACAATGACAATGGTGCAAATGGCCTGCAGTAGGCTAGGCAGACGCCACGACCAGTCGCTCTAATAGAAGAAAAGAATGTGAGTCGAGAAGAGTCAGATCTACGGTGGCTGCTTGGGCAATGATACATACCTGAATCTTCAATGTGCCCAATGTCACCCAGCTAGCAATAAACGCGCCAGAGTGATAAGAAGCACCACTAAGCGTGACAAGGATGGCCCGGTCTTGTGGATGCGCGATCTCAGCGATCAAGAGCGGAGCGCTACCAAGAACGAGACAGTCACCAAATCCAATAAGGAGACGGGCAGCGATGAACATGCCAAAGCCGGTAGCACCAGACTGCAAACCCACTGCAAGCAGCATGATAAGACATCCAACGAAACACCCGAGCCTGCGGCCCCAGGCATCGATCATGTAAGGCACGACGAACAGACCGAGCAGAGAGCCAAGACTCATGGAGGCATTGAAGAGGCCGAGAAGCGAACCGTGAGGATGATTGAAGTATTCCTGCCAGTAGGAAAGGGTTTGGAGACCGTTCATCATTGAACCATCAAAACCGTTTGCTGTGTTGGTCAGGATGAGGATGACAATGTAGATGTACAGGGTACGCATATTCTTCCTCTTCCACCAGGGCACGCGCTTGAACTCCTGCTGAGCGAACAAGAAATGGCCCTTTGTCGGTTTAACGGGCAGGATCTTTTGGCTCGGCTTCGGGGGCCGGAATCGCAGCGCCATGATTGCGAAAGCGTGCGCTGGATGCAGATGTAGATGAGCAAGCAAAAGAGGTGTGGCAAGCTAATGAGTCCACTTCGACAGCTGTCGGGGATGAGAGAAACTTTGAATTACGAAGAAAAGCCCTCTTTATGAATCTCGAGACAGACATGAGCTTGGCAACCCCAGTCCTTCGTACATATGGCGGCTTCATCGACTCCGGGCTCTATTGTCCCCAACCCGGCTTGCCACGACCTGTTGCCACCCAGTCAGCGTTGACATTTGCTGAGCTGGGCGTGTTACATATGCACTTTCTGCATTTTGCCGAGAACTGGCGTTTTCTTGGTCTTCTCGTGTTCTTGAAGCGCCATCGCTGGGGATCATCATCCTCCATATCTCGGAGGCCATACGCCAAACCCCGTGGGGAACTGGGGTTGGAGACTTAGGATTAGCTGGGGAAACCTGCGGGGGCCCGAGATGGGAGGCCTACTCCAACTACACCTTATTTGGTAAGAGGATGATTGACTTATTAAAGTTAGGTAACTAACGGGAGGTTAAACCTTACACTGATACCGCCGGCAAGTGGACGGTTCAGCATTAGCCGAACTTGAAATTGAGAATGTTTACTTGCTTTAATTCCGATCTTGAGCGCTTTGCTTGATAGGCTTGGCGAGAAAGGTAAAAAGGCTACATGTGTGTCAAGTCGTGGGCATGTCGATCTAGCATTCAAAACTGTAGTGATATTCTTTAAAACTTTCATCGACACCGAGATACACTTCTCTTTTAATGCGACCTATCCGTGGATCCGTTAGACTTGACAGCGTAAGCGATCACTCACCCAGTAATTGCGAAGCGGAGCTATCCATGTGATTGTGTTGACTACTCTACGTTCTAATCCCTTCGGAGAAAATTGTGGGGGAGAGCCTGGTCCTGGACCCTGAACTCCAATTTAGCCTATACGGCGTGCTTGAGATCCACGCTTGGCCGCCTAACAACAACCTAACTTTACCCCTCATCCAGCTTTATCCGTCTAACAGAGGAATGCACTGGCCCTTGAAAAGATAGAGTTTGGAGGCCGATTCCCCTCCTGGTATATCTTTCCTTATCAAGTCCTGATGTACCGTGCAGCTCAACCCGGATGGAGGTCAATTGTCGTGTATTGGCCTGCTCCCACGGGACGAGCCCTAGATCTCCTGGAACTTGCCTAAACTGCAACCGAGTCACTCTCATGCACGTGCGATCGAGGAATCTTTTGTCACAATAGGAGGATTAGTGCCACCTGGCTAGTTAGCATGAGGACCGATGAGGTGAATGCGTTCCATAGAATACTTGAGAAAATGACACCTGTAAGACTGTGTGGAGCAGAAGGCGCTAGCTAGTACCGGCCAGCTGTATACTAAGCGGACTATCTGATGTGGCATACTTAAAGGTTTTACCCCAGACTGGATGAGGAGATAGACCATAGATTATTTCTTCCAGCCTTCGTTCTATCCCTTGCGCGAGCTAGCTATGTCGGATACAGTCAACCCCATCATCCCAGGCTTCGCGCCCGATCCATCCGTGGTCTTGGTGGACGGCTGGTTCTATCTTGTCAACTCTAGTTTCCACACTTTCCCCGGTCTACCTATCTACGCATCTCAAGATCTAGTATCATGGAAGCAAATTGGTAAGTCTAGTGGCTGGTCACTTAGTAAGTGGGAAAACGCAGTTCGAGCTGTCGCTAACGTGTGAGTGCACAGGAAATGCAATCCATCGACAGTCCCAGCTCAGCCTCGCAAAGTCACAGGCAAATATCTACCCGGTGGATGATGGGAAGTTTCTGGTGGGGAGTGGAGGCCTATACGCGCCCACGATCCGTCATCACCAGGGCACATTCTACGTCGTCTGTACGAATGTCATCCGTGCAGAGGGGAAGACTAGGGATGAGACGGAGAATTTCATAGTTTCCACCAATGATATCTGGTCAGGGACATGGAGCAACCCGGTCTACTTTGAGTTTGAGGGAATCGACCCCAGCCTTTTGTTCGATGATGATCGAAATGTTTACCTGCAAGGGTCCGGTGGAATAGGCCCAGGCACGACGATCAACCTCTTCGAAATCGACGTAAAGACTGGTGCAAAACTCTCCGAGGAGAAAACCATCTGGCGCGGCACTGGTGACATATACCCCGAGGGACCGCACTTGTATAAGCACAAGGGCTGGTATTACTTGCTCATCGCAGAGGGCGGCACCCATGGCGGGCATATGGTGACGATGGCACGCTCTCAGAACGTATTTGGCCCGTATGACTCCTGTCCAAACAACCCTATCCTCACGGCGCGTGGCACTCAAGAGTATATCCAGTATACCGGCCACTGTGAGCTGTTTCAGGACGAAAATGCCCAATGGTGGGGAGTCTGCCTTGGGGGGCGCCGAGGGGACCAAGGGAGATGCCCCATGGGGCGCGAGACCTTCTTGACCCGGGTGGACTGGGATGGTGAATGGCCCGTCTTTGACCAGGTGAAATTGTACCCCCGCGGCCTTTCAGCAACCTGTTCGAGCTTAAAACTCACGGCAGAAGGTGGGCTGGACTACCTTTACCTTCGAGATGCTATCATGAGCAACTATCGGCTGGAGAATAACCATTCATCCCTGACATTGACCGCGTCATTGGTCGATTTGTCTCACCCAAGAGATAGCCCCACCTTCATTGGCAAGCGACAACGGAACTTAGCCGGTACGAGCTCTGTGGTCCTTGGCGGTATCAAAGGTTCCTGGAGCTCTGCTAAGATCCAGGCTGGGCTCGCCTGTTACAAGGAAGAGCACCGCTTCTCCAGGATCTACTACGATGCTGCTCAGCAGGCGGTGGTTCACGAACTGGTCAATGCTGCTAAGAAGATTGTTCGAACTGAGAAACACACCCTCGGGGAAGTTCCTCGCTCACTGCATTTCCGGATAGAGTACACAGAGAAACAGTACTCCCTGCTTTATTCATTCCAGCCCCACGTTGGAAATGACTGGGCATGCCTGGGAACGGTTGATACTCTGGATATGACTGATCCCGATTTCACTGGCCCGATTATTGGCGTCTACGCTGTTGGGCAGATGGAGGGCGTGGAAGTTCAATTTGAGGACCTAAGTGTGCAATAAATGTTAGAATCGGTGGAATTGACACTTTATATCTTACACCTCGGCGCGACGATGGCCTAATTAGTCTATTAAGGACGACCCAAGCACATCTTAACTTTAGCAGTAACGTAGGCTACAGGTAGACTGGTCTGGCTGATACATTGGAGAGGCACCGCTGAAACCTTTTATATCTTTATTTCCAATATAGCTAACCAGTCACGGTCCAACTACGGGCAGGTTTCTTGATAGATTGCAATCTGTAGTAGACCTACAAGGCACCGGGCTTCTATAACAGAACAGATAAGAATGGCATTTTTAAATTTTTATCAGTTTGACTTTAACACTTTGGGCATTAATTGCCGGGGCAAGAACAATACAGCTAACAAAGCCTAACTATGGGCTTCAGTGGATGCCGGCTGAATATGAACGGGCACCGTAAAATTATACTGTGCATCAGGGGCAGGAAGCGTCTCGATCACCGCTGGGCTACCCTTCAATGTGAACTCGAAAGTCAAGCCCTCGGAGTTGTCCAATGCAATCTTGTAACGCCCTGGGAATATCACGAGACTTCCGTTCTCATCAGCTCGGGCCAGTGAGCCGAGAGTGAGAGGCAAGTCTGCCACTTGATCGCTTCCGCGAGCAATGTTGTGGAGACGCATGTAAGACACCAGGGACTTATTGGGGCGTGGAGCAGGGCCGGCATTCTTGCTGGAAAGGAACAGCAAGCTAACGTAGTCGGAAGTTCTATGACCGACATTTTTGACTCGCACCTTGACAGTGGTAAAGGGTGTGTTGTCTTTGATTGGACCGCCAGAACCTCTTTGGCATGAGGCAACGAGTTCCTGAATGTCGTATTCCCGGTTCAAAGTCTCTACCCAATCAAACTTGAATTTTGTGTAGTGAAGACCGTGGCCGAATGGGATCACCGGCTTTCCGGTGTACCATTTGTATGTTCGTCCAGGATATGAGTCTGTCAAGTTAGGGCGAAGGTTGATATCGAAGATATTGACTTGGTCTGCATAGCTGGTGGGATACTGCGTGACTGGTAGTCTGCCAGCAGGTGACCTTTTGCCCACAAGTACATCAAGAAGAGCAGAGCCCCCGCTTTGACTGGGATATCCCGCCCAAATCAGAGCTTGGATATCTTTGTTCTTCAGGAGCGCGCTGTCATCGACCTGGCCACCACCGAATTGGACAACCACCATTGGCTTTGAGAGGTTGGACAAGGTTTTGATGAGATCGAGTTGGTTCCCCGGCCAGGCGAGTGAAGTCCGATCAAGCGTTTCGGACTCGAGAGAGTTGTCGATGCCACCAAGATAAACAATCAAATCAGACTTCTTCGCGGCTGCTACAGCCGCCTCAAATCCAGTGGTGTTCTGATCGTTGATTGCTGTACCGGAAGCATAATTCACTTTCCACCTGTGATCGCTTTCAAATGCTTCCAATGGGCTAATCAAGTACGGCGCATTGCCAGAGTAGCCCCCTTGCATCTGAGTCGTGGCGTTTGCAAATGGTCCAATCACGGCGACGCTCTTGTACCTATGCGGAGAGTCCAGAGGAAGAAGGTCGTCATTTTTGAGAAGCGTCATACCTTCGACTGCAGCCTCATACGCTAGAGCCTGTGCTGCAGGGGTAGACACGTCCGAGAAATCGAGATGGTCGTACTTCCCGCCATCGAAGAACCCGACCGTAAACAGTGCCGAATATAGTCTCGCCAATGACTGGTCCATGGCTTTGACTGAGGTTTGATTTGCTGCGAGGGATTCGTTGAGTTTCAGGTATGAGGACCCACACTCCAGATCAACCCCGGCATTGAGAGCAACGGAGGCTGCCGCTTCTTCGGTGTCAGTAAAGTTGTGGTACTGCCAAAGGTCGGTGACTGCGTTGCAGTCAGACACCACGTAGTGATAGTCTGCATTGAAGTCCCAATGCTTTCTGAGCACCTCATCAAGAAGGTATTCATTCGCACAGGCTGGAATGCCGGAAACTGAATTGTACGAACACATGATGCTTCCCACATCTGTGTCACGTACACAGGTCTTGAACGGAGCCAGAAAGTAATCACTCAGATCCTGCTGGGTGGGGTTGTAATTGTTTCCATATCTGCCTGTCTCCAAGTCGTAGACTGCGTAATGTTTGCATGTTGCAATGACTTGCTTGTTCGTCGGGTCATCACCCTGAAGTCCTGGGACGAAATTGCGAATATAGTTCTGCGCAACGAAAATATCCTCTCCCGGAGTCTCTTGCCCTCTTCCCCATCGAGGGTCTCTGAAACCATTGATATTCGGGGCCCAGAAATCGAATCCCGAAAATCCATGATTGGCAAACGCCCGCCCTTCTTTGCCGATTACTTCAGCTATTTTACGAATCAAAGGAACATCGAAGGAAGCCGCCGTCAGGATTGGTGCAGGGAAGCTTGTGGCATAGCTGAAATTGGCTGGTTTGGAGGTGAATTGCACACCTGGTGCAGAGCCAACACCATGCGTTGCCTCGTTCCACCACTCGTAGGAAGGTAAGCCGAGCCGGGCAGATCCCGCTGAAGCATCTACAAGATTAAGGATCTTTTCCTCCAGGGTCAGGGATTCGACAAGTGAATTGACTCTCTCCGCAATGCTTAACGAAGTATCACAGACAGAGTGACTGCAGAGGGGCTGTGTTTGGCACGCTGGCACGAACCCAGTGTTCGTTACGTCGCCTTGCGGATTCGAGATCTTATACAAAGACATACTAAATACAGTTCCCGAATGTTAGCACCTTGTTCTCTGTAAATATTGCATTAGACTTACACATAGCCTCCTCCACACGAGCTGGATGGCTCCGTTGCGCATCTCGAGTTGCAGCTACTGTCGTTGGTCTTCGTCGCAGTACTAAAATCAGGCACACCCCCACAGAAACATTGTCTATCTGGGGTCAGCTTGGGAAATGGTATAACGAACGGCAGCACATTGGTTAAAGGACAGTTCTCTTACGTTCCAAACTCGATACCTCCATATACAAAGCCTCGTTGACCGCACCAGTTGGCACAGTACTGGGGAGTCATACCAATGGTGCTAAGTTTCGCTGCCGTCAAAATTGTCACTTTGGGATCTAAGTAACATCCAACGTAGGTTTTTGATGCATGATAGGCTGTCATTGGTGCCGAATTGTCAGTATTGCAGACAGGTGACGCGTGGACGTCAGTGTGTACTGCAATGAGAGACAGTAGTGCTGTTGCACCAGCCCAAAAGGACTGAGATGGTGTCATGATGACCTCCTTCCAATTTTCTGCTCTGAGAAACACTTAAATCTAGTGGGCTTTACTGAGGCAAAACCCATAGGATATTACCTCGCTATATGATAAACAAGCCTAAGTGGTTGCTGAGTACTTAAATAGGCTTGCTTTACTGCACATAGGAATCCCTGCTCCTAGAATTTCGTCATTGATCCCTAGGCTAAATTACGGATTTCATACTTGGTCGGATATACTCCGACTAGAGGCTTGGAATGTTTCTACTTGGCTCGCCTTGGGAGATTTCCACTCTGAAACGAGGGGTAGGGCTATTCGTCGTCTTTCCTGCATATTCCGACTACACGAGAAATACCCCTAAGGGATCAGTGCATCCCGATCAAAGCACTCACGACTCAGAGGCACGAATGATTAAAAAGAGCTCCCAGGATGATATGCATGATAGACTGTAATTGCCATGACTATTTGTCGAAGTAGACTATCGAAAGATGGAAAAGCTTCTCCGCAAAATCTGACCACCCTGCGGCAGTTGCCAGAGACCCTTAGGAACTGCCACTTCTGCGGGTATTTTCAGAATAGTGGGAGGTTGTCCAATTACCTAAAGAAGATCGTCCCGAAGTTCTCTCAACTTTGTGCTAAATTTAAAAAAGCGCGGGCCAGCAAGCGATATTTACAGTTAAGCAGCGGAAAGCTGTGAGCGGCCGACTCTGTACCCCAGTTTGTACCCTAGCCTAAACTATAGGGGTGACGGAACTATGAAAAGTCAATCAGTTCAATAGACTAATAGAAACAGACCTAAATGGAAAGATCGTCCATTGCATTGCGATCATGCGTTATGCATTCTCGCCTTTAGCCTGAATTTCCAGGTGACAATACTAGTCTCAGAATTAACGGCTAAATATCTGTGCTGCTGAAGAATTAGGGCTTCAACAATGTTGAAGCTTGTCCACACGGATATTTTTCAAATTCGACTAGCAAGAGAATCTGGGGTGCCCGCACATAGGCCGGCCACAATATAAATACTACGGCCAAGACTTGGATAAGATGGCTGAAGTTTAGAAAGAAAGAGCCCAAATGAGATAGCTGCAGCCCTCTAGTAGCTTTCTCATTGATATAGCCGGTTCGGAAAGATGCTCACCAAGCTTTTGCTCCTCGGCCTGGCCGGCCTCAGTTGTGTCGAATCGTTCAAGCCTCCCCTGAACCCACCACCACGGCCGTGGTCCACTTTTGCAGAGAATATCATCCACCAGCCTGACTCCCACCACACTATTCTCTATCCACGACAGGTTGAACTGTCCGATGGAAGTCTCCTCGCAACAGCCTCGTATGGGGGCGATAAAACTCCATACTTCCCCATATTCCGAAGTGCAGACGGTGGCGACAACTGGTCCTGGGTCTCCAACCTGACGGACCAGGTGAATGGATTGGGAATGTCTGCTCAGCCCGCGCTGGCAGAGCTGCCATTTGCTGTTGGCGATTTCCCGGCGGGCACGGTTTTGGCCAGTGGAAACAGCTGGGGAAGTCAGAGTACGAACATCGATGTCTATGCCAGTAAAGACAAGGGTAATACATGGAAGTTCGTGAGCAATGTGGCAAGAGGCAGTGGGCCGAATACTACCAATGGAAATCCATGCATTTGGGAGCCATTCATCGAGTGAGTTGTACTCTGCCCATGTCTACTTCTTTTTTACACTCGCTCAACGGTAGAATTCTAGATTTTTCAATCATACCATCGGCGTGTTCTACTCCGATCAGCGTGACCCACTCTATGGACAGAAGCTTGCTCACCAGGAATCGACGGACTTGAAATCCTGGGGACCCGTGGTAGACGATGTGGCCTATCTCAACTATACCGCTCGTCCTGGAATGACTACCATTTCCTACATTCCCCCTCTGAAACAGTGGATTCTGGTGCACGAGTTCCCAGGAGGAGAGAGCTGGTCTGGGGCAGGCTATCCGGTCTACTATCGAATGTCCGAGAGTCCATTTGATTTCCGCTTTGCCTATGGTGTCCCCATCATGGTTAATGGGGTTCAGCCAAACGCATCTCCTTATGTGGTCTGGTCCTCCGCCGGCGGTGATAATGGAACCATCATCGTTAGCGACGCGGATCACAGCAGTGTCTTCACCAATCAAGCTGGCGGCCAGCCTGATCAGTGGGAAATGCATGGCACACCTCAAGCGCCCGCATACAGCCGAAGTTTACATGTCTTTGACAAGTATCCTGATCACTTGATGATACTGGGTGCAGGCGTGTTTGAAGCAACGGAGAATCTGCCTCTTTGGCTCAGCGTTGTGAGCGTAACGGATACCTTGAAGAAGCCGGCTGAGAAGTAGAGAAGCTTTGCAGGTCAGCAGAGTCAAGCTGGCTGACAATGGTTGGGGGAGAAGCCCGAGAACCACAAATATCTGTAATGTATCTTCATTTCGAAGAAGAGATGGCTTGTCGAGAAAATGAGAAGTAAATATTGAGAAATATCTAGTCACATAGTACATTCCAGTGCCATCACGTAGACGACGCATATTTAACCTAGCTAAATACCACTCTAATTATATTAAAAAGTATAAACATTTTTTAATTATAATTAAAAAATATAAAAAATATTTAATTATTATATAATTTATATAATACTATTATTTTATTTATTAAAATATTTTAAATATTATAACTACTTATAATAAAAATAAAACACTATTAAAAAATATAATAAAATCATATTAATATTTTATTTCTTTATTAAATAAAATTAAAAATTTTTATTAATTATAAAAATATAAAATTCTATAATAACTATATAATAAAATAGTAATTATATTTATATATAGTTTAATTATATATTTTCTATATATAACTATTTAAAATTAAAATTAATTAAAATATTATTTTAACTATAGAAAATAATAGTTTTAATAAATTTTTTAATTAAAAATATATCCTTTTTTATATAAAATTAATAAATAAAATCTTTTTATATTATTAATAATATATTTTTATTGTCACAGAATTCGTAACGATTATGCGAGGTGACTGTATAGTATACCCTGCCCCAGGTGCATGGATATCTCGGAGGCTGAACGGCACCTTCGGTGTCTATGATAGTTATCTTTTCAATAATGAATAGTGGTCCCTCTCTGAGGATTTAGTACTCTATACAAGGAATTGTAAAGATTCCTAGCTATAAATGAACTACGAAAGTAATAAAGGAAAAATCAAAAATCAGTCTCTGTCCATAGACTATTTACTATTGTTTTGCCTACGTATCTTTACCTAGTCGACAGGTCTTCTACCCTGATTAGTAGATAATCTTAACATTTATAATTAGTTAAAATAATAAGATTAATACTAAGTTAACTATAGTTAACCTAGCTTACTATTTATTATATTTAATAAAAATTAATAATTTTAATATTAAATATAGTTAATTTATATTAACTATTCAATTTTTAACTTAACTATAATTAAATATAGAAATTCTATTAACTTAATTATAACCTAGTGATTAGGTATAACTGACCCCATTAACCTAACCTAACCTAGCCAAATGCCACTCTAGCAGTAAAGAAATATATAATATTATATTTTAAAAGTAGAATACCAATTATTTATATATATATATAGATGAAGAAAATACTTTATATAGATCTAGTAATAAAATCTATTTTATAGATAATTTTTCTTTACTAGTAATTAATTTAATTAAAATAGATATTTTACAAGATTTCTTTCTAATATTATATAAGGTATATTAAAAATACACGCAATTTTATAAATATTATTAATATTATTATTTTAATAGCTGATGTAATAAATAAAATCCTTTCCTTTTATTCTATTTCATTTTTTAATAATTTAGGTATTTTTAATGATATAGCTGGTAGTTGAATAACTTTAAAAAAATAGACGCGTAGAAATGACGCGTGGTGGCCCGCCCGATTGTCTGGCCCGCTCGTTTATCGGTTACGTTAGTACGTTAGTATTGGTAAAGCTGGTAATATTTTATATAATCCGGAACATCGATCTAGTCCACTGTATGGACCCTAAAGAGCCGCTACAAGCGCCAAGACGCCCACGACAACGTCTATACATTCCCCCCTCTTCACCCTCCGTCCCCCGCCGGCGTTCCTTTCGGACTCTTCTTCCACACCCACGTACATCGACAGATAGAGTCTTGAAAGAAATGAGTACCATACAAAATATCTCGGTAAGTTGCCTCTGCTGGAGTTGATGCCTGACTCGATCCACCCCTCACTTCAAACCATAAATAGTGCGGTCGCTGCCAATCCAAGAAGGTAACCCGATCTAGTCTTGGCAATTCCAGCTGGACAGATTAACTAAAATAACAACCGGCTAGGTTCGCTGCAATCGAGTCGCTCCACGATGTGGCAATTGTGAAGCGGCGGGAGCTGAGTGCGTCTACTTGCCTCGGAAACCCCGATCTAAGAAACAAGCGTATTTGTCTACCTAAAAGGCGGCTCGACTCCACCAGGAAACTGACAAGATATCGCAGAAACGAACCACTCGATAAACGTCTGCTTTTGGAGATTATGGACCGTCTTAAACGTCTTGAAGAACAAGTCGGTCTGGAAAACACTCCAGAGACTGAAGATAATGGTGACGATTCCATGTCAATTTCTTCTGTCGGTTCAGAGGCCGCTCGGGCAATATCCATAGACAAAGACCCGGCTCAAGTCGTTCCATCCGTGATTCGAGATATTGTCAGCCGGATCAAGGATGAAGGCAGTCGATCTATGCTTCTCTCCAACGTCTTTTGTCACCTCCGACAAATTGACTCATGCTATTTCGAAAACAATCGATGTATTAAAGCAATGACCTCTGCTATATCGGAGATTGAATCTACACAGAGTACGCAGAGCACCGAGCCGCTTGGGGACCCGGTTATCCCAAAAGACCTAGCAAAGAAAATCATAGAAAGCAAGTGACTGCACCCCCTTATAGCTGTTGATGATCTAATATCCTTTCCAGACCACTACAGCTCTTACCAATTTCCAGGCTTCGAATTTCCTCTCGATAAATCTTTCTTATCTTCAATCCCAGACTTAATCGAAATCCCTCACGTCCAACTAGATTGTAAATCTCAGATCATCTACTACTCTGTTCTCCTTCGGGGCATTCTTCTGGAGACCGAACCCCATCCCAGAAGGGGCAGCATTATGCGAAATCTATATCTAAAGTGCGTTGCATTAAGTGACGAATGGATGAAGAATATCCAAGATAGCCCTGTCGACTTCTTGGCCGCATCCCTCATGGCAAGCGCATCACATATATTAGATCTCCAACCAACAAAACTAACAAACCAATAGACGTCAACAGCCCTCGAAGGCTATAACACAGATCTAGCGTGGAAGGCGTTCACCCACACGTGCAGGATATCGAAGACCCTAGGCTATTTCTCCGTCGACGAAACACCAAGTGATGGGGACAACCAACTCTCCACACCAGCTGGCACACCACTGCACGAAGCTGAAGTCGAGCGGAATCGCAAACGCTTCGTCTTCTGGCACATCCTTCGAACAGACTGTCTTTTCCGAAAGTCATTCGGCAAGCCAACTCTCATCCCCACAGGATCGTGGAAAGTCCATTTGCCCGATCCAACAATCAATGGCGTGGACGATGAATCCTCACGCTTTATACAAATTCATTTCTTGATTTCAATGCGCCTTGGTCTTATTGTTAGGAAATATCTCGATTGGATTGATAGTGGTCCGGATCCGGACCCGATTTCGCATGATTCTATTATTCATACTTATATCGATGAGGTGCAGTCTATATTGTCGGATTGGGATACGGTGCGTTATACCCTACTCTAGCAGTATGACAGCAAATGAAATGCTGTGCTAATAGGAACAAAAGGCGGGCCTTCTTCGAACAATATCAAATCATATCGATTCCTGGCTCTGCATCGATGTGCTGGTCGGTAGCTATGAGATACTTATTGTGCTGCATCTGTCGAAGAAATGTCACCATGGTCATCTCTTACCACATCAAGCCGTTAATCTGGCTAGGAAGTCACTGAAGATCTTCCAATCGCTCCTGGGATCCACATCGCATGCGTTCTGGGGAATCAGGTATAGAAAGCCTCACATACCCATTCACGTCCTTGTTGTGCATATTATTAACCACATGTATAGTCCTATCACGATGTACCAATTCCTCCCCTTTTTTATCCTTTGCTTAGACATCATAGAGAATCCAGACCATGAAAACCTCGATGAGGATCTCGTGTCTGTGACTTGGGTATGCGATTATGTCGAAATGGCCGCCGAGGGACGGGTTGAGCTGAAGCCGGTCATGATTCTCATTAAAGCGATGGTCACTACGTGTCAACAGATAAAAGGGAAGATACTTGGCCCGCGGGTGCTAAGTAATAATCCCAGGGCGCGACCAAGGAGCTCGGAAAAAGTACCGGATGAAATTCAAGCTGGATATACCAATGACTACGCCTCGTTCAGCACTCGACAACAAGATCTTCAACGATGACTGGGCGCTAAAACAAGGCTGGAGACGCCATAAAGGCAAAGACTTCGTCGGGAACGAGTCCTGGATTTTTACAAGCTTGGAGAACCCGGACCTCTTTTTTGACGAGATGCAACTATTAGTCTATCGAAGATTTTCACATGATCCAGTATTCGAAAATGGCGGAGTACGCTGGCGGTACAGACAAGACCCTCCGCTTTATTATATTACGAGCAAATCTTGTTTGGAAAGAATAGCACCTATGTGTATACCACCTACTGTTGCAGGGCATATAGTTGACTCTATTGCGGAATACATAGAGCTCTATTCAAGAATATACCATTGCTTGAACAAAATTTCAAAACTGACTGTTTTGTGCAATTACTCCTTGGATCTAGCGTGTTTAGATGTCTTAGCATTCCACACCCCATGGTTACTTGCCTTTTGACAAATCAGCCACCTCTTCAATCACGAGAATAACAATAAAAAACATAAAATAAAAGAGCAAGTGATTCCAGCCCCTTTATATGTTATGCTGGGGTACAAAGAGACAGACATCAACCAACGTGGTAGCATTTGACGAAACAACTAAGCATGGGGAAGGAAAGAAGGGGAAAGTGAGAGAACTATAGGCGATCTAAACACATGAGGGATACCTGCGGAATCAGGCATCAAACCAGTTAACAAGCATCGCCACATGTGAATCATCACACAATACATCCCATTCTAAATGGATAGGTAGTTCGCGCAGCGGGTAATGCCAAGCTGCTCAACCAAGAATTCGTTGACAAACTGACACTTAGGATCCTGGCGCTGTTGGATTGCCAAGAACTCAGGCAGCTTCGGGAATTTCTCCAGAGCGTAAGTTGCGTTAGGAGGGTTCATTTTGTTCCAGTGGGGCCGAACGTTATATTTTTCACCAAATTCAGCCATGAATTCGTATCCCAACTCCTGGTTCTGCCAAAGAGTTGTAAAGTTGTTATAGGTTTGGATCCAGTCAATTTCGATGATAGCAAAAACCCCGCTGAGATCCGAGCTAAGGTTGTAGGTATTGACCGGAGACATGTATGCATCATCACCCTTGAGAGAACGGTGCTGGATTACCATCATGTTGTTATAGGGAGCCTTCATACGGGGAGTTTGGGACTGCTGATAACTAATATAGTCGGCGGCAGCTTCGGCGTAATACTCGATGGGAAGGAAGTGCTCGATCTCAGCATAGAACTCTCGGTCACAGACGCCTTGGGGAGGGCACGACGCGGCGTCAATGACTTCGTCGTAGCAGATGTACTCCTTCTTGCAGTCACCACAACCGTTAGCACAATAGTTGAGAGTGCAGTTGCGAGCTCCAGTGTAGTTCGTCGGCTCCCAGTAGGAGTAGAAGTAAGTTGGCTCAAGGTCCCAGTTCTGAGAGGCCTCATTCCAGTCGAAGTGAGGACCCCAGACAGTTACACGGTCGTGGTCCTTGTACAGCTGGGCAAGTTGCTTGCCCATCAGCGTGTAGTCAGAGGTGGCATTCACGACCTTAGTGGTCTTCTTCAGGAGGAGCGTAGGCTGGACCTTAATAGTCATCTCCGTGATGAGACCAAGGGCACCAAGGCTGATACGGAATGCCTTCAGTTCTTCGGGGTTATTCGTCTCGCTGATAACACGGAGGTTCCCCTGCGCATCCAACACACGCAGTCCAATAATCTGACTGGCAATATTGCCGATGACGGACCCAGAGCCATGGGTACCGGTGGAGGCGGCACCCACGAAATTCTGAACACGCTCAACACCGAGGTTACCGAAAGACAAATTGTTAGCCTTAAGCTCTTCAGTGAGGTCATAAACATCCCAACCAGCACCAAAGGTGACGGTCATATTCTTCTTATCGATGTTGAGCCCCTTCAAATTGGTCATAGACACGATGTAAGAGGGCTTCTCAGTGAGAGAATTGTCGACACAGGTAGTGAGGTTACCGAATCCATGACCATTTCCAACAACTTTGATGTGGGATCCCTTGGGATACTGCTGCTTAAGGAAGTTGGCAACCGCAGCCTCATTGTGCGGGGCAATGTATGCGTCAGACTCGCAAGTAACCTCAAATTGCCAGTTAAACCAGCGATAGGAGGAGCCGAAAGCTGCGTGCAGCAGCACCAACAAGAGAGCCAGCTTCGTGCTAACCATTTTGGAAACTATGCAAGATGCGAAGTCAGCCCATTATTTGACGCAAAAAACTGGATGAAAAAACGTCAGGGGTTTTTCGATAGAAATACCTGCGCCTTGGGAATATCTAACAAGATGAATCTTTACTAGAGTAAACTTTGAAGGAGCAGTGTTCTTACTGAAAAATCGAGACCGGAAGGAGAGCGAAGAGCAAAGTCCAAGCTATATATACTCAAACTTTCTCATGGCTCAGACATCTCAGGAACGACAGTATCAACCCGCCTATCTTGATGTCGATATTCGTCTCGTGGGTGTCCAATGCCCAATTGCGCTTAACGCTCGTAGAATTTGGCAAGCCGCATATGATTTCTACCAATATCCGGGGCACACCAAGCGAATATGTTGACCGATTGATAATTTGGGCTGATCCAGCCGTATCACTGATTGCTTATCCAGAATATAAATGGCATATTCTGTGAGCAATAGCCTTCCGTCGGTGTGACGTGTCGTCCATCATGAAGATCTCAATTAATAAAGTCTTGACTTCACTTGGCAAATACGAGTTGGTCCACATGAATGCACTTCGTGGTGAGATTGGAGCCTATCACCTTCCACATCTGGAAATATGTTAAACGCCGTTCATGGCCCACTAGACATTTTGCACATCCCTTTCAGTTCTCACGTTAAGCCGACGGTCCTCCGTCACGCCACGAATCGGGTTGGCGGTTTACCAGAATCTCACCGGGGTTTAAATCATCTTACTACCAATGCTCCAGCCACTCAATCCTTTGAGCTGACGTACCTTGGGTGCATCAATTGAATAGACCTCGATGGGGGAGTTGGGTTGAAAAGGAATAATAGTAGTAGCAGATCCTTGGCGAGTTACCACTTCGGGAATCTTTCGGGTGCACAAACACAAACTTGAGATGTGGGCTTATGTTAAAGGTGAGATTATGACGGTACCGGATGAGCTATGCAGATAAGAGTTATTTTACTCAACTTCGGTTTGCCGAATTGCGCTTAATGCTCGTATAATTCGGCATGCCGCGTGTGGTTTCTACCATCTCCGAGGCACACCGAGCGAATATGTCAACCAATTGATAATTTGGACTGATCCAATCATGTCACTGATTTCTTATCTGGAATACTAACAATACTAACCGAACATGACCATGTGGCGAAGCCAAGATTTAGAAAGCGCTTTGACCTGAACCTTCATCAAAAAATATTCGAGCGGTAGTGTAAGCGTGAACCAGCCATTAATCCACATGGGCGCTTGACCCACTTTGACCAACTACGGCCCGAAGTTTAGCAATCCTTCCCGCCTGTCTAGGAATTTATACTTCAAGCCCGTGCTTTAATGAAATTAGCAAATGGTAGGAGCGGACCAATTAATTCTTCAGCAAAAGGCGCTAGGGGTCTGAATATAGTTTTCCCGCCATGAAATCAATTGACCTTAGAACCCTGTCACTCGCTATTTTCCAAAACGAAAGTCCCGGTGAGGGAAGTAGTAACTTCTTTGCTTCCGGGCTGGGCGTCAAGGCGCAGGGGACTTTGTCGACCAGTCAGGTCAAGTTTACATATGTTGTTGGTACATACATTGAAAGTATCTCTGGTCATTACGCTCATCATTCTTGATCAGCCCACAACTTCATTATCCGTGGCGAATCAAGCTGCCGACCACATCCTTCAAGCTCAGCCTGAATCCCGGAATTTCGTACACCGTTGCCAATGTCCCACATGTGTTTGATCTGCTAGGAAGGATATCTCTATCACAAATCAAATGGCGTGACAATATCCCAGAGACTTATTGGCTCAACGCTATGTGATAGACTTCTGATAGAAGTTTTATGGTTATGTAGGCAGAAACCTAGGTATTCCTAGTATATCAGTCGTTGAAAAGAGTATATATACTGCAGGTAGCTGATGATCGTCGAGAAGAATTTCTTAAGCACAGTAACCACTGTTTTTATTTTCCTTCCATTCCAGCTCTCATTTGATCACTTGTTGAGATTGTCCTTCAAGATGAAGCCTGTCATCCTCGCCTCCACCATCGCCTCCGTAGCCGCGGCCCAGGCCTACACTACCGCCGAGCAGGTTAATGTCCAGGCCAACCTGATCTTCGACCCTAAGACGGTTACTGAAAAGACCGTTGACTATATTATCGCTGGAGGTGGTCTAACTGGTCTTACTGTTGCGGCCAAGCTGACTGAAAACCCTAACATCAACGTTCTCGTTATTGAGAAGGGATTCTACGAGTCAAACGATGGGCCAATCATCGAGAACCCCAACAACTACGGCCTAATCTTCGGCAGCTTCGTTGACCATAGCTACCTCACTGTTCCCCAGGACATAAACAACCGCACCCTAGACATCAAGGCTGGTAAGGGCCTCGGTGGTTCTACCTTGGTCAACGGTGACTCCTGGACCCGTCCGGATAAGGTCCAGATTGATTCCTGGGAGACCGTCTTTGGTAATACTGGTTGGAACTGGGACAACCTGAATGACTATATGAAGAAGGCCGAGCTCGCCCGCTACCCTACTCAAGCCGAGATTGCCGCCGGTCACTACTTCAACGCTTCCTGCCACGGCTTCAACGGAACCGTCCACAGCGGGCCCCGTAATGACGGCCGGCCCTATTCTGTCCTCATGAAGGCCCTCATGAATACCACTGCAGCTATAGGCGTTCCTACTCAGAAGGATTTCCTCTGTGGTCACCCACGCGGTGTCTCCATGATCTACAACAACTTATTGCCCGACCAGACCCGTGCCGATGCTGCCCGCGAGTGGCTTCTTCCTAATTATAAGCGCCCTAACTTGCAAGTCCTTACCGGCCAGATCGTCGGAAAGGTTCTTTTCAACCAGACCTCAGCCGGTCCAAAGGCCGTTGGTGTTAACTTCGGTACAAACAAGGCCGTTAACTTCAACGTCTATGCTAAGCATGAGGTCCTCTTAGCCGCTGGCTCTCTTGTCTCCCCGTTGATCCTCGAACACTCTGGTATTGGTATGAAGTCCGTCCTTGACCAGTTCAACATTACCCAGCTTATTGAGCTCCCCGTTGGTCTCAACATGCAAGACCAGACCACCACAACCGTCCGCGCCCGCGCTAAGCCCGTAGCTGCCGGTCAAGGTCAGGCTGTATACTTCGCCAATTTCACTGAGGTCTTCGGCGACTACACCCCTATGGCTATTGGGTTGCTGAACAACAACCTCGACCAGTGGGCCAACGAGACCGTTACCCGTGGTGGTTTCCATAATGCCACTGCTCTAAAGATTCAGTACGAGAACTACCGTAACTGGCTTCTCAATGAGGACGTTGCCTACGCCGAGCTCTTTATGGATACCAACGGCAAGATTAATTTCGACTTGTGGGATCTCATCCCGTTCACCCGCGGCTCCACTCACATTACCTACGCCGATCCCTACCTCCAGTCATTCAGCAACAACCCCCAGTTCTTGCTGAACGAGCTTGACCTTCTTGGTCAGGCCGCTGCCTCAATGCTTGCACGTAAGCTCCAGAATAGCGGCGAGATGTCGAACTATTTTGATGGAGAGGACATCCCCGGTGCTGACCTCTTGTCCTACAACGCTACCCTCGACGACTGGGTTGGCTATGTCAAGCAGAACTTCCGTGCCAACTGGCACGCTGTCTCCACATGTTCCATGATGTCTAAGGAGCTTGGCGGTGTTGTTGATCCTACCGCAAAGGTCTACGGCACCCTGGGCCTTCGTGTTATCGATGGGTCTGTTTCGCCCACCCAGGTGTCTTCCCATGTCATGACTATCTTTTACGGTATGGCCTTGAAGATTGCAGATGCAATCCTGGCTGACTACTACAAGTCCTAAGAGGTGTCTTTAACATTGGTGGTATACCAGCCTGGACTTCAACGGTCTATACTGAACATGTATGTAATTCTTGTGTTACTGGTGTATACCAGCCCCGGCTTTCGATAATCGCCTCAACCAGATGCGGCATAGTCTCCGATAAAGAAACTAGATGCCTTAATTCTATACCCTAGTACCTGGGATACGTACATACACCTCGCATCCGGGCACGCTAGTTAGTCCAATTTTTATATTTCCGTGTACACCCACTGCTAAGAGTACGTAGTAATCTATCTATAACTTATATTATCTATCTCTTTAAGTTTCTCTATCTTATAGTATTATTCTATTAGCTAGTTAATAATCTTTTAATTAATATAGTCCAGTACATACGACCATAGGGTGTGGAGAACAGGGCTTCCCGTCCGCTCAGCCGTACTTAAGCCACACGCCGGAAGGTTAGTAGTTGGGTGGGTGACCACCAGCGAATCCCTTCTGTTGTATGTTTTTCTTTTTTTTCTGCAATGTACATATATATATAGCTGGTATTGATAAATGTCTAAGCCGCGCAGTAGAGTTATGCATCTGCCTTGCTAATTAACGCCCTTTCTAGACCAAATAGTTGACTTTCAGATTCATCCGGCTTAGTCACGTTACTGTTTTATATCAGTAGTGTTGAGACCTTCCCTTCACGTTGCAGCTGTAGAGGCTTTATTTCATGTTGGCAAGGGATTGTCGCCGGCGGTCCCAACTGGCCCGGCGTATAGGATGACCTAGAGAGATGTTGTTTAGGTCTTGATCGATCAGATAATAATCGTCAATCAGGTAATTATGATCATGATCCTAAAATCAGCCTACTAAATATGATGCCTTCTAGACTAACTTGGTCAATGGTTATATAAGTACAGTATCCCTAGTCCAACCCTGGCCATCAGATTTATATTTTTGAAAGTGAACTACAATAAATGGACATCAGAGTAATGTCCGCTTCTATCTTAGCCCTAGAATGACGTGATTTCGTTGAACTAGATACTTAACAAAACTTCAGACACAAGAAGTAGCTTCTCTATAACCGACTCTCCAGGAAAGCCTCTCAATTCTCCCATTCCGACCCCCAGGAGAAATTGTTTAGGGCGCAGCTTTTGAAAGTGACGTGACAGAAATTGAGTAATAGCATCTGGCTCATTATTTCCTGTGAATCCTGAGATAGACTCTGTGAAGGGACAAGCGGCGAGGTTGGATGTGGACTCTGCAGGTTCGCTGAAAAGCACGGCAATTCTCTTGTCCTGTGGGAACCAGGAAGATCGTAGCATTGCTTCAAATTTGGATTTGCAAGGGACCAATGAAGTCTCTAGAGACTCGTTTTGAAAGACTTCGTGGTAGCCGGCAGGATTGACGAGCAAAAAAATGGTTGTTATGTCATTAAAATTGTAAGCGCCATTTGATCCAAAGCGTAGCGTCACATCTAGAAGATGTACGTCCAGTAGTATAGCCTCTGGCTTTCCCTCTTTCCATGCGTCGCGGCGTCTTTTGTACGTGACATGTAATTCAATTACTACTGATGTCATGTCTCGCACGACTTGAACGTCTCGGCTTGTAGGGTTGTAATCTGGAGACGCAATGCGGTCTATATCGTCGAACAGACTATATTAGTCAGTATACCTAGACCAAGGAGGTGAGATGATAGCATGCTTACGATAGTGCGGAGTCTGAGATACCGAACTCTCGAGGAGACTGGCGGATTCTCTCCATGCATGGGTCATGTGTTAAGGAGCGTATTGCCTCTCCTACGCTCACATCTAGACGGTTGGTCGGACCTAGATCATCGATATAGTCTAGTAAAAGGTCGCAATCTACCGCGCTACTATCACAATGCAATTTGATACCAACATGTTTCAGGGAAGCAATAATAGATTGTGCGCTCTGGATCACGAACCTGTATACCGCAGTTCGTTGAAGTTCGAGGCTAACGTTGATGGTTTGGTTGCTCCCTGAGCCGAGTATCTCTTGAAGAATAGTGTCCGTGTCACTGTAGTCACCACCGAATAGTAAGAATGCCTGCCGGGATAGCTGCCATTCATCGTCACGGCTAGTTTCGCGCGGCCGCTCCACCGCTGGGGCGTCGTTGTTTTGTGGATATCTCAGAACCCTCCTTGTGAGCCCACGGAAGAAACGTTCGTATACGTTGGAGGTAAAAACCTCACGGTCAAAAAAGAAACTAAAGGACAACTTTGATAAATGATCAGTTATCTCTGTCGCGATTGAATCTGTGTCACGGTGAACTATTAACGAAGCCGAATCAAGATTCATTTGGCGAAGGACCTTTCGGCTACTTGACCGGACAAGCAAGGCCTTTTGCTCAGCCCCAGTTTGGCTTGAAATCTCAATATCAATATAAGGCTTTTTTTCTGAGGGTGTATCGAGGAAGGTACGAACCAGTTGCACGCAGTCAGAAGCAAGTTTAGAGCGTTCGTTTGGTGCTCCAGCAGCTTCTGGATATGATCAGTGCTCTTCCTGCCAAATACCAGTTTTATTTTGTTTCGGAAGCTCAGAGCCTCGTTTTGCTTCTGCTGTAGACTGTCCACCAGACCTTTCAGTTTCTTGAGTAGGACTTTACAGCAATTGATGGAATCGTCCAAATCCATCACTAGCTGATGATGCGCATCCCCGGTATCAGTACCCATCCATTCCTCTATCTTTGTCAACGCAAGACGCAAGGCGGATAATTGACTTGTTAGACTCAGGAAGGTAAGGTCTGCATCGTTCCAATCACTTTGTAAGTCGCGAATGGCAACTATCGTCTGGCTCACGATCTGAATAATGTTCGCCAGCGCACCGGCTGTTCCAATGATCGACACAGGGTCCGCCATTTTCGCGAGAAAGGATTGCCGTGAAGCAATCTGTATGACTGCGCGCTAGGTCAGGATACTTGGGGG